GAGATATTCCCAAAAAAAAAAAAAAAAAAAAAAAAAGAAAAAGAAAACTCCTTGAAACGCTCGTAATCATGACAAAGATATAATTCCCAATTCGTAATTCGTTTAATCGGAACCGAACCGTCTGCCGCCAGGTGTACTCCGTAGAAACCGCTATATTTTCTTTTGTCTGACCCCTACCCCTCAAGGCTACCAACCAGATTCCGCAGCGCATCATAGATAACCGCCTCATCTTTAGGTTCTCCCCCAGGGAAGGAACTCTCCGTGGCATCGCCCAGAACACGAGCACGCGCACTTCGAAGCACCTCACGGATGTAATTCTTGTCATCGTAGTCTTCCATGAGGACAGCTTCAAAGTCATCAATCGCTTTACCAGCTCGCTCTTTGAACGACATATCTTCTTCCATAGGCCCTGTACTTGGCTCTGCCGGGCCGGCATTGAACGGCGGTGGCTGTTGCTGTTGCTGTGGCGGCGGCGGCGGCGGCGGGGGCGGCATAGGTGGAGGACCTGGGTTGGGCGCGAATCCCTGTGGCTGGTGGTTCATCATTGGCATAGGAGCGGGATTCTGTGGCGGAGGATATGCAGGCTGGGGATGTGGCTGTGGTGCCTGCTGGTACTGCGGTTGTTGAGGTGGCTGTTGCGGTGGTTGCTGTTGTTGCTGCTGCTGCGGCGGCGGTGGCGGCGGCGGCAGCGGCGGTGCGTGAAGGGGCTGCGATTGCTGGTGCGACTGCTGGAATTGGGCCAGTTGCAGTGGAGGGTCGAATGCGTAGGGAGAGGTGTAGGTAGTAGGCACGGTTTGAGCAAAGGCACGAGGAAGACTGTTTCGAATAGGACTGGGAATTGAGAAGGGTGCAGGTGTCGGGGCTGGGTTATGAGCGGGTGCAGGTGCAGGTGAAGGTACTTGAGGAGGTTGAGGAGGTTGAGGAGGTGCTGGAGGATAAGGACTTGTGTGTTGAGGTTGAGGTTGAGGTTGAGGAGCAGACGGGGGAGCAGTAGTCGGAGCAGGAGCGGGAGCGGGAGGAGGTGCTGGAACCGAATTTGGAACCGGTGCCGGCGTTGAAGTAGGCGCAGGAGCTGGAGGTGGTCCTGGCGCCTGTCCTGGAGCAGTCGGACATTGCGTAGGTGCTGGTGCAGGACTTGGACTTGGTCCCGTTGTCTGCTGCGGTGCTGGAGGCTGTTGTGCTGGGGCTTGCGGCGGCGGCGGCGGCGGCGGCGGGGCAGGAGCAGGCGCTGGAGCATGAACAGGGGGAGGACCTGGTGCGGGCGCCGGCGCCGGTGGAGGTGCGTAAGGGCTGGGTGCCATCGACGGCGGGAATTGAAAATGTTGATTGACCATATTCGCCTGGCCATTCGCAGCACTTGTGTACCCCGGCGGCGCCATGTACGGCTGGGTAGGCGGGACAGGGGTATGCGACGATGGCGGCGGCGGCGATGGACGTCTCTTCTTTTCCTTTTCGACCGACGCTCCAGGCCGGAGTTGCCATGACCATCCCTTGCCATCTCGCTCCGCATGCATGAACAGATGACTGTTGCCGTTCAGGTTGTGACGGACACTTGATGTCCAACCCTCCGTTTCGCATTTGAACCGGAAATATGGGTATTTCAGCTTTAACGCACGGTAGATCTGCTTGAGTGTCATTGGTGTTCCAGCATCCGTCAGAGCATCAAAAATAAGCACAGCATAGTTGTATGGTGGTTTGGCGAGATCCTCGGGCGTGTAGGCAGACTCGGGAGGATAGTTGGGCGACGGTGACCGTGATGGCTTGCGCTTCTTGAGAGGTGGGGCCTTGATAAACTCCTCCGGACGCTGCTCCATGGGAAATTGGCTGCCGCCCTCGGTGGACGGGAGAGGCGTATCCATAAGCGTGCCGTCCGCCTTCTTCCTTTTGGTATATTTTCGCTTTTCTGGTTTTGAACCAGGCGATTCGGCGCCACCGGTCACAGGGGCACTAGGAGCAGGAACAGCAGGAACACTCGCAGACGCAGCACCTTGGCCACTGGCCGCACTGATGGAATCTCGAGGACCGGCAGGGGTCTTGCCAGCCTTTGGTTTGTTCTGAGGAGGTGGAGTGACTCCGCCGTTGGCTTCGCGTTTTGCGGCCAGCTTCTGCTCTCTGGCAAGTTCCGCACGTTCTCTCTTGGACATGATCCCATCCTTGGGAGGTCGCCCTGGCCCGCGACGACGCGCGGGCTGTTGAGAACTATCACCTTCAATAGACGACTGTATTTGTTGCGAGAAGTCAGCGTCCTTGGTCTTAAGAACAAGTCGTGCCGCCTTCGAAGCATCCTTCTTCGATGCATCGCTTCCACGATTCTCGGTCCCATCTGCATTGATGTCTTCGACATCAAATGATGCGATAGCATTCTCGTCGTCTTCCATGTATTGTTCCTCCATTCGCTCGGCTCCTGTTTCACCAATGGGTACGTCGGGAAGTAAAAAGCGAATGCGCACACCTCCAATCTGGATGTAATCGCCGCTATGTAAAGGCCTGATCTGACTAGGCGATAGCCAATCGGCTCCGATAAAAGCACCGTTTCTTCCCATCACTTCCATCTCAAAAAGGCTCTTGTCAAAGTTGTATGCGATCTTAACATGTTTCCGAGAGATACCTCGATGACCAGCCGCGCTGCCATCCACGGTGGCCGGAGGGTGGATAGGGATAGTAGGACACGAATCGGGGGAAGGTAGTAGAGCCAGGGCATCGACGGGTTTCGCATCATTGCTCTCCTCATTGAGCGATTGCATAGCAAGGGCATTGTAGTCGGTCGATTGGAGCTGGGCCGGAGTTGCCAGTAACGGAGGACCCGATTCACCAAAAGACGAATTGGACGACCTCCGGCTCATGGGACGACGGGACGGTACTTCGGGGTCGAAGCCCATGATCCCACCACGATCGCTAACAACACTCTCAAGAATGCCACTGCCCTCATGTTTAACGCGAATCGGCGTGTGTGATGCGTTGCCACCGCTTGAACTCTTTGGTCTCGAATTGCGCACCGCTTGTTTGACCTGAAACTCCCGCTGATGGGCTGCGCGAGCGGCTCGTACATCTCGTCCAAGGATAAACGAATACGTATTGCAGTAGAAATGCCCATCGTCGAATTCCAATTTTGCAAAGGCCTGAATGCGAGGTTCTGACCCGGCGACCGAACCGGTCCCATCCTGATGCAGCGGATCACCCGATAACCCCAGGGCCGATAAATCTGCATTTTGGGAGAGATAGGCTGCGGTCAGCATCTCATTATGTTCTAAATCCCCAAACGGCGTCTTGGGGTCGGCTGCGATATCGAACGGTCCATTAAAGTAATCGCCTTGGTCGAGATTCGTTTTCGCCATCAATAAGGGATCCGTGAGACTTTCTATCGCAGAGGGATCGGACGTCTTTGGCGGTGGTTGTAAAAAAGCATTGGCTTCGGCATCGTCGGGGTTGGTAGTAAATGGCCCTTGCTGTTCTGCATCTGCACTGTGTTCATCCTGCTGGCTTAAGTCAGCCGGGACCGAAAACTGATCGTGTCCCGAGGCCTGCTCAGCAGGCGCAGAGTGATGATCCCTGCCAAAATCCTCCGTCGACGGTAATGGTGGATAATCTGGCATCTGGGCATCACCACCTGTTGGATGCGCATTGTTATGGTTGTCCTCTGGGGCATTGGGGGTGAATGGCTCAGCTGGCGGTGCCGATACCGATTGCTGTATCTGTTCTCCTTGAAACTGATAAAGAGATTGATCAACATCTGCGGATGACGGTTGCTCTGTTGATTGATTCCCAAGAAGCTGGGCCAACAGCGCACTAGCAGCGGACTGCCGTCTGAGATCAGTCTGATGGCCTTCCGACCCATTCATTGTCTCATCATCCGGCTCCGCTTTGATTCCCGCCATTCCATCGCCATCACCAAGACCGTCACCAATGCCGCCGGAGGGAGTAGAAAACGGGGAAGAAAGGGAGGGTAAGTCGTGCGAATGAAGCGGCGCAGAGGGAGGAGGAGAGGTAGGTTGGTCGGAGGTTGTCGAATTGTTCACGGCGCGGATTGCGGAGTCGCTGAGCGGGGAGGAAATATCGCGGTTGTCGGGGTGGGTATAATCGTCGTAGAAGGGCATGTCGGGCCCGGAATTAGGAGGGGGAGGACGATGACCCAGCGCTGGCGCTGTCATGGTCTGCGACGACATGACAAGCCAGTTGCAGCTGGAGGGAGGGGAAGGGAAGGGAGGAGGAGGGAGATCGAAAGGAACTTTTTTTTCTCTTTTTCTTTTTTGGGGAACGGAGAACAGGTAAGGATTGGAGGAGGAGAGGAGAGACTCTGAAAGCGCCGGGCGGTGAGAGGCGGCAGAGCAAATTCAATGCCGGGGCCGTGCGGGCGCTGATTGGTCCGTCAGGGATTTTCCGTTCCTGTGGAGGAATATTATTCCGTTTTTATACAGTCCTTTATACATCATGACACCTTTGTAGTGCATACAATGGTATTATAGTAGCTAATGGATGGTATATACGCTGCTATATATCAAACCGGATTTAGTGTAGCTTAAAACAGGCAGAAATGTAGATACATTGCTGAGTTTTTCGGCTCCGCTAGCTCCACCGTAAATAATCCGGAGGCTCAGTATCAGTGAAGATCGATAGATTCACCTCTCAATCTTAGTATGCAAGTAATCCCTTAAGACTGGCATTAATCCCAGTGAATCACCATCACCTAAAAACGAAGGCACAAAAACAGCATAAAAAATAAAAGAGAGAAAATGCCCCCCAAATCCAAATCCAAAAAAGACCCCCAGCCCAATCCCAAATCCACCGCCAACAGCAACAACAATACTAGCAATGCCAACAATACCATCAACTGGCCTCCCCTCCGTCCCCTCGTCTCCCCCTCAGACCTATCTCTAACCCCCCTCCTCCACGACCAAATCTACCTAATCCCCAATTACTTCACAGCCAACCTGTGCAAAACCTACGTCTCCTTCCTAGCATCCCTCCCGCTAATCACAACCCCCGGCAAGCCAAAAAGGGACGAGGCAGTGCGCGTCAACGACCGCTTCCAAATCCAGGATGACGTTTTTGCGGAGATGTTGTGGAGTTCGACGGCGTTGCGGGAGTTGGTTTTGACGGGGAGGATGGAGGATGATGATTATGATCAGGATGAGGGGGAGAAGAGGAGGAGTGTGAAGGAGATGTGGGGTGGGGAGCCGTTGGGGTTGAATTCGAATATCAGGGTGTATCGGTACAAGACGGGGCAGTTTTTTGCGCAGCATTGTGAGTATTCCCGTTTTTCTCTAGAGTAAGTGTGTACTGGGGACTAATGAAGTAGATGACGATACGAATGCCGTCACCTTTACGAATAAGCATACTCCTCCCGTCCAGGCTCGCACAACCTGGACTCTCCTCATCTATCTATCCAACTGCGCTGGTGGAGAGACAGTCTTTTATCCCGAGCCTACTCGCTGGAATCGCAATCCGGAACCCATCTCAGTTGCTCCGGGGATGGGGATGGCCTTGTTGCATCGGCATGGGGACCGGTGCATGCTGCATGAGGGCAAGGAAGTCCTCAACGGGGAAAAATGGGTATTGAGAAGTGATCTCGTGGTTGAGAGGTAGCATACTCAATTTGATCAATTCAGAAGTTGTGGTCATTTAAGAAGTACTTTGTATTGAAACAGTGGAAATAATGCTACGAGACAAAAACAAAGTCAACGACAGTTTGCCGGTGTGGTACGACCAGCATGGTGCCGGCCGGGGATAGAAGCCCAAACCCTGAGTAGAAAAGACACCTTTGAAATCAAATCCAGTAACGAGACAAGGAAAGTAAACTTAATAATATCACCATGCACGAATACTCCATCCAATTGCGTTGACGACAGGGACAGAAGACTTCTTTTGCTTCTCTTGATAATTTCCCAATGACTGAATCCGTGAATGGGAGTGGAATCATTATTATGCAGAAATCCCGACAAACCAAACCAAAGAAACAAAGTTCATAAACATATGAAACAACAAAACCCCCCCTCCCCGTTTCAGATCGACACCTTACGATGTCGATGTTGCGGTGTTGGGCCGGGATCCATATTCGGTTCTGCGCAGTATCTTCTCGACAGGCCCCAATAACCGCTTGAATCCATCCCGACCCAATCTGGCAACTTTGACATCGGTCTTGGCGACGACACTGGCGGCTCGGGGCTTGTCATCCAACAGGGCGAGTTCACCGAAATAGTCACCACGCTTGTAGTCTTTAACAGAGCCCTCTTCACCTTCCTTGTACGCTTCAGCCTCACCCGATTCGAGCAGATAGAAGGCATCGCCTGGATCGCCCTCCGTGATGATAGTAGAGCCTGCCGAATATTTGATGGCATCCAGCGCATCTGCAATCTTAGACCGCTCGTACGGTTTGAGAGACGACAGCAAGGGAACTTCTTCCAAGAAAGCCTCATACATGCGACGACGCTGGAAAGCTGAGTCCATGAGGATCCGGCGGAAGGTAATGCGGTCCAAAGCCCAGAGTGTGCTCTTAGGGTCCACTGACACCACGGTCGCGGCACGCGGAGCATTGTACATGAGAGCCAGCTCACCAAAGGAGCTTCCAGGTCCAGTGGTGCTTACTTTGTTACCCATGCCATCCGGGCCGGGCTGGACAGCTCCGGAGGGATGGATGTAAATTTCGAAGCTACCTTTTTCGACAACGTAGAAATAGTCACCTGCATCGCCTTGAGTAATGACCTTGATATCCTTGGCGGGAATAGGTTTCTCGACAAGCGCATCGAGCACGGTCTTGAACTGGTCATCGTCTAGGTGGGCAAAGAGGAAGTTTCCGCTGACAGCGGCCCGCAAGCGAGAGAGCTGCTCTTGAGACTTTGGATGGTTAGGCGGCGTCCAGCTGTCTGAACCGGCGGATGTAGGATTCAACGACTCTGCTGATACCGAAGTGCGACGACCCAGCGCATAGTTGCTGGGGAATCCGGGGTCTAAGCCGCTGGGACGAGTGGGCTCTGGCGCTTCGCCGAAAGTGTCATTATCATCATCCCCATCTTGACTGAATGGGCTCCGGCCAAATCGAATACCAGTATCTAGTGTTGCTGTTGCTTCTTCATCACGAGAATTGCCTCCATAAGCTGTTCCAGACGATGCACCGACGTTGGCACTCTTGAAAGTGGCATCGGTTGGTGACGTCACCTCATATTCGTCCTCCTCCGAGATCTGCTGGAACACAGGGGACGAGTCACCTTTGCTGCTGTTGCTGGACACCTTGAGGAAAGGGTTGGTGCCCGGGAACGAATTGTCTGCCATGTTGCTGGAAAAAAGGGCCGGAGAGGACACCACTCCGGCCGCACGGACGACGAGAGGGGTTAAGAGGTTGGGACGGTGCGACGTAAATCGCGGGGAGGCGAAGAGAGAAATGGGAAGGATTCTGGAAGGAAGTCAGAAGCCAGGTTAGAACACGGGAGAAGCCAGTCTATCGATGGGGGAAAAGGAAGCATTTATAGAACACGGGGTAGGATAAGGGGTGTGAGAGTAGAGGATATGATAGGGTGGGTATCGGCCATGTAGTAATTTTAACTGGGACCTCAAACACAACGTACATTTGACTTGTTTTTGCACCGGATTTCTTTCTTCCTTTTTTTTTTTTCCCCCCTCCTTCTATGAGAGCTGAGGTCTATTGAAAGAAATGTCGAATAAAGAGAGCGAAATTTGGTGTTTTGGAATACGGCCACAAGGCGGATGGCGGGGTTATTGTAGCAACGGGAGAGCTCCAACCGACCGGGAGATGAGCGATGATGTTATCAGATGGAGGAGGATTGGACGGTGATAAAGACTGTAAATGAAGCCAAAGATGGCACAAATACAGAAAGCGACGAGATCAGGATAGAGAAGAGGAAGAGAAGAGAAGAGAAGAAGTGTGAGTAGAAGAGAGGAAGGAAGAGGGGAAGAGAGAGAAGAGAAGAGAGCGAGTGCGAAAAGGGCGGGGAGAAGCAGGAAGTGACGGAAAGCTAGAGTCAGTGGATTCAACATCGTTTCTTGTTTATGGAGCCAGTCTTGATAACACATAAAGCTACTGGTTATACTGCAATGGTCTTTGATTTCTTGCATTCTTCCGCTTCTATTCTATTATGATTCTAGCATTTCTATGTTCATTCTACTGTATCCTTCTGCAGCACACGGACTTCAGCAGCTTCGGGATCGACGTCACTAGCCAAAGCGGCCGCAGCAGGACTAGCAGGCAATAATCCCCCAATAGTGGCTTCGTGATGAACAGGAAGAATAGCGTGTGAGGTTAAATGTCAGATTCGGCTCCTATCCCCAGTTTAGAGAGCCTCGTATTGCATCCGGAAAAGCAATTCCTCTCCAGGGTTGTTGGTGCAGAATGCAAGGACCGGTCCTTTGTTTTCCAGGTGTTTTCTAGAACATTGCGATTCCGGACTGTACGTGTATGGAGCATACGGGCATGACAAACAGTCTCTTGTCTTTACAGTTGTCTTGACTCTTTTATGAAGTTTCTTAAAATTATACAGCTGATTTTTGTCTGTTACATATCCAATAAAAATGTAGTATCGCAGTTGTTGAAGTCATCCATCCCCGGAATACCACAGGCAATGCCGCAAACGGACATTCTTGCACTCTCCTAGTCGGGTTTTCCACAAAAAGCAAAGAATATTCAGAAAAAAGAAAGAAAGAAATCTAGAATCAAACTAGTTGAGTAGGAAATCAAAAAAAAAAAAAAAAAAAGGTAGAGTCCCATATTCGGTGCTTTGTATATTGCCACTGCAGTGAAACAAACATACTGCGTAGTATCCAGTGCCATCACAGAAATAGTCAGAAAGAAAAATATTAATTCTATTTCTATACAAATTATTTATAGAAATTTAGTCCACTCTAAGCTTCATTATCACTGCCTTGTCGTAGCTGTAAATATTTGCATAATTATATTGCCGTACTGTAAGCCGAGGCTGACCACATGACTTGATATCATCACGTCTTCCCGTTATCTTTTCTGTCCACTGTACACTCCCCATACAAGTATTAATACTTCATCATACAAAGTACATACATACTCATCATACAAAGTACATACATACTATTAACCCTCTCTCATTTCTGACCCTTGGACCTCGTGTCACCCGTGGTTGATTCTCCGTCTCTGAGCAAGTTACCCACTCTCTCCACCCGCCGCCAAAATGGGCAGCTTCACGTTCCGATGGTGAGTCTACTTCCATCCAATGCGACTGCTACACTTCTGTCACCGTCCATGGTCCGGCGTATTTGGATCGACCACTGTGCCTTGATCGGCCAGAAACTGTTTTTCATTACTCATCTTGATCATTCAGTTACTGACTGAACGTGCTTTGGTATGGCAGGCCGTATAATGGGAATGAAGTCTTTGTTACCGGGACCTTTGACGACTGGGGGAAGACTGTTCAACTTGACAGAAATGGTGATGTCTTTGAGAAGACAGTCTCGCTTCCCGATACGGACGAGAAAATACAGTACAAGGTGTGTATCTACCAATGTTTCAATGCCGGCCTGTCAAGCCATTCCTGACGTCATACTCACTTACCCTCTACTATCACGTTTACCTGCTCAAGTCATTTTAGTCTTCTATAACGTCAGCATGGCGTGCCTACTCCTAGCTAACTTTTATACTTATCATAGTTTGTCGTGGATGGTAACTGGACTACCGATAGCAGTGCCCCTCAGGAAAGCATCGGCGGCAACATCAACAACGTTCTCTACCCTGACCAAATTAAAAGCCCTGCCATCACCAATATTCCTCAACTCACTGGTGCTGCAGTCATGTCGGGAGTGACACCAGACTCATCAACGGCTGCTCTGGTAGCCAACGTTCCCAAGGAAAGCGAGAAGAAAGCCTCCACCCTATCCTCCGCTGCTCCCGAGTCGACAACGGCCAACCTGGCGAAGCAAGTCCCATTTGAAAACAAAAATAATGAAGGCGTGCCTGGTTCATTCCCAGACACGCCTGCAAATGAGGCAGAAACATTTTCCGTGAACCCCATTCCTGCCTCCAGTGGTGCGAGCAACCCTATCAAGTTGAAGCCCGGAGAGAAGGTTCCCGACCCCAGCACCACTCACTCGAGCACCGTCCAGTCGACCGTCCGCACCGATCTAGCCGGGTATGAGCAGGATCCCAGTGGCTCGCTCGCAGGACTGCCCACCGCTACGAACCCGGCTGCGTCCCATTCCAACCCCAGCGGCGGACGTCGTCAAAGTAAAATCATCCCCGAATCGGGTCTGCCAGTCGACGGTGAGAGTGTCGGTTTGACAGACACAGGTATCACCATTGAAACTGCCACACCATCTGCGACTACTGTTGGTCTCGCCTCTGCCGTCCCGCTCGAATCTCAGAAACAAAACTCCAGCAGCGGTGCTGGTGGCCCGGTGAGTGAGGTTCCGAGCAGAGTGAGGAACTCTATCTCCGAGGCACACCGGGACCCGGAGGCCGCGGCTAGCAAAGGTGCCGTGGAGGAAAAGAAGGAGTTGGAAGACGAGTTGAAACAAAAGGTCAAGCCCACCGAGGCGGGCGGAACACCAGGTCCCACGACCACCGCCGCAACAACAGAGACTGCGCCTGTCACTACCAGCGGTGCATTCCAGTCGGGACAAGTGTCCCCTCGCTCGCCATCTCCATCGGAGCCAACAGTCACGACCGGGGTTGCTACTTCCAAAGCGCCTGGGGTTTCTAACGCCACAGGCGTGTCTTCCCCTTCATCTGAAGGACCAACTGTCACAACAGGTCCTGCCGAATCCAGAGCACCCGAAGTCTCTAGTCCCAAAGACACTTCGGCCCCGGAAGGAGCCGGAGCCACAACGGGGGTAGAGGACAAAGATATTGGGAAAGCCATCTCTGAAGGAACCCATACTGACTCCCGTGGACACAGCAGCTTGACAGGACCACCCAGAACTTCTGGATCCACTTCTAGGGCAGCGGCCGGTGCAGGACAGACTGGAACTAAGTCCTCTGAGCCTAAACAGGATCGGTTTAAGCCGGGAGAATCCAAGCAAACTGGCGCTGGTGACACTTCCGCGACGAATGGTAACGGTAACGGACCCGTTCGCAAGGATTATGCCGACGAGGCACAAGGAAAAGCGAACGATGTGGCCAAGGAACAGAAGAAGAAACACCGCGGCAGTGGGCTCTTCCAGAAGCTCAAGGAGAAGTTCAAATAAATGCTAAACATTGACTGGCGGCTATATATCCTTTGGTTTATGTTTACGATTCAATGTCGTTTGTGTTCAATTTTTCCCCTTTGCTTGGTTCAAGATTGTCTAGTTATTGTTTCGATGGTTGACTCGATACCTTGCTGTTGTTGGTTTATTGTCACACTAGGACTAGTTTTAATTGATTTGATGACAACTAAACTACACACTATTCCAATCCATTAACAACTAAATTACCTAATTGTACTTCCATACTCCGCGAACGCCATATCATATAGGTATGAGATCGCTAACTTGCGCGTTCAATTTCACGGGATACGCAAGCATACTACATCGTCAGCTAGTCCATTGATCGATCGGAGAGAAAAGAACTCACTCCTTTCCAGTCTTGGTCATGCAACAGCCGCAGAAGAGCGAGGCGGGATAGCAGACGACCTATGCAATTGTTGTCAGTATCGTTCATCATACACTGTTTATACGCTCGCGTATGTTTGGTGGATGGCAGTACATACAGCTGCGAGAATAGTAACCACAAAACCTGCTCCCATTAGCAACCCCTCCAATCACCTGTACAGTACAAAAAATGAAAGAAACATACCAATCGTCGGCCCAACAACCTTACACCGACACGGATTCTGGTCCGTTCCGCACTGGAAGCAGATCGGGAAGATGGGGATGAACGGGACGGCCATTCTGTATTTTAAATTTTCTTGATTTATTACTGGTAGTTGGTATGGAATGAAGGAATTGGTGATTGAAGTAGGAGAAATGCGGATGAAGTGGAGGTGATGTCAGTGGAAGGGGTGTTGCAACTATGGGGTATGGAGAGCTTGGATTACATCAGTGATTTTCGGGGTGCATATGGGTACGAATACAACACTGGGCACTGATTTTGGGTGGGGGAAGGGGGGGGGCTGAGGACTTGGTGATAGTATTTGATCACTCTTTGTTTTCTTCTGGGTGTGGATAGTCGAAGCTATGGTGGTTATGTACGCGTTGGACGCTATGGTGAACAAATAGATAGAAGCAATATATATATATATCCAATGGTTTAGCCCCACTGTTACCAACTACGTACATACAAGTCAATTTTTGAGTAGCCATGATCGCTTCATATTGACCGCCAGAGGTTGCCTGCCGTCATCTGACAGGCGCGCCTACGGATAATGGAAGCTGGCGTGCTTCTAAGCGCTTATCTTGGGCACATAGACTCTATATCAATTCTTTAAGACTCATCAATGCTTCTCACTTTTTCTAACAACCAGTTTTAACCAGAACCCTTGTCCCCGGCATACTGTGTCAAAAATGACCCGCACAATCTACCTAGCCCTCCTCAACAACGGCCCCAAACCCGCCCACTATGCCATCTGGATCCCCAAACCCAACAACCACACCCTAGGCAAACTCCTCCAAGTCGACGGAAACCCAGCAACAGGTTTCCACCTCCAATTCGCGCGCAACTATAACATCGTTACTGACACACTCTCCGAATACAACCTCATCCCGCTGGCTGGAGTTGAGGATAAGTATGTAGCTGATCCTGTCGGTACGGAGCGGTCGATAGATACGATTGCGCGGGATCGGTTGGAGTCTGTTGCGACGGTGGTAAAGCCGCCTAGGAGGAGTGCTAAGCCTTTTGATCCGGAGGTATGGTCTGTTTGTTTTGCGGTGTAGGGGATGCTATGGCTGACTTCGGGTAGGCGCCTAATTGTTAGAATTGGTTGTATAGTTATGTGTAGAGGTTTGTTTCGGAGGGGTTTGTTGAAGCTAGTGCTGGGTTGGTTGTTCAGGATGCGCCGAAAGTATTCGAGAAGGCATAGTATCAAAGGCATTCATTATTCTCTTCAACACCGTGCATACGAGATGACATGGCTCCAATGCTTCTTAGAACCACTAACACTCCATAGCCAGAGTATAGTAATCCCACGGCTCCCAAGTGCTACTATATAGCTCCAATATCATCGGCAAATACTTTGTGGACCACTCTTCCTCCCGACCAACACTCCACAGCGCCTTGCGAGCCTCCCAGTAAGCCGGAAGCCAGCCAGACTGTTCCCAATCAACAATTGCCAGAAGACGATATGGTCGAGGCGCCGTTACAATAATGTTACTTTGGTAGAAATCATTATGCGTAAACACAATGGCACTGTCATCCGGTAGTTGATGGCGAAATGGTTCGATAGGGACGGAATAGGGATCGGTCATCCTTCTCCGGTGGAGGAATGTGAACCAATTATGGAAATCGAGGACTGTGGTGAATGGTCCTGCTTCGGACATGTAGTTTATGTTGAAGGCTCTATCGTAAAGGGGGGCCCAGGAAATGTTGCCTGAGTAGAAGCGAAGTTAGATCATGGAGAGTAGATTATCTGGATATGCGCAAGAGAATTACCTATAAACGGGTCTAGGGGATCCTGTTCAACTTGGCGTAGTTTCTCCAAACTCGCTTGGAGTTCGCGGCAAACTGCACTTCGTTCATCGGGATCCATCGTATCCCAGACTTCTGCCCTTGCACATGTTCCATGTAAATAAACCGCTCATCCCCATCCGTGCGCCACCCATACATTTCAGGAACCGGTACACTATCCCCAATAAATCTACCAATGGCATACAGACACTGTGTCTCTGATAGTCGCGTATCAGTTCCCCATTTGACCAGTAGGCCCATGTTTTCAAACAGCACAGACGGCGGTCTCACATGAAGTCCATCCATTGAGTATGCTTTTCTCTCATCTGGATTGATTCTTGTGAGATGCTGGGCTTTGGCCTGTGCTCGAACCTCTTCTGGCGAAGGTAGATGGCTCCATTTGGTAAAGAAAGATGAATCCTTGATGTCAAAGTTGGGTGAATTTGGGATTTCGGATGGCGTTAGTTGGATGCGTTTCTGTTTGGTAGTCATGTTGGGATGAGATGAGAGATTGGGAAAGAAATTGCGGGGATGGAAGTGCTTATATCTACTGGATAGGCGGTATTGTGGGGTAGACCAGCTCTAGAAAAAGTACTAAAGACCCTTGTTTGTTTTCTTACTGGTTACTTCAAAAGTGCATTGCATGTCATTGCGCTGTAAAGCAACTTGGAATATCTATTCCTAAACGATAGCAGGAATATGGCATAATGGTCTTGACACAATACTTCAACTCTCTTTCCTTCTACAACCATTCTTGCTGATAGCTGGAGTTTCAACTCATCATTATCTCTTCTCTTCCCACTACCAACAGAGTAATGCCACCATGTACAAGAGTGTCGGCTCTCGAGAACCTCATTTCGCTAAATTTCCCCCAAAAGTCGAAGGGCCGTCAGAACTACACAGCGAAATACCCGCTTAGACGACAACATTAAGAGGGATCGAAAGAGAGTCAAAGTACAACGTCGTATCCCGCGGGGTTCTGATCAGCTGGTGCAGATGTGGAATCGACTTTGTTGCAGAGTCACGGACGTTTCGCTCTCTGAATTCGAGTGCGAGTGTGTTGAGTGGTAGAGAAGTGAGAAGACAGGACAGCTTTTCCAGAGAACCATAGCGCAGAAGTATCATGTCATCTTTTGAAGCTCGGAGCAAACAATCTTCACTTAAAAAGCAAAAGCGGAGTAAGAGACAAGCGTTCATGGAGCTCTTTACAACAAGCCCTCTTGGTCTTGGGATTCGGTCTGGTGCAGGCGACCGGGGCCACGGGGTGCAATCCAAGTTCAGGTCACAACTCCTGAAAGATTATAACGGCTTGAATGATAATAAGGACGCTTGATGCCCCATCCTGGGGGTCCATATGGACGCGGATAATGTCACGGCATCACACCTGTTTGCGTACAAACACGGCCAAGAAGCTATGGATGATGTCTTTGGCAAGAGACACCCAGCATGACTTTTTTTCTTCCTGGTTATCATTCCTGACTTGCCAGACAAGCCAACGGTAAGCATACTCTCTTCTTGGGTAAACTAGGATGTGTGGGAATACAAAGTCGCATAATCAATTCACGGTGGGACAAGCTGAACAAAAAGATTTGCCCTCTCAGAATTGCAATGGAGAGACCTTTTGACAATTGAAAATTGAAAACTCCGCAAGCAAGCAGCTTTTCAAGAAAATCAGAGCACAGAAGCATCTTGTGTTTTCCATTAAAGCTCAGAGAAGCAACTTCTTCTTCTTTTTTTTTTTTTTTTTTTTTTAGAAGCAAATGCGAAGCTTAAGAAACATGCTTTTGAAGCTCTTCACCATTTGTACGCGGGGGGAACGCTCAATGCGTAAAGACCTGTATTTAGGCGGGAAAATCCCCAATGGCAGATACAACATGGAAGGAGAATAGTTTGAACAATGGTCAAAGACAGACAGTATCTCCTATACTAATGAGGCGCTCTCAGTCATAAACCAGGTGGGATTCGGTTTAGGACAGACCCTCGGGACCCCTGATACAGTCGAAGTTCAGATCACAGCTCCTCAAAGACTATAACAGCCTAAACGACGAAAAGAACGCTTGGTGCCCTATTCTAGGAGTTTATCCGGATGCTGATGAAGTCAGGCGTCCCGTTGTTTGTGTCAGATAAACACCTAGTGCTTGCTGAAATACTCATTAAGTGCTTTGAAAGTACTTTGATCCAATTAAAAATTGCTTCGATTCTAATGCTCTTGCTATGAATCCTCCCATCATTGTCTTCAGAGAGTCCTAATAAGCCATTGCTGTACTCATAGATGGCTGCAACAGGGGAAAACAGTGTTGTTGGGCCCATATACGAGCCGCAGTCTCGAAATCAAGAGGTCCCGGATTAGCTTAGAAAAGCGAGAAACAAAGCTCGAGGGCACAGTCATTCAACAAATAACGAGCCAAATATTTGTGGCGTTGGGCACGTCTATGCTCCGAGAATTCTAGAAGGCTAGCAGCTAATCATTCTGTATAGCAAGTCCTGAAGAGCTATTGTGTCGATGGACTCGTTCGAGTCGTCTCTCCTACAGACCAACCTCAACCCCGGTAGTGGGGCAGAATGAAGGACATTGAAACAAGCCTGTATGGAATCTATCTTTTCTGATACTCAATGAGTGATAGGCAAAAGCACCAAAAGCTGTATAAACTGTTAGATTCTAAGCCCAAATTAGACTCAGAGGCTAGTACTGATGAACCAACAAAGCCTATAGAACTGCGACAATCGGATTCCACTACTTCATGGTTTCCCGCACAACCCAATTTTGCAGGTTAGCAGGGCAAGAGTGTTGAGCTGTTTGTTGAACCGTGCAAATTTATGTGGATGGGCCCCACTATGACTCTAGAGGACAAGAAGGATACCCTTGGAACAACCATGATCCTGGGTCTGGGGGAACATGGCTGCTTGTTTTGCAAAGGCACTGCCAAAAGAGCCCCAGAATGACTGAAAACTGTTGGCTAAGAAGCCCCGCAAAAGGGTTCCAGAGGCAGACAAGGGTGACGAAATCCAAGAACTGATCTCTAAGTTGTTTTAACAGGTGGTGACCATCTCGTTGGAGTTTAGGTACGCATCAGCCAACCGTGCAGAAGACGCAATCATACTCAGAGGATTGATCGAACAATAGTAGCTGACAATTTATAGTAGAGTGACCAATTATGAGGGAAATCGAGAACGACTGCCAAGTTTCGTATTTGGTATACGTCTCGGGGCAGTTGTTGCTGTTATTTTTCGTCGTACCCGGCTTGACAGCATACTCGGTATGCAGGACTACAAAATCCGCATAATTGATTCGGGAAGCAGACAACTCCCTAGACAGCTCAGATGGAGGGTCCTGGATAACAGAAACTCATGTTTGTCCATTGTAAGATTTTCTATTTCACTACTGTCTCCAACTTCTTCGACATTCTTTGAAGTTAGGCTAGGTTAGGCTGTTTCTGCGAAGACGAATATGGAAAGCTTTTATACCAAAGGGCAGCACTTTTGTTATAATTAAAAGTGTAGATAGGTATTACTAGTATGAATGATCTTGCTATCTCGCAATTTCAACTTTCAATTGAAAAGGAGCCCTAAGTAGGCCCGCTGGCTCCAGAAGGATTCAAGGGTTAGCCTTATTACCTCTGGCCCGAATATCATCAGATCTCGTCCCACTCATTATTGTCATTTTCCGTTCCATCATCCTCGGCGTGTTCATATTTAGCAATCTGAGCAACAGCTGCATCGATAAGAGTTTCATCCCTTCCTCTTTTGCTGGAGGCTCCAATAATAACTTCATTGGACCTATATTCAATGTATGTGTGCGAGATAAGTTCTCTGAGCATATTCTTGGGGATGTATTTCCCAGGCATGTCCCAGAAAGGTTTACCAGATTCGTCTTCAAGACTGGAGTGAGGCTTATCTCCAGGCACTGCTCTCCAACAGCGTCGAAGCGCTTGAACGCAGTATTGAAAGAAAATATAGCGTTCTGCAGGCCGCAAGTCCTACTGGGCGAGTACTGAAAGGTTCACATCAAGGCCACCGAGTTCCAATGAATAACCACTTATCGAGAAACGTCCCAGCACGGTATCCCTGAGCTAGCACCTGCTCGGTCAGTTTCCTCCCTTCTGCAGTCCGCTGCCATTCGACAAGATCGCCATGGTATTCGGATAGAGAGATCTGTGTGACGATCTCAATATATCGCTGGATTTTGGATTCTAGAGATGAAGCGTTTACCCAGAAACCTCCAAGTTTAGTCGCTTCCCTGTTGTACTGCTTTTCCAGTTCACGAGCTCGCTGTATTGCTTGGATGGGGAAGTGTCTGGGATAAGCTAAGTATATCTCAGGCTTCTTCTCATCATGATATGCTATGAGCTTCTTACGAGCATGTCTGATTTTGCGTTCCGCGAGGTCTTTTTGGTGATATAAGTTTGGTAGATTTTCGGTGCTTTGCTTTTGGAGGCCTTTGAAGGGATCCATCTTGTTGTGATGTGGATGTGGATGGAAGAATGGTGTCTCTGTCAGGTATTCTACGTCAATGCCAGGCAGAAATCATATGGTGCCTACACTGTGCCCATTGTCGTCACATAAGGCAGCATTCGCTCATCATAGACACAGTACTCGGATGGCGATGGCATTGCAGGAATTGAGGATCAAGTCAGATTCGGAATTGGAAACATGCGCAGGTGTCGTGGGAACGCAACTACAGGTCTCGTGACCGTCCCAGTCTTATCACATACCCAACCACAAATAAAGAAAATTGCGTAGTTAACTCCAAGTTAAGTTAGTTAACCTGTTGAACTTCTGGGCGCGGGGAATTGGTTGGTCAGCGATGCACAAGCATAGGCACAACATAATTATGCACCTCATACCAGCGTGATACACATATCAGCCTAACCGATCATTCTAACGGCTATGGAGTACAAGTCAATCAATTCGGCCCCTTTGTTTGACTACAATCTATAAATATGGCTATTATGGCTTAGCCTTACGGGGCAGCGCCACGGTAGGCAACCAAATAACATGCCGCAAATGCGCCTTGGCAAAGAAAAACCTGCCCTGACGTCAAACTCTTTTTAACCCCAGGATTTCTCCCCTCCCTTCCTTCATTTTGTTTCTTTTCACAACCAATTCTGCAGGTACGCTCTCGTATATTTGTTTATTTATTGCTTTTGTCGCTGACTATTCTGTTCTTTAGATACTACGCACATCAGTCAGCCCTACGCTTGATCAACGACTCACGGACCACGATCTTCGCGAACACCAGCTCTCACTTGTACAGAGTACACCTGAATAACAGCATATATTTTCAATCCACTACATCCTTATCGATTCAATCCTAAAATCAGAAAAAATGGCCCGAGCAAGCCTCCTCCCCCTCGTTATCCTCTTCGTCGTGCTCGCCGTCCTCGCCGTTGTCGGCTTCATCGCCTACAGCATCGTCCAGGAGGTCACAAACACCACACGTGAGAAGATGGAGAAGCGCAATGTCATGTTTACCAAGGATGGCATGACGGTCGGAGTAAAGGAGTTGAAGGAGGAAGATTACGTCGATCGGAGTCAGAGGTTTGTTTCCTTTTGTTTGGAAAAAAAAAAAAAAAAAAAAAAAACCAAGGGTGAAAAAGGACAACTGCTGACAATGAACAGTATCCTCGTGAACATGTGGAACCACAGTTCGTTCCCTGGGTACAAGAGTCGGCTTTGGAACATGGCTGGCAAGAGTGAGGACAAGGAGACTGTTGAGAAGAGGAGACCGTGAGTTTGTCCTGGTCAGGTGTCTAGATTGTACTCCGTACTGACTTGCTTGTAGGTACTCGCAGTAATGGTTTCCTCGTCGCATCGTGTTGTCGATATGCATGATCTTACGCTGGAGTTAAGCTGTTACAAATGAGCATTGGTGCATTAGTGAAGGCGCTACATTCGATTTGAAAGCATTTCTTGTTATTTACGTCCAATTCAAGTGTTCAAATATATTATAATCAGCGTCGAGTTCAAGGTGCGGTCGCGTTGGTAGAACGGGTCATGTTGTCTTTCATAGTGTCGCATGCTCAACTTTTAACTCATCACATCACAGCACATGCTTTTCGCTCCAGATAGTTACGTTGAGTACTTGTATATATCTCTTCGTCTCACGAGTTGAAGTACTCTATTCGACATCTAGAATGCCTTACAACGGCGTCCTCCCCTAGTCCATTCCTGGTACTTGTTTGTGATCGATTGATGCTGTCTCAATAGGTATCAAGCTCACCTTGTGACAGTGTGGTCAGTCACAAGCCACAGCCGAAACCCGTGACTATGCTGATAGCTACCGAGCAGATAGTTAGTTAACTATGAACGACGCTGATAAATCCGAGTAAATTAGAGAACTTGCGGGGTTGACCCAGAATGACCAATGCACAGCGCTGATAGGTCCAAAGCCAAGTCTAGCCAAGTCTAGCCAAGGGTTTAACGACGAATCAGACCGCCCACGTGCCTTTGATTGACGGACATTCCCGCCCCACCAGACCCGGAAATGGCTGGCACGGGGTCGACCTGCTTTCCTCGATAGGCGCATAGACGAGTGCGGTCATGGTTGGCCGATTATCACCTGCGCTTCCGGCTCGTGTCGGTGGGATAATGCGCGAGGGGAGGGAGGTTATTTAGCTTCTGCTTGTTTCTGTCGGTGACTGGGCGAGTGCTTGTTTGTGTAACTTGACCTGAGTGTGTTGGCCATTCTTCACCGTTGGATTATCAACGACTTCACGGACGACTTCACGGACGATTTCATCGACAATTTCATCAAGCAATACATTGCCAAAATGTCTCTTGCGACGCTGAAAAACATCGTGGCTACCTACACGCCTCTTCCGGGTCGACTCTCGGACGTCGACTTGGAAAAGGAACACCAGTTGCCTCTGCATCATGGAGAAGATATCGAGTCACCCACTGCCGGTCAGAAGAAAGACCAGAAAGACTCGTCCTGGACCGTCGATGGACGCACAGTATCTGATGCGATCATCGGTTTATCGGACGGAATGACTGTGCCCTTTGCCCTTACAGCTGGGTTGTCTGCGCTGGGTGACACCAAAGTCGTCGTTTTTGGCGGGTTAGCGGAGCTTATCGCGGGTGCAATCTCCATGGGTCTGGGAGGATACCTGGGTGCAAAGAGCGAAGAGTAAGTACCTGTGCAGATTCAGTTGTAGGAAGTAGAGCTGACTCGGGTTTCTTTCCAGAGAATCATACTATGCGACGTTGAAAGAAACCAAGCATGAAATCATCACCGATCCCCCCTCCACCACCGAAACCATTTCCGATATCTTCGCTCCCTACGAACTCCCCTCTGAACTCGTCTCCGCACTCACCAATCACCTCTCCGCATCTCCTATGCTCCCGAACTTTCTCATGAACTTCCATCACACACTCCCTGAGCCCTCCGAATCACGAGCCCTGATCTGCGCCCTGACAATTGCATTTGGCTACTTCATCGGTGGTTTCGTGCCATTGATCCCATACTTCTTCGTCGGTCCGCTCGATGCCTACCTTGCACTCCGCTGGTCCATCGCAACGATGGTTGTTGCATTGTTCGTCTTCGGGTATTCAAAGACCTGCTTCGTGAGCGGCTGGAAGGGATCGCGGAATTGTCGACGAGGTTTTATTGGAGGGTTGCAGATGGTTCTGGTGGGTGGTGTCGCTGCGGGGTCAGCGATGGGCTTGGTTAAGGGTTTCTCTATGCTGGCTGCTTCGTCTGAGGGTCAATAGACGGATTGCATGTTTTTGGCGTTTCGGTTAATATTGTTATGATGAATCTCGCATTCTCATGCCGTATATACAGTCGGTGGACAAGTGATATTTGTATAGATTGAATAGAAAGTTCAATATATCTAGATGCCTGGACTCCCGCCAAGATCACGTTTATCTAACTCGACTACCCACCTGCAAACAAGTACTCGTAAAAACCAGTATGTATCCATCATTTACCAAACCCATACAGTACCCCATACAACGTACGGTATATACCGGCTGTGCAGTGAGCATCCTTCGGCCTCATCTTACAAGGCGATGCAGATATCCACAACTCGTATAGTGACAACGTCCACAGGCTTAGTCTAGCTTGCTCAGCCTTGTTGTCACCATCACTATAATAGGCACGATACAGAGTACGGGGTACAATACCATTGTGGACTTAGTTTCTTGGGGCTATTGTACACATTTGAACGATATTGGCAGTGAAGACTTAAAATAGCTTTTCTGATGCAGGTGATTGGGGCTGTATGTCTGTGCGTGGGTCAGTCTTCGTGGGGTGATTGTACTGTACTCCAGAGGAGCGAATCAATAGATGCAGCAAAGTATATGATCTGCAAACTATTCACCACCGACCAATTACGAGAATTCGCGAGAAAGAACTCAGCCCTGGCTCTATGAGCTAGGATCCTCGATGCGAGTGGACGGAAATCTTTGTCCTCCATCTGGCAGTAATAGCAGTCTTTATGGTGAAGTAAGGTAAGCATTGGCCATCAACCTCGGTTCACTGAGGCGGGCAAGTGGCTCTTCGATACTATTCCTGAAGAAACAGGACTCGTTGGGCTGATCAGACATTCAATAATGCCTTGAATCCGGGCGCTATTTTCTCCCGATCGAATGGAAAAGGTTAGCTGCCAATCATCTTGCTGTGCAACTAGAGCCAGTAATGACAATGTGCTACCAGACCGGAAGGGCGGAAGTGATCCAAACCAGAGACTCTGGCTAGGTTTCTCTTCCAACGAATGCACAATGAGCATATCTCATTTGCTTTTCGGTAGCAATTAACTCAAAGCTAGAGCTATCACCCATTAACCATCAAATAACCTACCGTGGAACCACTCAAGTTTATACACTACCCTTTTCAGACTCCATGATGTCAACGATCCAACATCGTTTGAAGTAGCCGCATTAGGCAAGTGTTTGAAACCCATTCGGAATGCCGTACCAGGTACGGGGACACATGTCGAATATTCCACGGCCATTCCACGGGATTCTCGGCTGAAATGTAGCATGTCGTGGATGTCACAGCCGTGTCGTGCCGTCTGCCGTCTGGAGGAAGGGAAGTTTTTAGTGGAGACGTTTTCGGTATGGATGATATCATTGGCATCATCGAGTCAGGGAGGGTTTGTTGCGAGTAAGTTTGTGCTGACGGTTTTTGGTATGTATATTCATACTGGTGTGCATTTGGTGTGCTGTACAGAATAGAGGTAGGTATGTACGAACAGCAGTATGGCCAAGATATTGGAATGACTTCACCTACCTGTAAGAGGTCAGTTATGCAGGAATCGAGTGATCGGGTAGCTCGATTGAATCCTGGTCAGAATAGAGTCGGTTGCATCTCCGATAATCAATCATATCTCAGCATCATCGATAACAACCATTATCAAGATGGCCGTATCCCCGCATCTAGTCCCTGGACAGGAAATCGCAAAATGATATATCATGATGTATATACCACGGAATGGTGCAACCAACACCCAACTGTGGCGCGATGATATCAAAATATGCACGATTTCCAGTTCCTGTTGAATAAGAAAATTCGGAGCAAGTATGCGGGAGGCGTATCGTATTACGATTCATGTACTCTGTAAGCTCCGTACGGAGTATCCTGTTGCCTTCACACACGAATACGAGAAAACGCCTTGTCCTCTTGGGTTGAAACTGCAGCGCGCTGCATGTTAAAATTAATTGTCTTGGGTGGTTTGATGATTTGATAAGGACAAACCTTACCTAAGTGTGTTTAAAGGCAATTTTATGCAGGATAGAACAGGGTAATGTGAACAGGCACAAGATGTACTCGCCGGAGCTAAGAGAGCAACCTCCGATCCGAGAATCCTTTCTGCACGTTTGTTTCATCATATGACAGCGACATGCAGCATACAGCGCTACGGCTGCAGTTGCCATTAAACATCGTGCTAGTACTCTCATCTTGTTCTGTACAAGTATTTGCACAAGTAGTTATGTATAAGCATAGCAGTGCTCTATACTCTGTACAGTACTCGGATCGTACTTGTACAGCCGGCTTGCCGTGATCTGCTGTGTCAAAGCCAGTTCTCGATACAACAGACTTTGATGAGACGTCCCATTTTTGGGGAGGGTCTCGTGTGATGTTTACCACTAATGGCCATAATTACCGCTACGGAGTACGGCACCGTATGTGACGATATTAAAATTTCATACATACTGACTAATCTACCAATCTAACTAACTAGTTAGTTAACTACACTCCGTACAAGACAAGATTACAAGTATATCTGCGCCTCATCTGGGCAGATATTTTAACGCGATTGTAGTATTAGATAAAATGGCTTAGCCCTTATACCCCAAAATATTCTGGGGCACAACTATAATTACACCGTACTCGTACTCATACTCACACTCATACGAGATACAATGGTGGTCGAGATCCCAACAGGAGACTTCAATATGTGCCGATCCTTTCACGGCGCTTAGAGCATCATCTCTTAAACAGCCAGTTTTATTTGACAACTTCCTCGAGGCGCCCTAAAAGGACCACCACACCGCCCGCGCTAGTAGCTTGGCCCCAGAAGTCGGTGATTTCGGGGCCATCGGATGCCGCTGACGGAGCGTGACCGAGTGGAGTCTGCGAAATTGATGCTGGAGATCTTCGGGTTGGGATTGGCTACCGGCGTGTCTCTGGGTGGAGGATGGCTACCGGCCAACCAAAATTGGGCTCGACAGGGGATCTGGTTTTTACCGGCTGGTGTACGCTCCGGTCACATTTCAGGCGCTCGGCTTCCGTTTGCTCCGAGGAGTCCGCCTTGTGTGCCTGAAGTGTTATTCAGGCATTAAATTGCTAGATTAGGAATGGCGTGTCTAGTATATTACTCCATTAAGATTAGACTAGCCGTATTGGGCCAGCGTATTTCTCCGGCGTGACGCCATGACACGGTACCAATACCATACGGTACCGTGACAATACCCGTCGCTGTCCGCCCAAGTCACGGCTCTGTTCCCTTTTTGGGCGTCTTTTTTTCAGTTCCAGCAAAGCAAAAATCATCAGGTCCCTTCTTCTCTCTTTTTTCTCTCTCTCTTTTATTCTCACCTCTGCTCTACTCTACGATATCGTCAATATCTCAAGTTCAACGGCTTCGTGGCAGTGACTCTTGGTCCAGCTTCTAACAAGCTGTCTCCGCCTTGCGTCAAGGGACGGTACCCCCTTTTACTTAGTTACAACGTGATCTCCCTCCTGCTACCTCCTCCCGTCCTCTCCTCTACTTCCGTCTCTGTCCTCTTGCATCTACTGCCGGAGTCCCGCGGACTTTACAACTGCAGCAACAACAATAACGACGTTATCTACTTCGGATCGACTTTCAACTTTTGAGTGCTCCTTCCCCTCTTTCCTCCCAAGGCCTCGCGTATTCTGCCTTCCCGTTCTGCCTTGGGGGAAGCCTAGTTCGACAACTCGTTCTGCCTGCTTTTCCTCCGACGACAATCATTCAAAACCAACAAAGAAACACATTATTGATTTTCACAACATCGAACTAAATCCTCCCACCAATATGAATTCCTCCCTTCCATCGTGGAAGGATCGCACGCAGAACCACTTCGGCAAGCTTCAGATTCAAGTACCATGGCGCTCCATGAAGCTCCTCGTCCCTCATCGGATGCGACGCAAACTCCGATCGAAGCTACGAAGTCGGATAACGCCTACCTCGTCGTTGTCGTCGCTGCAGACGTCCTTTTCGCCCGTCGATACGCTTAGATCGCTACAGAGTCATCGGTGGACGCTTTACGACTTCCAATACTTGCTGTTGTTGATCGTGTGCATTTTCTCGTTGACTATCATCGAGTCTCCGGGTCCGTTGGGGAAGACGGCTATGTTTACGGGGTTGCTCGTCTCTCTTCTCCTTCCCATTACTCGTCAGTTCTTTTTGCCGTTTTTGCCTATTGCTGGGTGGCTTTTGTTCTTTTACGCTTGCCAGTAAGTTGCAACCCTTTTTTTTTTTTTTTTTTTTTTGCTTTGTCGCAAATAGTCGCTAACAACGGTCGCAGGTTTGTTCCAAGTGACTGGCGCCCTGCTATCTGGGTTAGAGTGCTGCCTGCGCTGGAGAACATTCTCTATGGCGCCAACATCAGCAACATTCTGTCCGCTCACCAGAATGTTGCGCTTGACGTTCTGGCTTGGATCCCGTACGGGCTCTGCCACTACGGTGCTCCTTTCGTCACCTCCCTGATCATGTTTTTCTTCGGCCCCCCCGGGTACGTTCCGGTCTTCGCCCGGACTTTCGGATACATCAGCATGACTGCTGTTGCCATCCAGCTGCTCTTCCCGTGCTCACCTCCGTGGTATGAGAACCTGTATGGGTTGGCCCCGGCCGACTACTCGATGCAGGGTAACCCCGCGGGTCTGGCTCGCATTGACAAACTTCTGGGCATCGATCTATACACTTCTGGTTTCAAGCAGTCTCCTGTGGTGTTCGGTGCCTTCCCGTCGTTGCACGCCGCGGACTCGACTCTGGCCGCTCTTTTCATGAGCCAGGTCTTCCCCCGCTTGAAGCCTCTGTTCGTCACCTACACGCTCTGGATGTGGTGGGCTACCATGTACCTCTCCCACCACTACGCAGTTGACTTGGTCGGCGGTGGTCTCTTGGCCACTATCGCATTCTACTTCGCCAAGACTCGTTTCCTCCCGCGCGTTCAAATTGACAAGCTTTTCCGTTGGGACTACGACTATGTCGAGGTTGGTGATGCCGCTCCCGGCTACGGATACGGCCTCTCGACTATCGACAGCGACGAGTGGACCGTTGGTTCTTCATCTTCATTCTCGTCTGGCTCTCTCAGCCCCGTGGATGACCACTACGCCTGGGAGAGTGATTCTCTGGTCTCCCCGGCTTCCGACCTTGAGGCTGGACGGCATCACATCGTGAGTCCATAGTCTCACACCTCCGCTCAAACGATTTGGAAGTTCGCCTCCCGTGTTCGACCAAATTCCTTAATCCGCGTGATTGCATTTTCTTCCCCGAACGGCGTTTTTGCTCTGTATTAGACGACATACTGGGACTTGCTCTTCGTTTTGCATCGAGCCGATTTCGACACATACACTTTAATCGCTTCTTGTTACTTTCTCTGCCCGCTTTGAACGCCATTGTTTGCTGCGGGATTTGCTCCTTTTCTTTTTTCTTCGATTGTATATGCATTTGTGAAGAGCCCTGTCGCACTGTCGACTCCTGGGTCTTTCAAAGATCTTCCGTCCATAATGTTAATATCGGTGGCGTTGTGGATACCCTTTCGGCTTTGGCTGTCTTTGACTGTTGCCAATTCCTGGACTTTGTTTTCGATTCCGACCCTAGTCACTCTTTATCCGACTGGACGCTCGACCGGACCAGTCTCACAATATTTTTCATGTCCATCGTTCAACTACTCGGCGCCTAGGTTTGGGACATATGACGAAAAACCAAAAGTTTGGCGCTTTTGCTCGCACTTCATTCGCTGTGCGTGATGCTTGATTTTAACGACCATTTGCATGAGATATAGAGAAGAGGGGGAATGGGGAGCCCAACCTTGCAGACCTTGGGATCTCTTTGGATTTCTCACCCTCGCTTCGTTTTTGATAACCTGCGAACTTTGCTTGGATATCGTGCGCGGTTATAATGTCAACCATGCGAACACAGAGCTTGGGATAATCAAGACCCGGTCTGTTTTGGGGTACCTTCTTGGATGATGGTTCCAACGGCTTGAGGAATCGGGCCAGTGGGACGATGTTTTGACGGAGACATCGCCCACTTATTTATCCTTTTTTTTTGCTTGCTATCGGTAACGCTTTGCTTTTCGCACCTCGCACGACTCACCACGCCTTCCGATAATACACTTACCTTCCGCCCTATTTATCTACCTTGCGGCCACGCCATCGAGTTGTACGGTCGCCCCTCCTTCCGGGGGTTGTGTGACGTGATGAGGCACCTTATCCTTATCCGCATTCCTAATATGATAGCTTTATGATTTATGAACCTGTACAATAACGCTTGCTTTCGTGTCTATACTTTATAATCCAGTTCATCGTTCTATTAGCTGCATAAAACATAAAGCAACCAGTAAATCAGAAATGTGTGCCAACGAATAATACATTAATCTATGGATATCAAAACATGAGCAAGTCATACAGCCTTGTCTATATATATAGAGGGAGAAGAACGCGGATCACTCCTCGTATATCTGCACGCGATCTGCATATTCCTTAATCTTCGAAACATACGTCTCCTCAATCATATCCCCCTGCCCCCCAGCAACCCTCAACACAAGCTCATTCAACGACGCCCTCCCCAGAATATCAACATGATCCCCCGTATTCGGCCCCCCACGCGGCGAGAACCGATCCGGCTCATGCGGCATCTCATACACCTTCACCTGCACGCCCGCCGGATTATACCGCTTGATCTTCCACCCCTTCGCGCACATGTATCCCGTACTGAGTAAGTTTACCGTGCCGTCGCCCTCGCCCATGGCGACGCCGTGGTCGACGCCGTGTTGTGTGTTTGTCACGGTTGTGTCGATGCTGACGTTAAGGTTGACGAGGGGGTCTGGTTCTTGTTGGTAGAAGTAGCTGCGTTCAGTCGGTTTGCCGACGCCGTAGAAGCAGTAGATTTTCATATCTGGTGCTAGCGGGAGACGGGCTTCGAGGGGGTTGAGCCATGTACGGGGGTCGTTTTCGTTTGCTTCGACTTGTTTGCGTGTGTGTGCGACGCCGTGAGAGTACGAGCTGCGGATGTGTTTGCTGTACCAGTCTTCGCTTTGGTCGAGGAGGTACTGCAGGCTTTCTGTTGTGGTGAGGTTTTTGTGTGTGAAGGAGGATTCTGTCGCCGCGGTGAGGTTATCCTGGCGGAATTTGAGGAGGGTTCCGAAGGTCATTGCTTGGCCTGGTTGGTCGTCTGGTGCCCAGGTTGCGTTGCCCCAGACTGCTTCGCCTCCTTTGGGGAGCATGGAGGAGATGCCTGGCATGGCGCGGAAGATCTCGGCGCGTTCTTCCTTTGATAGGAATTTTTCGAGGCCGTAGACGGCGAAGGCGTTGAGTTGGGCTGTGTCGCGCATTTCGCCGGATAGGACTGCTGTGAGGCCTTTTACGGCGCCGAGCATGCACCCGCTGATGTTAATCCAGTTGGCGATGTGGCGGTTGACCCAGTCTTTGCCGCCTTTGCCGTGGGCGTCACTTTCGACCCATTTGAAGAAGTAGAGCACGACTTGTGAGCCCATGCTGTGTGAGGCGAGGGTGACTTTGTCCCCGCGGACCTCGACGGCGGTCTCGATATAGGACTTTAATCGGCTGAAGTAGTGATCGCGGATCTCGAGATTCGCATACGACAATCGCCAATCATACGCCGCCGTAAACGCATTCGTCGGATCATACCCAATCGTCGCGAGATTCTCCAAAATCTTGTTCCAAATCCAGTACCCCGTGATGAAAAAATCCGTAGCATCGAACCCCTGCGCCGCGCGCAGCTTGATCCCCGGCGGATCCAATCCTGTATCTTTATCCAGCATGACATGATTCTTCCATTCTGCTTTGTCCAGGACCAGTGCGCGCATCATGCTCCAGCTGCCCCAGAGGCGTCGCCGGAAGTATTGCCGGGAGCTGGCTTCGGTGCCCCAGCTTTCGAGGCCGGTGGAGATGACGCCGGGGATCATGACTATGGGGTATTTTGCTGTTATGCCTTGGGATTGCAGGTGGAGGCCGACGGAGAAGGGGTCGTAGCTGACGGCTTCGCGTTCATGTTGCTGTAGTCATCGCTGTTAGCAACATTCATAAAAAGTGTAGTCGGGACTACAGATAGTACGCACCGAAAACTCCCTCGCATCCTTGACAATCCCCTGCGGAATAACATCAATCAACGCATCGAGATTCAAATCCATCAACGAATCCAAACTAATAACCTCCTGCTGGTTCGCGAAGAACAGCGCAATGAAGATCCCGAACAGCCCGCCCAGCGCGAATATCAACCCATTGCGTCGTTTACTTCGCGGTCGGAGGATGATCTGGCGTTCCTGGTTCCCATGATAGTGGTCTTGTGTCTGGGTCTTGTCTTCGTGGGTCGTTGGTACTGGAAAGGTGGAGGCTCGTTGGTGGTCGTCACCGTCCTCCTTGGGCAGGCGACGGCGGAGCATCGTCTGGTTTTCGGTGGGTAACGATAATTGGGTATGAGTAAAATGCAGCAATGGGGTAGAAGATAGAATTAAAAGAGAGAATGGATGAAAAAGAAGCGACTGCCGTAAACCTAAATTTCAAGGAACGACGCGGGCAAGAGACAACGTGATCAGCGAAAATCCGGACGTCATTTCTTTCTGTTCCTCGGTCTCACGTTCAGCAATACTCACGAACACACATAACATCCCGACAAGCAATCGCAGCCCCCATGATCCCACGATAGCCACGAACAAACAAAAACAAAAAAAAAAAAAAACCACCGCCAAAATGAGCAACGAACTCACCTACATCCGCTACGACGCGGCCCTTGAAAACACCTACGTCCCCGCCATGCGCTCCCTAATCTCCCAACAACTCTCCGAGCCATACTCTATCTACGTCTACCGCTACTTCCTTTACCAATGGGGCGAACTATGCTACCTCGCCATGGACAAATCGCGGCCCGAGAACGACCAGATGGTGGGTGTTGTGGTGTCGAAGCTCGAGCCGCATCGCGGGGGCCCGCTGAGGGGGTATATTGCCATGTTGGCTGTGAAAGAAGAGTATCGGGGGAAGGGGATTGCGACGAGGTTGGTGAGGATGAGTATTGATGCGATGATTGAGAGGGAGGCGGATGAGGTATTTTCTTGCTCCCCCGGTTGCGTTGCCGATTGGAGGACAGGTGCTGATGGTGGTAGATTGCGCTCGAGACGGAAATCACAAATACTGCCGCTATTAAACTGTACGAGAGACTTGGCTTCTTGCGGAGTAAGCGGTTGCACCGGTATTACTTGAACGGTAACTCGGCATATCGACTCGTGTTGTATCTCAAAGAAGGCGTGGGGTCTGTCCGGACGACTGCTTTCGACCCGTACGGTGCTATACCGGGGGATCCTCTGGGACCGGTGCCGTTACTCCAGGGGAATCGTGAGTTCGTTTGAGTTGGATATACCACTTATGTTTGCGCATTTCGGTCATGACGGTCTATGCAATGATAATGATATAGAAGGAGTAATGTAGATGTACATAACATCCTTGACTGTCGCAGCAAGGATGAAAAGATTATAATATACACGGATAGAATACAAACAGCTCAAACCATCACGCCAGGGCCAGATGAGCTGAGAAAGACTCGTCTATACTTTTATCCCAGGAAACAAGAAACACGCTGACCGACGCCAATGGAAAAGAAGCCGAAACAACAAACTGCCAAAATGGATCATCACGAGCGTTGGAAATCCAATTAGCTGGATTTAAGATAACCCTTCCATTCCACAGGCACCTGGATGGCATGTTGTACCATCCATTCAGGCGGCCGCGGGACGCCCTTCCATTCAAGATCAAACAGCGCTGCTGCATCCAGCATAGTGGATAATGGCTGCGTAGGCCGGTACCGACGACCAAGTTCGATATCACGACGGACCAGCGCCGTTGCCAACATCAGCTGTCGCTCTCGCTCTTTTCCTCCTTGAAATCCAGTCATCAGAGATTGGACCGGGTTCGAGTGGAACTTGGCAGGAGTAAGTTTCATAATTTCGTCGGCGGAGGGGTATTCGCTCAGATGCAGATCAACGCCGACACTAATCTTGCCGGCGTTAGAGCGCCAGAGAACATCAAGGACATTCACTTTTTTCTTCGAGACGTTGGTCGTCATGGAGCTGAGAACGGACATCTTCATCTTATCAGTGACTGCCCCGTTCATGCAAGCGTATCTCCATATCACGCGGCAAATGTTGTAGCACCGGCCCTTGTAAGCGATCAGGAAGAGCCTCTCCCATATTTGCGCTTCCTTGTCCATCCGGAACCCCTGACGAGTGACGTATCGAAAGACGTATAAAAGGGCTGCGTAGATATTTGCGCGGCAGATCGGTAGGATCCGGAGCATAGTCGAACTGTCGATGTTGATACCATGCTCATCGCAGATATCAAGCAATCTATTCAAGGCGGGAAAGTTCTTGAGTTCGACAGTAGCATTGAACATCTTGTTGACCAACGATGGGGAAAACCAATTGGTTCCATGGGTATTCTCGAACAGCTTAATATACGAATCCACGCTGTGTCCGCCCTCGAGATGTAAAACCAGTGTATCCTGAATAGCTGTTTGTAACGCTGTCCGCATGGGTCCAATCTGAGAAAGATGGCCCTTCTGCATCATGTACATGAATAGGCCCGCTTTCGCATTAGGGCTCACATGACATTCGAGGAGCGCGACCCACGTGTTCGCGTCCGGTCGAATCTGAAGTCGAGCCATGGAAATCAAAAGATGGCGAAATATTCGGAAATCCTGTCGCCTTGCGCATGCTCTTAGGAGGATATTGAAAGTATCCACCGTTGCGAGATGTTCGCACCGAAGAATAACCTCCCGACAGGCTTTCATATACTCGTGTTGACAGAAAAAAGACAACGTACTATTCAACGCAGCGGTTGAAAGAATCCTCTGGTTTCCATCATTCAAAAATAGTTGCGAGAGATTTCTGAGAATTCGTAGGTTGTGTGGCGTTTGCCGGCGCGTCTGATTCTCCTGCCTGCGATAAGGACCCGACGTTGTAGATGTCAGCAGATCCTCAACATGCTCTAAGAATTCCCTAACGGTTGTCGGTCTTTCGGAGTCCAGAACGGCCTCAATCGGCATGGGAGAGTTCTTGCCCTCATAAAAGTCCCAGACCCCGCGGATCAATGGGACTTGAGCATTCTTCTGTCTCATGGCCTCTATCGATGGAAACACTGGAACCACGGGTTTTCTGATGTCGACCAAAGGGTCACCAGATTCTTGCAGACGATGCGCACGCACAATCCGATCGCTAACCAAATCCACAACCCGTGGAGACCCCGAGATGATTGCCTTGCGATAGCGTCCCACACTTTGGCCCGGAGACAATATGTGGACCCTACAGCCGTTGTGAACCGGTACGTACCAAATATTCTCCTTCATCGCCATGTCGTTGATGCCCGAAAGCAAGGCCACCGTTTCCTCCGGTATTAACATCACCTTGTTCTTCGGGCCTTTCAATGTCAACACGGGCGTATTCTCCTGGATACGCTCCAGCATCTTCTGGGTACTATCCATCAACCCCCATTTCTGCGTTTTTCCAGTTTCCTCGCCTATTTCTTTCAAATGTGACCGATATAAGAGCTTCCTCTGATCTCTGTTCGTCAACCTCTTCCGCCTCTCTCGAGCTGCCACCAACGGGCGTGCGTGGGTTTTGCCAGTAGCAAGCACTTTCTTTCCCTTTTCTTCCCACTGAAGCAATGGCGAACGATCGGACTCGATATCAGCGAATACATTGAATGACCTCCCACTATTCGTCTTTGCAGTCGCCTGGTCGATCGGAGCTCGAACCCGCCTGCGTCCTATTGTCCTGTCCGTATCCTCACCTGTTGTCCCTGATGCTTGCACACTAGAGCCATCTTGCTTGTCCGATAGCTTCGTCGAATCTTCAGGCCGATCATTTCTCAGGGTGGCGCTAGACGATATCCATCGCAACGGAGAACCCCACGATGACCCCCGCGGCGGACGATTTTGCCTCGAAGGAAGAATATTCGACGAACCGCGCAGGCACCTCGCAGACGCAAAAGCTGTCCGAGCAGCAGTAACACGGTTCACAGTCGCAATTGACCTCCGAGATGTGACCCAGCGTGGGTAGAGGAAGAGTAGAGGTTCATCGGGACCGACAGCGGCATTGTCTAAGACGGCTGATAGACCCCGTCTGCGTAGACAAGGTTGGCCGCGGGATAGCATGGGAGATGGGCCGCTCGTGGCGCCAGAGGCATGGGTATCTGAACGAGGGCCGAATTGGTGGTTTAAGGTGAGAAACAGAGAAGCGTTGGTTTCCTGGTCATTTTGTGGATATTCAGAGAATTGGGGTGGTTAGCTACACAAAAGGGAAGGCGGTAAAAATCGGACCGATGGGCGGCGGCGGCAGATTGATAAAGTGACATTTGTAGGCCTGAGGTGTCAATAAATACCATTTTGGGGAAATGGAGGCAGTGACTAATCTTACACGTGACTTCCACATGGTCTCGGGACACTTGGATGGCCAACGTTCAACTACATCCAGGAACAACGTTTATTTGTTATGATTGTCATGACCAGGAGATCTGCCAAGCTCAATTGAGGCTCACTTGAATTGCATTACATCGGCTGAGCTTGATCTGTTATAAGTGGGCGATAAAGGACCGTCCACCGTTTCGCGTTATTGGTTGCTACTGCTTGTTTGCATTGATACCCATTTGCTTGTTTATTCTTTTACTTTCTGGGAACGGCTATTCTACGATTCGACTGGAAGGAGCACGGTGAAAATGGCAGAAGGCGAGCCATCATACATAGACTACGAAGTCTTCCTAGACCCAGGATTCTCACCGGCCTCCTTTGCCAACTCCCTGGTCGTAGCTACCAACAATGCCACGGACAGTCCACTGGATCTCTCAACCCCGTTGTCGCGAGTTCTCTTCGACCTTCAGGAGATCGACACGCACATTCACACACTGACCAGCAAGTCCGCTTTGCCGCTCTTGTCACATACGCGGGACCAAACAGCGGCCGCTGGGAAGATCCTCCAGCAATCGGAAGAGCAAATCGCTGCAGTGACGCAGGGGTATGAGCGATTGGAACGGGAGGTGCTGCGCAAGTGGGAGACGGCTGACGAGGCACGGTTAGCGGCGGAAAAATCATTGGCAACGGTGCAGTTAGCAAGAGCGGTTGGACGGTGCTTGAACCTGGGGAGGCAGCTGGAGAGTCAATTGGCGGAGATGAATGGACGTGGCGGCGCTACTGCTACGACTACTAGTGGTGAGGCCCCGGGGCGGGAAGACTTTCGCGCTTTGGAACGCGCGGCGTACACAATTCTAAACCTACGACGAATGTTTCTGGCCACAGCAGAGGGGGAAGAGGGTCATGGGCTGGACCGGGTGAAGGTCGTGCGCACATTGCGGAGTGATCTGCTGAACCCGGCGGAGAGTTTGGTTAAATCCCGCGCACAGCAGGCTATCAATCGATTCTCCATGTCGTCTATCTCGACAGGATCGCAAGCGCCGTCAGGATATAAGCAGGCACGGGATACGCGAGCGCGCTTGACGTCCGCCGTTACGACTCTGTATGTACTGTCTCCCATGCCGAAGACTATGATTCCGGCGACCGAGTATCGACCGGAATTGCTCCAATCGACACTCCATGGCTACATGCATACGGCCATCGGGACCTCCTTGACAGCACTGTCCCGGGCCTTTACCATGCTCCCTACTCTGGAGCGCACGCTCTCGGATCTTTCTGCGCGCTGTCAGGACATCGTAGCACTCGAATACATTCTTGGCAATACCAAACTACCGTCTCATCCAATGCTGCTATTTGGCTTGGAGGGAGAGACGATAGAGACCCAAGCGCCCAGGAAAAACACCAACCTCCTGCAGCTGGTGCTAACCTCGTTGGACACGCCATCACTGCCATCGTACTTTTGGCGGTCGCTGGCCTCGTCGCTGGCGGGGCGGGTGCAAGAAATACTGCAACGCGGGGGCGTCTCGGCGCGGGCGCTGCGGTCGAACCGTGAGCGACTGCGGGGCGATATCAAGGATTGTGTGCTGCGGGGATCACAGCCTCCAACAGCATCAGGCATGGTGGATAAGGGACGAGGGGAGGAGGGGTTGACAGTTGGGAATTGGGAACGGGAGGCGGCGGTGATGGTCAGTTCGGTGGCGGGAGCATTATAACTGTTATTCTGTATGTATCCTCCCTTATAATGTGCTACAGGGATTGCTTTCATAGTGTGTACTCTATACTAACGCACGGATCCAGGGGCATCCTAGGATCAGGTACTACAGCCTCATCGTTATCTACTACAAGACGTGATACATGTATGTACTCGAAACGGCTATTGCCGGGACTATTCACAGGTACAGAGTACTTGTAAGCTACGCTGTATGGCAGTCCATATAGAGTAGGAGAAGGCAAATCCCCCTCCGCCACTTGGGGAAATGGTTGACGATTAGAGTCATCGAAGACGTCAGCATCCGGAGTTCTTTATGGTACCTGCGTGGAACTTCGGATATGACGGGTTTTTCTATCTCTGGGGTAGGGCGTTCCGTGGTCGTGTCTAATCAGTTCCTGTGTCTAGTCACCGGACAGAGAGTGTCTGGATTCCCTCCATGTTAATAGTGCTATGCTATGGTGAGATGTTGGCGCCGATATGACTCTGCATCCAGTCCGGTGTGTATTATTATAGCGGTTCCTTGTATACAGCCCAGGTATTCCGTACCCTCAGAGTACCCTGAGAGTATTACCTTCTTAAGTGTTCCAGAGTCTATCTCAGCGTTGGATTGAAACGATTCCGTTTGCAGCCAAAGTCACAACGGGACCGTCGGGCGTTTCAACCTGTTTCGCGGAGGTTTCGAAAGTCTAGGTCAGGCCGTTTGGATGGTGAAGTTATCATCGCTTTTGTATACACCTCGTAGTAGTAATCAGTAGGAGAGTATCAGTGGTTAACGTCAGAGTCCGGTCGGGGCCCCGGCAAAGGAGTACGTAGACACAGGATGAGTACTCCGGAGTATAGTACATCTTCGTCCCCCCTGGTGCCTTGATCTTCTTTTTATCTTCTCCTCATTCTGTTTCTCTTCCCTATTCTCCCTCTTTCCTTTCTTCAACTTTACTCTTCTGTATAGCCCCCTGTGCTTTCTTAGTCGTCGGATGGTTTTTCCATCTCCAACAGCCGCCCAGTGTGTTTCTTTGCTGTCATCCCACGATCATCGTCCCTCGATCGGCTCTCAGTTGTGTGGGTGGCTTTATTATCTCCTCTTTCTTCTCTTTTTCTTCCTTTATTCTTCTCTTTTTTTCATCTCTCCCCTCCTTCCACCTCCCTTCTATTCTTTTGTCTCTCACCTTTCTATCCTGAGAGATGCTCTTCTTTACTTAGTCTCACTCCTTTCTTTCTGTTCTTCTCTCCCTTCATACTCGTTCCCTGTCGGCCCTTGCATCGTCGGGCTCTCGGTTAAATCTCGTCATCGTCATCAGCCTCATCGTCTTTTATCATCAACAGATCTCACCAAAAATTCAACATTCCTTCGTCTCTGCAAAGCATTTTTTTCTTTGCCTTCTTCCCCTCCCCCTCTTTCGGGGCGAATAAGATACAACTAAACTCGTTTATCTGTAATCTCGGTTTTTTTTTTTTTTTTTTTTTTTTTTTTCCCCCCCCCCCAAAAAAAAAAAAAAAAAAAAAAAAAAAAAAAAAAAAAAAAAAAAAAAAAAAAAAAAAAAACATCCCACTGCGCCATACGGAGTACACTAGGTACGTGCTGCTATCTATCAGTCCCTGACCATGACCCGCTCGCTTACTGTTATGTCACGGACAGCCTCGCGATCGTCACCGTGATTTTTCTCCTCACTCGCAGACCAATTCCCTGGACGAAATAAACTAAACTCTCCTGAAACGGCCGGAGAACACTGGTCTCGTTGCGGCCCTTGCCCTCACCACGCCGATCGACTTCCCTCCTGCTCTCCCTCTTTCTCCATCACCTCATCCCTTCACTCCGCCTTTTCTCGCATCCCAAAACAAAAACCTACAGCTTCAGAAAGGGTCTCTGCGCTGGTTCCGTTGGCAGGGTGACAACGAAACGGCACCTTGCAGATAAAAAAGTAGCAGGAGAAACAACAGGAAAAAGAAAAAAGAAGAAAAAAAAAAGTTTCGTCCTCGAGTCTCATACCGACAGTCGCTCCCTCGCCATACATACACCCACATTTTCCTCTCCTTGAGCGATTTCCACTAAAAATCGCCTTTCCGTTTCCCTTTTGTCTTTCCTCTCTCCCCACACCATCATGTCCTCCTTTTTACCTGTCAACAATCAAATATCCTCACCGCAGGATCGTCCGATGGAGGATGCGAATACCCCGACACCTCGCGCAAGTGCAAGCAACGGCGCGGCCGCACAAACAAAACGAACCAGCTCCTGCGACGAGGACACTCCGCGAAACCTGAAGGATCGCGACTACGATGACCCATCGCGGCCCGCAACGTCTTCCCAACGTGCCACCCCCACAGCGCCAGCGGAGGAGGGAACACTACACCATGAGTCAGATGGGGAGCACTCAGATCACGAGCCGGAGAACGCGAACGACAGCAATGCTCCGCCATCCAAGAAGAAAAAGGGCCAACGGTTTTATTGCACTGACTTTCCCCCTTGTAACCTGAGTTTCACCCGGAGTGAACACCTAGCTCGCCACATTCGCAAACATACCGGGGAGCGGCCATTTCAATGCCATTGTTCTAGGCGATTTTCTCGTCTTGATAACCTGCGCCAACATGCTCAGACGGTTCATGTCAACGAAGAGATCCCGGGCGACTCTCTCGCTGCCATGGGTACGCGATTTCAGCGACAGATCCGCACAGACCGGGTTCGTCCGCAGGGCCGTGCTCGAGCGGGCACCGGCCCAAGTTCAACGCCTCATAGTCGTGGCCATAGTCGGAATCTGTCCACATCCAGTATCGGGTCCACCGCATCTACTTTCAGCCAGCCTCCAGAGATCCGCCGGCGACCGACCTCGTTGATCATGCCTCACGACAATAGTGCTCGCACGCGACTGGCCTTGGATGGCATGGTCGAACCTCCTAGTACACCCCCAGCTCAGATCAGAGGAAGCATTCCTGGTCCATCGGTGGGAGGGTCGCCATACACCCCATCGCATATGTTTAGCGGTGCTCCGGAACATCTTGCGTCGCCCATGTCCACAGCCTCCCAGGCCTCTGGCTTCTGGGACGGAAAGACTGCCGCCCGACGTCTTTCGGTTCCCGCAGGGATTAACCCATTCGTACAGCAGCAACAGCCCGTCCATGCGTACCCGCCGAGTTATGTCGGTACGCCTAGCCAAGCCCCTTATCCCGGTCCAGGAGGGGTTTATGCTAGCCCGGTTAGCTCCAATTATTCGCGTGATGAGGCAGAAGCGGACTTGCGTAGAAGAACTTGGCACCCGTCTACTTACCCTGCATACCAGCGGCCTGCAACGAGTGGCTTAAGCAGTTATCAAACTCCCGACGGGGCTCAACAGCAGCAGCAGCCTTCATTCAGTAGTGCGAATGGACAGGCGGAGCAGCATCCGCCTCGGCTGCCTGGAATTGAGAGCTTTGACAAGGTCATTTCGCAACAACGACCACTCACGCCTCCGGGTCGTCGACCGAGTCCCATGCAGGTTGACAGCGGTAACCAGCAGCGACCCGCGCCCAGTTATGGTTTCGGGGGAGGTTTCAACTATAATGCTCCGGCAGTGCGGCCTCCGCCCCCGGTTTCCGGTCCGGGTCATCGACGAGGCCATGTCTCGTGGGATCTGTCACTGCATGCCAACTTGACTGGACTGAACATCCGGGACAAGCCATTCCAGCGCGATGCAGCCCAATGGGGCCAGCAGACTATTGCGGAGATTCAGAATGTCGCATCGCGACCATCTACATCCTACCAGCCGTCCGAACACCGAGGAAACCCCGGGCCGGGCCATGGCTGGCACAGTAGCACGGCCTCGGGGTCCTCGCAGGCTACGCGGACGTCTCCTGAAGACTCGAGCAGTAGCGAGGGAGTCCACACGCCCTCCACGGCATCCCTTGAATACCACCCCGCTATTGTGCACCACAATGGGTCTATCGAACCCCATGCTCCCCACCACCATAGCGCTCTAGCGTCCGAGACGTCTCAATCAGTACGCACCCGCTACCCGCCCATTATTCGATGACCCTGACAACTAATTGGACTGTAGGGTTGCGCTCCACTTTCGTCTCAACCAAACGATGGCGATCATGTGAATAGTAAACACGAATCTCGATCCGATCTTTTCAACACGACCCGGGATTCCGGAATGGGCAGACTTGAAGCTTTGGTCGCTGTGGCCACAAGCGAAAACAAAGGCGCTGCCAAATTGTTTCTGTGAAACTTCTTTCGTTTCTGCTTTACTTGTTGAAGCCATCTTATATATACTCTACGACTGGATACGATCTTTTTTTTCTATAACTCCGCTGAGCCGGTACCATTTCGTTAAGCGACTCTATTTCTCGTTTTTGATCTTGACCGCTTAGGGTTCTATACCGCAGATGCGGAGGATTTTATGAAGTGACGACTGATGATTGACGTGTACGTCATCTGCGATGGGTTCGGTTTTGTTTTGTTTGCTTTTATTTTGTTGGAGGAATCTCTCTTCTCATCATGTTCGGATTTCTGGTTTCGGTTTGGCTTGCATGTTTTGGGCGTATATTGCATTGACGATACCCCGGCCTCGATCTCGAGTTTTCTACTACGAGGTTCTGGAATGGAGTTGTTCTACTCTGGTCGGCGGTTGTGCACTTTATAGTTGGCGATTTGCTTGTGTTTTTCTACTACTGCAATTTGTATATATGTCTTATGTCTCGTTCTGCTATGGTTGGCGGTGATTTGATTCGTTAGCGTCATCTGTCGAAGCATTCCAGATTGATAGGAGCAGGTGGGATACTTGTGCATGGCCATAAGCTTTGATTGCGTTTCTATTGAATTTCGGTTAAGCATTGCTCATTGGATAGGGAGTTAACCTCCATAATAACGTAGCATAAAATCAAAACTCTCCGGTCCATGATGTTTACTCCGTCTAGTGATCTCCGGATGACGTTGACGTCATGTATACAGACTCCGGGCACTTCTAGAGCAACATGATACAGATGCACTCTGTGTGTGCAGGGTTCACCTGCATTATAGTCCACAATGATCTAAAATAAGTTAAAATAACCATAGTAGGTTACTGCCATGTAACACCAAGAATCCCTTCAGCTATGATACAGCCGAGCGTAGTAGTAAACGACATCCGGCCATACAACGTCATCACGTTGTCATTGGCCTACAACTCTAAACCGGCTCTTTTTCGACGTCAATTCTGTTATATACGGTTCTTTTCCCATTGTTCATCTTCAACTTGAATCGAATTAGATCAAATCCTACCTATCTACTTACATCTCATCTTATCTACTCTTAACGAATAACAATCATGGCCCAAAGCAGAGCCCCCGTGTACCTCGGTCTCGCCGGTCTCGGTGCCGGTGCTTTCTACCTGTACAGAGCGGGTGGTGATCCTAAGACTGCCACTCAGGAATTGAAGGGTACGCTTCCCTTTCCTTTGGTCTCGACACTAGAGAACCCGATAAGCTAATGTCGTACAGCCGACGCCAACAAAGCCAGCGGTAAAGCCCCCAGCGGTGCGCGTGGAGTGGTCGCAGGCGAGAGTGCCGGAGCGGAGGGCACTGCTGTTATCGATGAGGCTGTATGTCCCCCTTCTGCCTCTGTGTTATAGATGAACGAAGCTAATAGGTATAGATCAACAACGCCCGCTCGAGTGGCAAACCCGACGAACGCATCCCTGAGATCACGAATCAAACTACCGGAAAACTTGAGGATGCTAGGGACAAGTTGAATGCGGGTGTTGACAAGCTTGACCGGAAGGTTGAGGAGAAGGCGACGGAGGCGAAGGGTGGGTTGTCGGGGTGGTTTGGGAAGTAGACTGTACTATTCTGTATGGAGTATGGTGATTGTATGATGTATGGCGACTGTATTTCTATGGTTCTTTCGTGGGTTATGAGATATGTCTATCTACTTTAATGAAGCATAATGGATCTCGCTTAATTCACTGTCCGAGTACTAGTACTAAGATGGCTAGATGCATTCCGATGTCACTGACGGGGTGCATCACCGGAGTGATGGAATGCGAGGCACGGACATATGAATTTTTATTAAAACCGACTGCAATATCATCAATTCTTTTCAACGATTATTTCTTCAATTCAAAGAGTTAATTTCAGCATTTAATTTATCGATACCATCAGTGCACGTCGGCTGTCAGATTAAACGCGCCGCGACTCACGCGACGCGCTCCACCGTGAAAAAATCACGACGCGCCCTAATTTAACCCTTTAAGACTAATACCACCTCTCCTCCTATACTACACACCTACCCATCATACCTTCCTATCCCATATGCTCTATCATAGGTAATATCATACCTTCCTTATATTATCACCATCGAATTACGAGGGAAAGCACGACCAATGCCTCGTACCTCCTCCCGATTAGCCGCCACGCTCCCCCGGGGGCAGGCGGGAATCCAGAATTTTGCAAGAGCGACCAAGCCAGGAACCACGACTGCTCCTTCCACCAAACTCGACAAGCCCGCTGCTGCTCCTTGCCTTTCCTACTCGCCGTCGAAGAAACGCAAGCTAGTCGAGATTGAGAATGTGGCTAGTGGAGGCGCTGCCGCCCCAGGGGTGGATGTCAAGGCCGATGAACAGAAGATCGAAAACGAAGCCGCTACACCCTCGAAGACACTTCGGTTCAATGAATTGTCTGTTTCGTCGCCACAGCCGCGCAGTGGGCACCGTGTTACTCGGTCGCCGTCTGTTCGGTCTCAATTGCGTTCTACGCGTGGGTCGGCGTCGGAGGAGATTCCTCAGACGCCGTCGAAGAGGAGTCGGTCGGTGAAGTACAATGCACGATCGGTGCCGCTGTCATTGTCGAAGTCGAACTCGCAGACGGTAACGAAGGTTGTTTCGCGCCCGCCATTTTTCGATGAATTGTTGAAGTTGCATTCAGCTTTTTTGAAGGCTCTTACGCTTCATTCTGCGCATAATGGTCTTATCGTTCCGGTGGATTTGAGGGAATTTCTGCAGGCCATTGGACAAGTGTGGAAGAAGAGAAAGGTCGTGGTTAAGGACTTGCAGCGCTTGGTGTGGATTTGGGAACAGTCGCAGACAGTGAAGTCACCTTTCCGGCTGGCGAACTACGGCCTGGGACGTGTGTGCCTGGAACGAGAATGGACGGGACGAATGGACGAGGCCGAATGGCAAGAGCAGTTCGAACAGACCCTCGATCTCCTCTGGGAGAAGACACTCGATTCGATCCCGAACTTGGGCGACGACGAGGAGGGAAAAGTTGCTGATCATTTTGTCGACACGCTGGGCCTTTCCCCCGTCCACGAATGCCTCACGCCTCTGACCTCGTTCCGGAAGGGTCAGCAACGCCTGCAGGATCTGAAGGGTGGTGTGATTCGAATGAAGACCGAGAAGCTTCGGGCGGACTCTGCGAAGGATGACGATAGCCCTGCGCCCAAGACCCTCCTCGATGCTACGCCGAACCGCCGCAAGAGTCTTTTGGATCGGATCAAGAACAAGGAGCTTCGCCAGTCGACACTCCCGCCTCCGCCGTCGAAGGATATGCTGATCCATCGTACTGCCGTCGAGCGTGTCGAGGATGTGGCCAACGTGCTCGCCTCGCTGCGGCCGGTTGGATATGTCGGTTCCGGGATTAAGGCGATGTTGGCTGCTCAGAGGAAACCGTTCCAGATCCCAAAAATCGTGCAGCATGTTCAGGACTCTGTCCGGAACCCCATCTCCCCCAGGGAGGTGGAGATCTGTATCGAGGTTATGGCCCGCGCCGACATCGCTGGGAACTGGGTGAACTTTGTCACCGTGAAAGCGGCCAAGATGGTCGTGTTGAAGTCTTGTGCCGATGTTTCCCCCAAGGAACTCGCGGCCAAGGCCTGTTCGATTAAAATTGGATATGATGACGAATCTGTTGCCAACTAATGTCTCTCATTTATCTTTCTCTTGTTTCTTTTGTATATAGCATCTACCTTCGGGGTTTTGGGTTATTTTCCTTTGTTGTTGGATATTTCATCCGTGGAGCCTGGATGCTCACGGCAGTGTCATGGAGCGTTGTGCATTTATTAGCGTTGCATGTATTATAGCATTCTACAATTATGATAATAGGATAATCAATGAATGAATCGCTGTCTAACATTCTCCTCTATTAATCTAAGGCTGTCGTATTCCATATTGCTCGCCGTACGTGAGCCACTAAACGCGTGACGCGTGGTCACGTGAGCGCGTCGCCATTGCGCGTCTTCCGCCTGCCAAATCAATATATCTAGTGTCCAACTCATCTGTCAAAATTGTGACAGTTGTCTGTCCAATCTATCAGCAAGATGTCTTCTCGACCTGACCTCAAGGTGAGTCTACAAGCTCCTATCACCATTGACATAGCCAAGTACTAACTAAATGCAAACCAGGTCGACGACGAAGTCGGTTTCATCCGCTTCTACCGCTCCCTCCCCGACAACACCAACAATGAAACCATCCGAGTCTTCGATCGCGGTGACTGGTACTCAGCCCACGGCTCGAACGCCGAGTTCATCGCCCGCACAGTCTACAAAACCACCGCCGTCCTGCGCAACCTCGGCCGCAGTGAGACAGGCGGTCTCCCCTCCGTGACAATGAGCGTGACGGTCTTCCGTAATTTCCTCCGCGAGGCGCTCTTCCGGCTAAACAAGAGAATTGAGATCTGGGAGTCCGGTGGTACGGGCAAGGGACAGTGGAAGTTGGGGAAGCAGGCGAGTCCTGGGAACTTGCAGGATGTGGAGGAGGAGTTGGGGAGTGTGGGTGGATTGGCGTTGGATGCGACGGCGCCGATTATTCTTGCTGTGAAGATTAGTGCGAAGGCGGAGGGGAGGGGCGTTGGTGTTTGTTTCGCGGACGCGAGTGTGCGGGAGTTGGGGGTTAGTGAGTTCTTGGATAACGATGTGTACTCGAACTTTGAGTCGTTGGTGATTCAGTTGGGTGTGAAAGAGTGTCTTGTGCAGATGGATACTGGGCGCAAGGATGTCGAGCTAGGCAAGATCAGGACGATTGCGGATAGCTGTGGGATGGCTATTTCGGAGCGGCCGGTGGCGGATTTCGGTGTTAAGGATATCGAGCAGGATCTGACTCGGTTGCTGCGCGATGAGCGCTCAGCTGGGACGCTGCCGCAGACGGAGCTGAAGTTAGCCATGGGCTCTGCGTCGTCGCTGATCAAGTACCTGGGCGTTATGTCTGATCCGACCAATTTCGGGCAGTATCAGCTGTACCAGCATGACTTGTCGCAGTACATGAAGCTGGATTCGTCGGCGCTTCGCGCGCTGAATCTCATGCCTGGTCCGCGGGACGGGTCGAAGAGCATGAGTTTGTTCGGGTTGCTGAATCACTGCAAGACGCCTGTGGGTAGTCGGTTGCTTGCGCAGTGGTTGAAGCAGCCGTTGATGGATATCAAGGAGATTGAGAAGCGGCACACTCTGGTTGAGGCATTTGTTGAAAACACCGAATTGCGACAGACTATGCAGGAGGAGCATTTGCGTTCAATTCCTGACCTGTACCGGCTGGCTAAGCGGTTCCAGCGCAAGCTGGCTAATCTGGAGGATGTTGTTCGTGTGTACCAGGTTGCTATCCGTCTGCCCGGGTTTGTTAGCTCCTTGGAGAATGTCATGGACGAGCAGTACCAGACGCCCCTGGAGACGGAATATACAACCAAGCTTCGACAGTACTCGGACAGCTTGGCTAAGCTGGAGGAGATGGTTGAGACGACGGTTGATCTTGATGCGCTGGAAAACCACGAGTTCATTATCAAGCCCGAGTTCGACGATAGCCTGCGCGTTATCCGGAAGAAGTTGGATAAGTTGCGGAACGACATGGACTCAGAGCATCGCCGTGTGGCACGGGATCTTGACCAGGAGGCGGATAAAAAGCTCTTCCTAGAGAACCATCGTGTGCACGGTTGGTGCTTCCGACTTACTCGTACTGAGGCGGGTTGTATCCGGAACAAGAGAGAGTATCAGGAATGCTCGACGCAGAAGAACGGCGTCTACTTCACCACATCGACCATGCAGTCTCTTCGCCGCGAGCATGACCAGCTCTCTTCGAACTACAACCGCACGCAGACCGGTCTCGTCCATGAAGTCGTCGCCGTTGCCGCATCGTACTGTCCCGTCCTGGAACAGCTTGCTGGTGTGCTGGCCCATCTCGATGTCATCGTTAGTTTCGCGCATTCATCCACACATGCCCCGTCCTCCTATGTACGTCCCAAGATGCACCCGCGTGGCACGGGAAGCACGATCCTCAAAGAAGCCCGTCACCCATGCATGGAAATTCAGGATGACATCTCCTTCATCACCAACGACGTCTCCTTGATCCGCGACGAGTCCTCGTTCCTCATCATCACCGGTCCTAACATGGGTGGTAAGTCGACGTACATTCGACAGATCGGTGTGATTGCGCTCATGGCACAGACGGGCTGCTTCGTCCCTTGCTCTGAAGCCGAGCTAACCATCTTCGACTGTATCCTTGCCCGTGTTGGTGCTAGTGACTCTCAGCTCAAGGGTGTTTCGACATTCATGGCGGAGATGTTGGAGACTTCGAACATCCTCAAGTCGGCTACGTCGGAATCTTTGATCATCGTCGATGAACTTGGTCGTGGTACGAGTACATACGATGGATTTGGTTTAGCTTGGGCTATTTCAGAGCACATTGTCACTGAGATCCGCTGCTTCGGACTCTTCGCGACCCATTTCCACGAACTGACTGCCCTCGCGGACCGATACCCCAAGTCAGTCAAGAACCTCCACGTGGTGGCCTTTATCGACGGCGCGGAAACCAAGCCCGAACCCGCAGAAGACGAGAAAGCCGAACAACAACGCCAAGTCACTCTCCTCTACCGTGTCGAACCCGGCATCTGCGACCAATCCTTCGGTATCCACGTCGCCGAGCTAGTCCGCTTCCCCGAAAAGGTAGTCAACATGGCTCGCCAAAAAGCAGAGGAACTCGAGGATTTCTCATCTGCAGAGCAACCGGATAAGAAGGAACAGCAGTCTGCTCTTGACGGATACTCTCAGGAAGAGGTTGAGGAGGGAAGTGCGTTGCTTAAGTCTATGCTGGTCAAATGGAAGGGGGAGATTGAAGCACCTGGTAAGGAGGGGCTGACGGCTGCTGAAAAGAGGCAGGTTATGAGGGAGATTGTTAATGGGGATGAGAAGCTGAGGGCGAGTAAGATGTTTCAGGGTTTGAAGGCTTTGTAGGTTTCTCTTGTCATAGTACATGGGGCAGGGAGTATTTCGGGTTTAAGCATATGGCGTTTGGGGTATCTACATGAGATCTGGATTACATTTAATTAGATGAATATGAAAATCTCATTGACCATTCAGTAACTATCTTGATTTCAATGCTTCAATTGCCGTCATACTTCCTCGGAAGTCACATGACAGAGCTCTCGGTCTAGACGCTGATCCTTCCCTTTCAGGCATTTGGCACTTCAGGAACGAACCTCATCTCGCGACCTGCTGTCCTTCTCCATGTCCACGAAACCGCCCGTCTACTCCCTACCCAACAATCGTCCTACACATGTCTGCTATCGATATTTTGCGACTCCAGAATAATCCCTCCGACCCAGCGATGTGCGCAACCTAAGGGCCAACGTCAACCGCGGACACGAAACCTCTCGAACGGAACGGCTCGAATTCATGCACCCCTTTTCCATTCTCACACTCGGTATCTTCGTAGCGGGATATATCACCGCGAGGTGGGATCTGGTCACTCGCTTATACGAACTGGCGATTTTCGCATGGGATCACGGTGTTGTGGTATGTCCAGGCTTTGTCCCCGGCGTGCGTGCGGCTTTAACTGATCGTTGGTTGATATGTGCTAGACTCGAACGGCTAAAGGATTCGTGTTCCTATCCTTCTTCTTTTTCCTCCTTGTTCTTCCGATAAACCATCTCGCTGCGCGAGAGGGCCAATTGGTATGGTTACTTCGTAACAACTTCGGGGAGCGTGGCTGACGTGGGGTATAGCATCCGCGACACGTGAAATTAGGAGTTTCTGCTCGGGAACAATTGCGCCGTCGGGGTTCGTTTTAAGCGCGATTAAAGGATGACAACATGATCATGAGCGATGGATTGCTACGAGTGTTTTGGCCATATGATCTCCCGCGCTCGTCGGCGCCAGGGGTGATTGTTGGATGGCGGAACTCGGAGCTGGATTTTTTTGTGCTTACGGTGTTGGAGGATGTCGAGGTGAGTTTCGTCCTTGATTTCGGTGCGTATATTGGCAGGGAGGAGCTGGCTAACTGTTCGCGATGGTTATAGCCCCGGAATGTCGACAATGCGCTGCGCGCCGGAATCCTCTTTCGCAATAGCCCGCATCCCATCGTACAGATTTTCAACCTTTGTGGAAGGTCGATGATGCATGTTCTCGGGACGACGAATCCAAAACATCCACCTACGACATTCAAACCTTCAGACCTATACGTTACAACCCCGCCGTCATGTAGGGTGCCCCAGATTTATTGTCCGCCAGAGGCGAACCTCTCGGTTCAAGCCATCATGTTTCATCGCCCGCATCCGACCCGAATGGAATACATGTCGTTGAACCCGATATCTCTCGCGTTGGGCGACAAGACATCGACTGCTGAGGGATCCGGTGCGACGACCAAAAGCGACACAGAAGAAGCGCATGAAAAGATTCGATCGGGGAAGTTGGTTGAGAAACTCAAGTTCCACACGGTGGTCAAGCACGTTCCGTCACAGAAAGAGCAGGCGCTGCCTCTCATCGTCAACCAGGCCAATTGCGCTTACGAGATGGGGAAACTCATGGAGAAGAATAGCCACCTGATTGGAATCCGCGCGAAGAGAAGCATGAGCGTTGGAGAGCGTGTGGTGGAATCCGCCACGACTATATGGGATCTCTTCGTTCTTGGTGTCTCTTATGTATTCTGGCAGTGGCTTTGGCCTGTTATCACTCGACTTTTTGTCATTGGTCTTGTGTTCCATCGTGGAGTCGCGGAGGTGGTTCTGCAGGTTCTTGAATGGCGCGCCCGCCCTGATGCCGCTGCTGTGAAAGACATATCAGCAACGGCTCAGCAGGTAGATATCCGGCTTCAGCAATTTTGCTACTGGCCCATACAATATGTCAAGCTGCGCCAAAGGAAGGATAATTGGGAGAGCGTTACGACGAGTCACCCAGATTACATCCGGTTCTACAATAGTCTTTGGCTAGTCGCCAATGATGTGATTATCGGGATTGCTTTGGGATCGTACATCATTGATAACGCGAATTGGGTGGCTTTCCAGATCAACATTGTCCTCAGTGGCTGGACCGTTGAGGGGCTGCAAGGGACAATCTCGTGGCTGATGGATTGGCCGGCTGGATTGAAACTCAATAATGAACTGGCTGCTTTCTTGGGTGACCTTTTCTTATGGGTTATAGAAAATTGGGCAGGTATGTCGATTTGTTCCTTCCCACTCACGTCAAGGCTAACTGGATAAAGCATGTATTGCAAATCTACAACCCTATCTTCCTCGCGTCATATACGTGGTGGGCTGCTCGAGCTTTGCCGGGGCAAGCATGCCCATAGCGCTCTTCTCCGACCTCGTCTCCATACTTACCGTTCACATCTACTCCTTCTACATCGCCTCTGCCCGTATCTTCAACTGGCAGCTTACGATTATAATATCCCTCTTCCATCTGTTTCGCGGGAAAAAGCGAAATGTGCTACGCAACCGTATAGACTCATGCGATTACGACCTCGATCAACTTCTTCTCGGGACGATCCTGTTCACCGTCCTCTTCTTCCTTTTGCCTACCGTCGTTGTCTTTTACCTCACCTTTGCATCCGCGCGGATGTTGATCATCTCATTGAAAGCAGCGTTGGATACCTGTCTAGCGTTTTTGAATCATTTCCCGCTTTTCGCGTTGATGTTGCGGGTTAAAGATTCGAGGCGGTTGCCAGGTGGTATTCGGTTTGAACTTCGGGAGGAATATGACAAGTCGAACAATAACTCCCCTACTATTATGCCCTATATCCATCTTGAGGTATGTCTTCTCTTCCACTTCGTCTTCATGAAAACAGCTAACAGGCGAAAAGTCTATCCCTCTTCCCCTCCGTGCGATGTTCGATCAATACTTCCAACTAGGCCATCGTCTTCGAAAACACTATCTTTCTCCACGAGTTATCTTTTGTCTCGTGACCGGCCGCTTTGTACCCCCTATCCACCGCCGCAACCTATACAGCATGCAATATAGCATGTTACCTGCGCGCCGGGCCGGAATGGTAGAGGTATGGGCTATGTTAACGCAGCCTAAAAAGGGCGGCAGTGGAGGTAGTGGCTCGTCGTCAGGCGGAGGGATGAGTACAGGAGGAAATGGGTTACTCAAGGTTCCAGCGGGATTTGGGCAGGGAGATGCTAGGAGACGTGGACATCGATGATTCCTCTTCTAATAAAATAAACGCACTATAATGTCTAACACCATATCTCTTACACCAAATGCGGCTTCCGTAGCCTGCCAATCTTATCAGACCAATGCCATATCGCCCAGATCAACACCGTGACAGCCGTCAAGGGAATCGTAATGATCCAGTAAATCCAGAAATGGTTCGAAACGGTGAATTCTTCTTCTGATCCCATGTCGAAGAAGTTCATTCCGAAGAGGCTCTATATGTTTATTATATTAGTTCGTCCACTATCCCTGGTTGTTGAGGCTTGGTTGGGAACTTACGGAGACATATGACCCTGGTACATAAACCAGACTGACGATTGCGATGGTTTTCATCATGGCGTTGTCGCCTTGCGCGTTTGTTCCGAGGTTTTGGGAGACGATGTTGAATGCCTATCTGAATCAGTCATCGTTCACACTAGAAGAATATAGAAGGGATGCTCACCAAATTGATTTCGTTCTGCAACCTCTCACTCAAAGATGCAGACCTCGTCTTCAGAGAATGTATTTCTTTAGCCAAAAACAGCAGATCCTGCTTGTTTTGAAGGCAAATCATGCGATTCCGCTTGGCAGGTCCAGTATTACCGTCATAGTACTCCGTTTTCCAGGATATCTGTGCCTGAACCAGCCGATCCAGCGTATGTTCAGCGACCTGTAGAATCTCATTCGCATGCGAAACATGACGCGCTATATCGTGTAGGTTGGGGAAATTAGGCGCCGGGGGTTTCTTTTGATTTCGTGCCTGCAAAGTCCGGAACATTGGAGAATTGGAATCAATTGAATCGCTCTGGGAAGTCGTAGTCAAAGACAGTGTAGAAGTATAATCAGGACGCACCTTTTCCACTGGCCGTACAAGGTTTCGTATAGACCAAACCGTATCGTCGTAGAGAGACTTTACCTGGCGAGAGAGAATGGTATGCCAGATAAACGGGTTCTCGTTGTCATGGCGAGAACAGGAGAGTGATTTGCTGGTTATTGAATCTTCGTGGTCGCTGGGGAGGTCGATGAAGAAGACTACTTGTTGGCCGGTTTTTGCGTGGAACTGGACCAGGACTGATACTTGGAGCCACCTGTAGGTGATTTCTGGGGATTCTTCGTTTGCGTCGATTTTTTTGATTTTGAAGCAGCTCCATGATACTGCATACTGTATCAGTAGTGTGGGTATTTTGGGGGGCGGTAGGACTAACTATGACTTGCTATCTTGCCCTCTTCGTCGATTATATATTTTGAATGGAAGGAGCCGTTGAGGTCGGCGTTGATGACGGGGTAGAAATCATCGGGGAAGTAGATATATTTCTCCGAGGTGTTGCAGGTGTCGATTGCTTTTATTGTTGTGAATCTATTATACGTCAGAAGGATGCGTATTGTGGCTGATGGACGGAGAAATGGCATACATGACAGTTGTGGAGCGGCGAGTTGCATCCTACTACTCATCAGCAAGACCAATACATATTGGTTATCAGATGCATTTACCTGGATTGCATGGCATAACTTTGAGCATTCTCCTTCCCAATCTACGCCTGCAGAAAGTCAGTGGTTGGCTTTTGGCTGTATATATGTTGAAATGTACACACCACGCGGATGGTAGACCCTAACGTCGTCGGCACTCAAGCACGAACTCCATCGTGCAGATTCCTCGTCACTGCTTGGTGATGGCGAAGATAAATCTGACATAACATATGCCATTATATATAAAATGATGTTATAACCAGGGGTATATTGCAGTCCAGAACAGAAAACGAAAGAAAGTGGAAGGCTGGGGATTTTATCTGACCCAAGTGGCAGTGTGTGTTGATTGCCGCAGCCTTGTTTGTGTCTTCAGCCAACCACCTGAGATATATAGACACATATACGGTGGAGAAGCAGTAAGCGCCAAAATGCGGAATAGCGCATTGCCAAAGATCAAATCAAAACGCCGTATAGATACAGATATCCCAAATGGTGTCATAGACAAATGTACATAAGTTCGTATATATCCAAGGGCAATCAAAAGAGGGGAGATCCAAAATAGAGAACGAGAACAGCAATTATTCTTCTCTTCGTAGAAAATCGGTGTCGCTCTCTCTGCTGTTCCTCCGCGCTTCTTCGACTATGCCTTCGATGCCTTTTTCTTTGAGGACTCTCTGAGAACAGTTAACAAGAAATCGATGTATAGAGAAATAGTCGCATACATTCAAACATGTCTTATACTTGGAGAAGAGGTCCTCGCATTCGTTTGATGAGGTTTTGCCTCGAAGGTATTCTTCATAATGTCAACAAGAATCATTTTCGAGTCGATAGATGTCCCAGACATACTCTCACTGTACCACTTGAGGAAACAAGTGTCATATTTTCTGAATTGACGGTTAGTAGTTTATCATCTCAGTGATAGTAGCGAACTCACTCTTTGATATCGTTGCACTCCGGAGCTATCGAAGCTGCCATCGTGTTATTGTTCAACGGTGACGCTTCCAGGTTTCCCGCGCGCTCTCCCATCGTCAGTGTCGTTTATTGTCAATGCCTATAGTCTAATATGAAGAGAATAAATCAATTGATCAAGCTTTTGTAGTTATTCTTCTGTAGAGCGGATCGTCGCTATGTCAGAGGATTTCTAGAGCTAATCCAAATATAGTAGGCGGTCAGTATTGATTCCGCCGGCCGGGCTGTTTCTCCACCTCCGAGGAATTATTCTTGCATTTTTTCATTTTCAAGGCGAAATTCTCTGATTATCGCCAGCATCTTCTACGCCGTTATTATTATCTTATTATTTCTGGCAGGAAGGCTGCAACTGGTCTGGCCGCAACCATGGATTCCGCGGCGGATTTCTCCCAGTTTGATGGACAATTAAAATCGTCACTACTGCAGGTCACGCGCACGATTAACCAGCTCTCCGCGGGAGATCTCACCTTCCACCGTTCTGCGAACAGAGAACTCGACGAAACCTTCAACGAGGAAAGCGGAAGACTTATTTCCTTGACCTCGTCACTCCTCAAGGCCGCGACGACAGGAACGGACCTGCGACCGCCGAAGCTGCGCAACAATGAAGAATCGCTCGAAGACAACTGGAACGGCGTGGTAGATGTCATTGATGCGTTGCTGGAACGGGCGGATGCATGTTTGGATGAATTCACCGGTGTGATTAAGAAATTGAGTCCCTCGCAGGAGGATCAGAGTGCGAAGGCTGCTGCGACGAGGAAACCGACGAACAAATTCCCTACCGTTTACGATTACGGGCCGTCGAGGATCCCCAAGCCGCAGTTGTCATTCGAGCGTAAGACGGATGCTGCCGATGAATCGCCTTTCCAGCCGTTACTCAAGACCAAGCCGCATGCGATTGTTCCGTTGGAGGAATCCATGAAACCGGACGAGTTAGGTGGTTATAGGAGCCCTTACGCGACGGAGATTCGCACCGCCAAATATCCTTCCTCGACATATGACGTTTCTCCTCCGATTGAATATTTACCGTTTAATTCGACCAAGGCTACGTTTGTGGATACAATGGAAGGGGTGATGGAGATGTTGGGCGAGCTGAAGGCAGCGAAGGAGATTGCGATTGACTTGGAACATCACGATGTGCATGCGTATCACGGTCTTGTGTCGCTGATGCAAATCAGCACTCGAGAGAAGGACTGGGTGATTGACACGCTCAAGCCCTGGAGAGAAGAACTTCAGGTGCTGAACGAGGTGTTTGCCGACCCGAGCATTCTCAAGGTGTTGCATGGTTCGTCGATGGATATGATTTGGCTGCAACGTGATCTGGGCTTGTATATTGTGGGTTTGTTTGATACCTTCCATGCCGCCAGCGCATTGGGTTACCCGAAACGGAGTCTTAAGTACCTTTTGCAAAAGGTTGTCAATTTCGAAGCCGACAAAAGATACCAAATGGCCGACTGGAGAATACGTCCCCTTCCCGAAGGCATGTTCGACTACGCTCGTTCGGATACCCACTACCTTCTCCATATTTTCGATCACCTCCGTAACGAACTTGTTCAGCAATCGACGCCCGATAACAACCTGATCGACTACGTTCTAGAACAGTCGAAGAACGAGGCTTTGCAGCGCTATGAGCGCCCAGTGTACGATGCAGCCACCGGACAAGGGGCAGGCGGCTGGTACGATTACCTGTGCCGCAACCCAGCGGTCTTGAGCAAGGAACAATTCTCCGTCTTCCGGGCAGTCCACCAATGGCGTGACGCGGTGGCCAGAGCCGAAGATGAGGGCGTGCAGTGCGTATTCCCCAAGCACATACTATTCAAGGTAGCGCATATCATGCCGCTTGAAATGGGCACGCTGCTCAAGGTCCTTTCGCCCGTTACACCGATTACGAAGAACCGATCATATGAACTTTTGGAAGTGATCAAACAAGCCAAGATCGACGGTGCCAACGGACCTGAATGGCGCGACTTCATCAAACCCGCCAAGGCCGCAGCCGGCGCTCAGATAGCTGCCGAGTCTGATCTTCTGGAGATCGATAATCCCATTGCTGAGCGGTACGAAGTATCGCAGTTCTGGGGTAATGCGCTGGCAGCGCAGTCCCAGGAGCCGCTCACACCGCCCGAGTACTCTGTTGTGGCGTCCGCGGAGGCACTACGGCTTTCTTTACCGCTACCTCCCATGCCAAAGACGGTGACGGAGGTTACTACGGCTAAGCCACCGTCTCCCAAACCTGCCGCACCCGCACCCGAACCCGGACCGACAACAGAGGAGGAACAAGAAGACCCGAACAAGCCGTTCACCGTGAAAGAGAGGGGCGGGCCACGCAAGCGCAAAGCGGAACGTACACCAGGTACAGATGCGACCGAACCGTCCGACGAATCCGACATTCTCTCTCTGGACGTAACCGACGAAACCACGAAGCCCAAGCAGTCCAAATCCGAAAAGAGGAGGGAAAGGAAGAAGAACAAAGCGCCCAAGTTGGAACAGGACCAATCGGAGGAAGCGCCGTTTGACTACGAGGCTGCGGCGTCTGTGCTGCATGCACAGCCTGCACAGCACGAAAAATTGACACGGCGGACGAAGAAGAAGCCTTTCAATCCGCAGTCGAAGCTGTTGGAAACGCCGGCTGGAGCGCGCAAGTACCAAAGGGACATTCCTGGAAAGCAGGCTACCTATCGGTAGATATGGTGTATTTTTGTATAGTCGTTGCATAGTGTTTTTAGCGATACCCGTTCAAAAAAGGTATTTTGGTTACAAGATCAACGACCACGACCGTAGAGTGTCTTTCGGCGCTGCTTGACCATGTAGGAATACATCATGATGGCGCCTGAATTGTAAGCATCGCACCTAGTATGGTGGAGGCGGGGCAAGACTTACCAGGCACATAAAGCCCCAGACAGAAGTAGTAAATCAACGACGGCGTGGTATCAGCCACTCGCGCAGCACTATACATCAAAAACCACTCACCCCCAATGCCAACAGGGTACAGCACAAAAAACAACGAATACCGCAACCACTTCAACCACCCAGGTACAGAGACTGACCCCGCCAACAGAATCACAAAATACGAATACCGCACAACATCCGCCAACGACCAGGCAAAAAGCATAGCCGCATAGACACTCGCCCCGAGTCCGAGCCCGGGCTCGGGTGCATGTCCGACTCCGACCCCGGAGGCCGGAGACGGGAAGAAAAGTTGTGGGTAACCCCGGTCAATGGCCCATACTTGAACGCAGCGGGTGAAGACCTGCGTAAAGGTTGTGAAGACGGGGGCGCGGGTTATTCCTACATGTTGTTAATTTTATTTTTCCTATAAGAGGTATTTTTTGGGAGCGAGTAGTATGTACCCAATGCAGCGTGGAGGATTTCGGCAATGGCCAGGGATTGAGTACCCCGGGCCCAGGGTTCGATAGATGGGTACAGAGAGGAAGGGGAGGTGGTGAGGGTGGAGACGAGGATTCGGGCCCAGAGAGCGGCGCTGAGGAAGTTGTAGAGGGTGAGGTAGAGGGATTTCATGTTCATTACTGGTTGTGCAGTGCAATAATGCTATGGGCTGTGGTGGTGAGAATTTTCATTTTCATCTGCAGGTAATAATTTCCAAGGCGGTCTGAACCATTAATGCGGAGAGCCGATCACCCCTGAATCGAGTCCACATCCAGGCTGTACCAGAGGTACGGAGTAAAGCATTCATATCGGAGGACAGGAATGAATAATATGGTAGGCAAATGCAATATCGTTGACCATGGGTGATTTACATAAAAAGTTAGCAGTGATCAGACGATCCGTGGTTGTCATTTCTCACTCTATACACATGATGTCATCGAGTCAGGGCGTTGATTGGCCGTGCACGACGCAGGTACCGCATTCCCCTGATTGTACCGAGTGCAGATTGAGTGCGGAAGATATCAAAAAGACAGCAAAAAGAAATGTGTTACATTGCAGGACCCTTACAAGTACAAGTACAGTACCAGTACAAGTAGTACATGCTAAATTAAGCGAACGATAGACATCTTATCCACACGCTTTGACCGAGGTCACTGATAACCGCCGTCCAAATCGGGTTAGTGTGTCAATCAATCCACGTATGGATCCCAAAAGAGTAAGAGGTTACTCTCGACACTGGCTGAGAGAGAGTGATTGATGCAGTGAGAATGCCCTCGTTCTACACAGTAAGAGGCAATTTCATACAAAGTACGACGCTCGAGGCATCGTTGTGATTCAAACTAAAGGCAAAACAAAGACTGCGGCAGGTGATTGCCCTTGCATTGGCTTGCATCGACCCTCGCACCGGCGTCAGAAACGTTGGGAGGCAGTACAGTCGCACTGGTCGGATGACAATCTCCCGTTGTGTATAGAGTAAATAGAGCATGTGCATGTATAAGTGCATTATGATCATTATTATTCTCATTATATGATTACAAGTGATTACTTGGGAGTTGGCTGGGGTGTACTCCGTACTTATACTTAAGGTACTCATGCTTATGGGTCCACCGCCCTCATCCCTAACACTAACTTAATCAATCCCCTCTCTCCCCCATCTATCCCAACCCTGTCTTTTTCCTTGTTTTTTATTCAATATCCTCCTTCTTTCTTCTCTTTCCTCTACTTCGTTCAGTCATTATTTCCCCTTAAATCGCTCTCTCACTGTTACCGTCACTGTCTTTACCAATAGGCAATCCGTTCCTGACCCAAATCCCCATTCCTTAGTCAGCTGCTCTGTCTCTGGCTCTTGCGCTCCCTCCCTACTTTATATCCGACTACTGATACACTCTGGTATGTATATCTTCTTTGCTTCAATTTCTGCTATATCTGCCTCTCTTGAATCGCTGTTTTCTTCTCTTCTGTTTCTCGTTTTCGTTACTCTCTAATACGGGCCCGAATCGCATCCACTCCCCGTTCTTCAACTCCTTTCTCTGCGGATCCTGAACCCACTCCCCTCTCCCCTCGTTTCGACTCGACTTCTTTTTTTTTTTTTTTATTTTTTCTCACACACTTCAGCCCTCTTACTCTTCTCTCTTTCTAATAATATTCACGACTGACTTGCGATCGCTTTTCTATGTTTTAAAGGGATTTGTTTGCTCTATTGACAAACATAGTCGTGTGTCGTTCTCCCCGTCCAGACTCACTCTTTCTCAAACGCGTGCGATAAGGAGGTACGACTGTTGCGTGATTGGCGTCCAATGATCCATGTCTCTTATATCCTAAACAATCGGATTCTAATAATTTTCACGCAAAAGAAATCTTAGCAACAATAGGTCAACTTGTCAGCTGTGGAAAGCAAACTCAACCCCTTCGCTGATCGACCGGTCGCTGGCGCCCTGTCGTAAACTCTTCGACTCGCGCCGCTGCCCTCTCCCTCGGGACTCACTTCACATCTAATAATGCCCGTTGCTACGATGCTCCAACCGGCCTCGAGAACTTCTACCTCGTCTTCGTCATCCTTCCAACCCATCACCCGTCAGAACACCATGTCTTCCCACGACACTCGGTCCCTCCGTCAATCCAAGCGGATGTCGGTCACGGCCTTGTACCTGTCTATGTCGGCCAAGGACCGCGACTTGGAAATTTCAGATGACCTTGCCAAAGGTAATTGCACTCTATATTCAATTGCGCAACGTTTAATTGACCATATACAACAGCCCAGCGGCATTTGCGCGATCTGAAAACGAAAATCTCCTCCCAATCCAAGAAGAACTTCGTCCTCGAAAAAGATGTGCGATATCTCGATTCGCGGATAGCTTTGTTGATTCAGAACCGGATGGCGCTGGAAGAGGTAAGCAAATGCCCTTGGTTCCGGCTCGTGGTCGTGGATACTGACTCCGATCTATAGCAAAACGAAGTTGCCAGCCACCTAGACGACACCGCGGATCCGCAGGAGGGTTTCTTTCCCAACGACGATAAGACTCAGAAATATGGAAACCTGCTCTTCCTTCTCCAGACCGAACCCCGTCACATTGCTCACCTTTGCCGACTTGTCTCTATGGCGGAAATCGATTCCCTTTTGCAGACCGTCATGTTCACCATCTACGGAAACCAGTACGAGAGTCGCGAAGAGCACCTGCTGCTGACTATGTTCCAGTCGGTCCTGACCTATCAATTCGACAACACCCCGGAGTTCTCGTCGCTCCTGCGTCAGAATACACCCGTGTCGCGCATGATGACCACCTACACCCGTCGCGGCCCCGGTCAAAGCTACTTGAAACAGGTTCTCGCCGACCAGATCAACACGTTGATCGAACTGCGCGACGTCGACATGGAAATCAATCCGTTGAAGGTCTACGAATCCATGGTCAAGCAGATTGAAGAGGAAACCGGGTCCTTGCCCGACGACTTGGCCCGATCGGTCACGGCAGAGACGGCCGCGGAGAACAAGCAGGTACAAGCCATTATCGCGTCACGGTTGGAGATGTTGACGAAATTCGCGAATGGCTTCCTGACCACCATCATCAACTCGGTCGATGAGGCTCCTTACGGTATTCGGTGGATTTGCAAGCAGATCCGGAGTCTCACGCGGCGCAAGTATCCGGAAGCGCAAGACCAAACCATCTGTACACTTATTGGTGGATTCTTTTTTCTGCGCTTCATCAACCCTGCTATTGTCACTCCCCGCTCGTACATGTTGATTGATGCGACGCCCACCGAAAAGCCCCGTCGCACGTTGACCTTGATCGCCAAGATGCTTCAGAACTTGGCTAACAAGCCCTCGTATGCCAAGGAGCCGTACATGCTTGCGCTCAACCCGTTCATCGAGCAGAACAAGGAGCGTGTGAACAAATTCATGCTCGACCTCTGTGAAGTGCAGGACTTTTACGAAAGCTTGGAAATGGACAACTATGTCGCTTTGTCCAAGCGGGATCTTGAGTTGCAGATCACGCTGAATGAGATGTATGCGACGCATAACTTGCTGGAAAAGCACAGTGGAGCCTTGGCGGCTGCAGACCAGCACTCGCATCTGCAGGAACTCCTGCAGGAACTAGGCTCCGCACCGCCCCAGGTCCCGCGCAAGGAGAATCGAACAATCACTGTTCCTCTCTTTAGTCGTTGGGAAACAGCCTTGGATGACTTGACCTCTGCTCTTGACATCACGCAGGAAGAAGTATGTTTCATGGAGGCCAAGTCGACCTTTGTCCAGATCCTTCGGTCCCTGCCACCAAATTCGTTGATCGCTCGTCGTCCACTCCGCCTTGATCGCATTGCTGAGGCTGCAGCCACCTTGCGGAATGATGCAGTGATGGTACGCAAGGGAATCCGCACCATGGAGCTCCTAAGTCAATTGCAGGAGCTGGGCGTTATCGATCGGGCGGATGACTTTGGCCTGCTCCGGGATGAAGTAGAGCAAGAACTGGTGCACCTCGGGTCTTTGAAGGAGAAAGTATTGGACGAGACCAAGAAACTTGAAGAAGTTTTCTCGACCATCCGCGACCACAATGCGTACTTGGTGGGTCAGTTGGAGACCTACAAGTCCTATTTGCACAATGTCCGCAGCCAGTCGGAAGGCAAGTCGCGGAAGCAGCAGAAGCATCAAGAGCTTGGTCCCTACAAGTTCACCCACCAACAATTAGAGAAAGAGGGCGTCATTCGGAAGAGTAATGTTCCAGAGAATCGCCGTGCCAATATTTACTTTAATTTCAAGAGTCCTTTGCCGGGTACTTTTGTGATCAGTTTGCACTACAAAGGTTTGTTTCACTCTTCTCTTCCACCCCACTACCTCTTAATAAAGCACGTGCTCACTCTCTTGGCAGGCCGTGCTCGTGGCCTTTTGGAGCTGGATTTGAAGCTCGACGACTTGCTGGAAATGCAAAAGGACAACCTCCAGGACCTCGACCTCGAGTACGTCCAGTTCAATGTTACGAAGGTGCTTGCGCTCTTGAACAAGCGGTTCGCTCGCAAGAAGGGCTGGTAATTATACACCCTTCCACCACTTGATGTTAAACGACGTCTTATGAAAAACTAGAACTACTGAATGCCAACGAATCGAAAGGAGAAGAGACGAAAATACCAAAAAAGAAGCAAAAAAATTTCCGAAGATCCCTTTTCTCTCCTGACGAACGATGACCGAACCTCCTCTCCAGCATTTACGTTCTATACAACAGCACGGACCGGATGGGTTTGGGTTGACTAATTATATGTTACGACCTGAAGATGGACGCCTCTCCTATATCTATATCCCGATCTATCGATGCATTGGCCCGAGTAGACGATCGAGACGACTCGTCGCATATTCGGACCTTCCGTTATCCTTGTCCCCGGCTTTATGACTGAGCTGAGGAACTATATCATGATTCCGATGGATCAGGGCATTCCTGCTGGTTCAGGGATCTCGTACGTTCCTAGGGATGTTTTTCATTTTCTTTTCTACCTATGTTATACCCGTTACATGACTTTTCCTGTATTTCTTGTTTGATTTGTGTTCTCTGATGACTTGATTGGCCTGTCTTTTTTCCCACAAACTTAATACCGGCCATTGATTGTTTATATTGGAATCGTTCCAAGGCCTGCCCCTCCCCCCCCCCCTTTTCCTGTAATCTTAGTCGTGTGGCGGTTTTCTACATTTACCGTCTAATTTTTGGTGACCCATCTCCTTTCTTCCGTGTGGATTAGGTCGGGATCGACACCGTGGCCGTGTTTGGCTGTCAATGTGGATGTCTCGTTTTCGTTTTCGTTTTTGCTCGGTTCTTGACTTCCTGTTGAATGTGTTCAATCAATACCCGTATGATTATTTTGTCGTGCAAGAGCTTATATATATATGCAGGCTGTATGGAACGTGTGCCATAGTGTTCTATTAATGTTATCTACCATACTCCATATCCCTAACATGTCTTCGAAAAATGGTCAACCCTACACCCCTGGAGCGGGATGGCCCTGAACTGACAGGCACCCGGCATATGTACCAACCGGCAAGTAATCTACGACAGCTGGCTCCAGTGTAGGACACACTCTGGCCAGTGTGCTGCCCACATTTCATCTTGGCCTACTCCGCAATGTCCGTTACTAGTATCGAGCGGCGCCTGACTCCGTCAGGGTCTATCTACCGAGTCAGGGACAATCTCAACCTGATTTGGCCACGGCGTTCGGAAGGAAATTTGGATTCTGGAATTTGAAATACTGCTTGTGCCCAGAGTCGGAGTTGTTGGAGTTAATTGAACAGGATGCCGTGATATCATGCCTTGAATGGTAATCTCGATATTAAGGAGAGTAGACTATGGGGAGTCCATGATGTCAAGAAGCAACCAATTGATATATAAAGTCTGCACAGTGCTGCAGCTTTCGCAGCAGAGTGTCCTATACATCTTTGTGCACCTCTTGTACCTACAGTTGCATAGACAATGCCAAAGTTAATGCTCGCGGGCCTGGCCCTCTTGGCCGCCAAAGCCACTGCCAAGACCTGCTTTAACAGCACCGTGGAGATCCCCGTTACGTCGCGCAACGGCGTCTTTGACAACCTCAGCACGCCCAAGACCAACTTCGAGGCGGCTGCGTTTGCCATCTCGGCTACTCGTCAGGGCGCTAATGGTACGGAGCAGGCGCTGACTGACTATGCTACTATCTCAAAGACATACAAGATCTCGACGCAGTATTGTATGCCCGATGCTTCTAGTCGCGATGCTCCGCTGCAAATCCTGACGCATGGAATTGGGTTTGATAAGATGTGAGTGGTATTCCCGCGAAGATGGAGGATTGTGGCTGACTCTGGTAGTTACTGGGACCTCCCATACAATGACTTCAACTACTCGTACATCGATAAGGCCCTTTCGCATGGCTACCACACCCTTTCCTACGACCGTCTGGGTATCGGCAACTCCTCCCACGGCGACCCCAAGAACGAGATCCAGGCCTTCCTGGAAGTCTCCGCCCTAGCCCAAATCACCAAGATGGCGCGCAATGGCTCGTTCCCGGGTATCCGCCACAAGCCACAGAAGGTCATCCACGCCGGCCACTCGTTCGGCTCGGGCCTGACATACGCCTTGTCCGCTGCGTACCCCAGCCTCACGGATGGTATCGTCCTGACCGGATTCTCGTTCAACACGAGTTTTAGTTCGTACTTTGTCGCCGGTGCGAACTTTCATCAGGCGAACCAATTCCTCCCCTCGAAGAACACTTCCTCGTCCTACTACCCGCCTGGTTACCTGGTGAGCTCGAACGCCGTCGCGAATGAGTTCCTCTTCTTCACGCCGCCGTACTTCGACCCCAAGATCCTTGCTTTCGCGGAGCAGAACAAGAAGCCCGTTGCCATTGGTGAGCTTTTGACTATGGGTAGTGTGCCCATGCAGAGCCCCTTCACTGGACCGGTTCTGATTATCACCGGTTCGAACGATGTCCCCTTCTGTGGAGGCGATTGCCTTAACACAGGTGGTGCTGCGGAGTCTATTCCCGCGCAGGGCAAGATGGCGTTCCCGTCTGCGAAGGCGTTTGAGGCATACATCCAGCCGCACACGGGACACAGCCTTAACCTGCACTACAATGCGACGGGGTCTTATGAGGTTATTGCTGGTTTCTTGAAGAGCAATGGGTTGTAAGAATGAGTTTGGTTTCGGATTTGTATACGGGATCCTTTGGATCTAATCTAATCTATTCTGTCTAATCTTGATGGAATGTTTATGATACATGAGTACTACATAGTTTATGGCTGTGGCTGTGCTGTTAATATTAATCAATTCGAGAATGTCTCCAATTCATTGGGGCTGCTACTGCCATGTATCGCATTTTCCGTCTTGAAATCTGAAACGCCACTCGAAAGGGGCTGTTGGACGGTGGTTTTACAATAATAGCGATGATAATAATGGATCGATAATTGCCTCGTTGGTGTGTAAATCAATGCATAGTTGCTATGGTGTAGTGTTTTCGGAGCAGAGACACCCAACTGTCAAAGTTCCCATAGAGTCGGTCTGTCACTGACAAGTCATCAAGAACACGATTTAATTATTCTAGACTTTAATATTTCTTTTAATTCCCCAATACTCCTGACCATTCTCAGTCCATCTGCAGAACACGCTCTGGCCTCGTCTTTACCGCCTACTGGACCACCTCCCCTCCGCCTCCCCCCTTAACATTTCAATAATCTGTCCCATCCACCGACCGTTCTGTTCTTCTCTTTTCCCTCCCCACACCTTTTTGTTCTGAACCGATTCTCGATTCTTGATTTTCTGTTATTCTTGACAACCCTCTGAACAAAGAAGAAGTAATAGTCTCTTAATCTCCGAACCGTCGCCATGGCCGCTCCCTCCAAGTATGACGACTACGATTTCCCGACAACCGCCCCAGAGCCCCAATCCGGCCACCCTGGTCACACAACCCCAGAGCAGAATACTGCTGTGGATCAGCTGCGATCGGAGCTTGAGCAGTTGGGTTACACCGAGAGATTGGACACTCTGACTCTGTTGCGGTTCCTGAGAGCCCGGAAGTTTGACATTCAGGCGGCGAAGACTATGTATGTTTTTTTATTTTTTTTTATTTTTTATTTTTTTTTTCTTGTTTGGGGAGTGAAGAATGGAACGGGGAGGGCTAATGTTGGATAGGTTCGTCGACTGTGAGAAATGGCGGAAAGAGTTTGGAACCGATGATCTTGCTCGCGACTTCAGCTATGTTGAGAAGCCGAAGGTTTTCGAGTACTACCCTCAGTACTATCACAAGACGGACAAGGTGCGTTCTCGCTCAGTAATAATTGGGGGTGTACGTTTGGCTAACTGGCGTAGGATGGCCGTCCCGTCTACATCGAAAAGTTGGGCAAGATTGACCTCAATGCCATGTACAAGATCACCACCGCCGAGCGGATGCTGCAGAACCTGGTCTGCGAATACGAAAAGCTCTCCGACCCCCGTCTCCCCGCCTGCTCGCGTAAGGCCGGCAGTCTGATGGAAACCTGCTGCACAATCATGGACCTCAAGGGCGTCGGCGTCACCAACATCCCCTCCGTCTACGGATACGTGAAACAAGCCTCCAACATCTCGCAAAACTACTACCCCGAGCGTCTGGGTAAGCTGTACTTGATCAACGCGCCCTGGGGATTCGGCGCCGCCTTCAACGTTGTCAAGGGCTTCCTCGACCCCGTCACTGTCAACAAGATCCACGTTTTGGGCTCCGGCTACAAGAAGGAACTCTTGGCGCAGGTTCCTGCCGAGAACCTCCCCGCTGAGTTTGGTGGCACCTGCAGCTGCGCTGGTGGCTGTGAATTGAGCGATATGGGTCCTTGGCAAGAAGCTGAGTGGACCAAGACACCCAAGTGGGCGGCTCCTAAGGCAGAGCCGGCTCCGCAAAAGGAGGGTGAGGAACAGGCTCCCCAAGCTTAAGCTTGTTTTTCAATTGTTCAGTGGTTTTTTTTTTTTTTTTTTTTTTTTATCTTTTGGAACATGGTATAAAGAAAGAAAAAGGTTCATCCATTTACCTTCATTCTTTCCCTCCTATTTCTTCCTTTTTCTTTCTTATCTTATACCTGGGTCCGGGCTACATCAACTTGTCGTATTGCTGCTGGGTTGTTTCTGACTCGGCTTTGCCGACATCTGCATAGATTAAGTAATCGTTTCTGCTGGGCCCGTTTTCCCCCTTCTTGTGATTTGATTTCGTGAACTAGATATTCTAAATCTCAGGCGTGATGACGGTGTTGTGTTGATACTAAATGGAGACTGGGGAGTGAATTAATATAAAAGTGACGTGGCCCAATTGGGCGGGTTGGTTGAATCTATGTACTAGTGTATAAGTGAAATGTTTTTCTGCAAGTTCCGCCCGGTTGCCTGATACGGGTACCACCGCTTTTATGAGGGCAACACATGAGTGCTCTGTGAGTGCTCCGTGAGCGTTTTGAGCCACTCACTGATTGCTCACTGAGCACGCACCGGCCGCTCCGGCTGCTCCCGGATACCTGTAGCAGGCTCAGTGAGTGAACCGGGAGTAGCTCTTCCTTTCTCTATATTGTTTTCTCACGTGACTATCACTGGGTCTCTAAAATGTGTACATTAAAGCTTCTTAATTTATGACATAGCTTATCACTTTCGTGAGGGTACCATGAGTATAAGAGCTGAGTAACTTGATTTGGTCACTGCACATGATGGCTATTCAAAGCAGGCTTTCTGGTTGGATTAGGAGGAAGTGGATGGAAGTAAATCCCATCATAGGTCTACTTCAGAGGCTTTTCTCCCTGATCTTGAATATAAATACAGTATACATTCCTTGATGCTAGTCACTACTTCCCACTCTTATAATCTCATCTTGCATGCATCATCTACTATGTCTCCCTTTGTGTCTCCTGTGCTCATATTACAATCGACCTCAATTGCAGAATCCAAAAATGACCAAATGTTCTGACTCCTGGAAGGCCTCCCAGCTTGAAAAGAAAAGAAAAGTTCGCTGTGAACGTCGTCAACAGCGGGGATATGATGCAAATGCCCATTGACAGAAAGATGCTGAATGAACTAGGGGTAGAGCATCAATGGAGACCAAAGAGAAGTATAGAGAAAGGGTGCACAAGTATGAGGAGTACGTCTCTATGTCATTCAGTCATAGGCAGCTCTACTCACATTCATCTCTTAGGTTTCTCATCAAAGAGAAGAGCATACCTGAAGGCTATAAGGTTGGAGAGGGGCATCCGGCTCCGATGCTTAAGGAACTCAAAGAGTTTATCCGCTGGCTCATTGAGTCTATGGAGGGCAGACTTGCTTCAAATGGATGACCGACCATGAACACAATTTTAGTTCGAGCCCAAGAGTTTGTTCCGGGCTTCTTTCTTGAAACTGGAAACGAGATTTCTTCCCATGATCGGACTGACCTCTACTACATAAGCTCACTTTGCTCCCTTGAATGAGTGCTTTTGCTCATATACGGCGGCTCAACACTACGGCAAAGGATGATACATCACAAACACTACCCAGTCAGTCATGTCGCCAACATTCCTTTTAAAACCTCTTCATTATCTAGATAGATTTCCTCTTCTTCTTTCTTCTCCAGATTCGATATTCTCGTCGATGGCTACAATAGTCTAGATAGGAATTCAGTTCGTTATTATCTACTATTCCGAGCTCGTGACAGTCGCTCACTAATATTGAAGTACAGTCGATTTCGAAAACAGTTTCCCCTATGAACACTCACGCATTGTTTCTCGGCTCGTACCCGAAACCACCCTAATCCGTATCAGGTTACTCTGGACACAACCCCTGCTTAGCCGTATCGTCTCTCACAACGTACTGGATTTCAGAGCCAAATGAGTCACGGTAAAATACAGGAAATACCCACAGAATATTCTAGTAGGATTCTCGAGGGGTGGGGGGAAGATCTGGCGATCTGGCTTGATCCATGCCCACCATCCTCCCTTCATCTATCTCTTACAGTACTGTACATGATGAAGGCTGTGCTACACTACTGTAGAGGACTAACCCTGGTAGGCTAGCATAGTCCTCTTTCGTGTCGCCCATGGCTCTTGCTATCTACCGCCGCTATTATTCGTCACTGGCGTTTGCTGACCGCTGGTACTGGGTATTTGAGCTGATGTAGATCTCTAGGCCTTTGATCGTGTGTAGATATGAGCGACAGCCCCTATCATGTTGACTACGTCTCTCAGCCCCAAGAGCTCGAGCCATGGGAACAGGATTCACAATATGCCCTAACCCCCGGATACTTCTGCAGCCCTTATACCACGTGATCCAACTGTAGTCCCTCCCCGTCTATCCTCCTCGACGATGAGCCCATTCCCGCAAGCTGACTTCGACCAAAGACCGTGCCACTGCTCCAGGAATCCGAGTGGGAGCAGGGCAAGATCTACGACGAGGATCCACCAAGCTGTATCCACTACTTCATAGAATGGCGGGTCACCGTCAACAACAAGGCAGTGGTGAAGGACACGGAAGAAGACCTGGTCTTGGCCCCAAGTGCGTACTGGCAGCTTTTCTTGGAAAAGAAGCTACGGGCTGTCCTTGGACAGAAATTCTCCCATGACAGAAGGGTCAGAGCTGATGACACTGCCATTGTTGTGTCAGTCAACGACCGTTCCCAGCGTGACCTGACTAAGCGCTTCAACAAGACGGATGTTGATTGGAATTCAATTGAGAAACAGCTTCGGACGTGGTCGAGTCACTTCTGCCGAGGCAAGAGACTCACACTGAGGATCAGTTTTAATTACGTAGAGGATTGCACTTCTCCACCCGCTGGACGGAAAGTCAAGAAGAGAGGTAAATCGTCTGCCATGAAGAGAATGCTTGGCGATCGAGATATCCAGCTAGACGCTGAAGAATATGCATGTGGTCAGCCATATCCTCCTATCAACATCAATGTCCTCCCATCGCAGTCTCATCTCCCTGGGTTGGACATCACGGCTTCCAAGGCTGTTGACTCAGCTGGGCCGAAAGAGACGGGTCTATTGAAAATTCCCGGGTTCAAAGACGTAGCTGTCAAAGAATACGGTGACTGGCTTGCATCAAGTGTATCCGATGATACCCTCAAGGCTGCATTTCGGCAAGCGTGCGATGTAACGCTGTCAGATGGCTTTGGTCTTGAGCACATCTACAAGGATCAAAATCCGGAATTCTTCGTCAGCAAGGGGATCAAACCCGGAATTGCTCGAACTTTTGTTGAGAACATTCGTGAATGGGTTGAAAGCGTGAAGAAAGCTACGCCCGTCCTTGAGGTAATATAGAATCTATTGTGTCGGCGCTAGGGTAGGCGAAATGGGTGGATGCATTTGTCGATTCGGCTTTAACGTGCACAGAGCTATTAATCCATTAGGTTAAATTCATTGATTATTCTCGAGTTTTAAAGCAAGTTAAGTGCCTCGTCTGTGGTGATGCGGCTTGGTGGTAAGAATCGCATCAATCCTTGAGTCACTCGTAGCAGAGGTTTGAGTTTTGGGTCGCGCACGGCCTCAGCAAATTTCTGTTCGAGCTTCGACATGGCGCAATCTTTGAGCGTAATTAGCAACAGATTCAATAGTGTATCTATTTGCTTACCTTCTACTTCCAGATCATGGCTAGATCTCGTCTGCATTGACTCCCATTTAGACTCCCATTCAGTCGGCAGTCTCTCCACGAAGCCAATCATTTGGAAAACCAAAACTTCATCCTCACCAAGATACCAGAATGGGTATGTTGTGAATAAAAAGGAATAGATCTAGAACTGATACATCAGTAAAACCGTTTGCCGGAAAAAAACACATGGCAGCTTACCATGCAACCTGTGCGCCACAGGTCAACGTGATAATCAAAGGAGTTCGTGAAAATCGTCTCCGGTACCCGCAATGTACCTGGCTGAGCCAACCTTTTAGGCTCCTCGCCTTGAAGAAAGCTCTCCCTAAAATCAAGTAGTCGAATATCTTCATCGTCCTCATCGATCCACTCGACCCATTCTGCTGCCTTGACCAGCTGTTTTGGCAATCCATTTTCTAAAGGCGTGTCATCTAGGCGGGCCAACGCCTCAATTTCAGGATATCCAAGAAATTCAAAAAGTTGTTCCTCTGTTGTGTTCAACAGATTTGTACAACTAAATGCGATGTTCCGTCCGCTAATGTCTAACATAAAGTGAGTACGATTATACCAGCACGGAAAAACTTGCGCAGACAACGCACTCACCACCATGACACATGCCGGCACCGTGAATGAACTTCACGACTTTCAAAAGCTGTGTAGACATCCGGACTATAGTTTTCGTGCAGAGCTTGTCGTGGCTCTCATGGTAGTCCGCGAGGACTTGATCGACGGAAGGACCAAGCAATTCAAATGCGAGACATTGATGAACTCCGTTGGGACCTTCATGAGTAAATGAATCGAGTAGTTGTACAATAGTACAATATAGTTTGAAGATAGGTTCCCTCGCGAATGCCTCTCAAGATGCTTCAAATTTTGCAACTCTTGAGACACCCCGGAATCTGCGGTCATGATCTTCAACGAGACCCATTGGTTTCGGCTGGCCCAAGATTAGCAACGGCTAAGCAAGAGACCTTACAGTACTCTGTCGATAAACTGACACTCTATCCTTCGCAAGCCATACAGTTGAAAAGCCACCCCACCCTAGCTTATGACGTACGCTGTAGCGACCATTTTTGAATGTATCTCCAAGGCTGACCGGATGGTAACCCCCAGGTTGGTACCTTGTCAGGGACTCCTCTGTGTAGAGGTGATTGTTTTGGATGAATAGAGATAGATCCATCAAAAGAACATTCCTAACCAGAAGAGATGACCATGAGATTTGGAAATTGCTTTTCAACATAGGGGTGTGGAGCCGACTACAGAGGGTATGCATTCCTTGTCAGGGTGCAGTGATCCTAGCCTGAGTAATCCCGAGTTGCTCCGGGATCACTCCAGGATCACTCCGGCGTGGTGCCCTGAGCGCTCCGGGCACGCATCACCTTGCTCCGGGTACGCTCCGGGCTGCTCAGGGAGCCAAAAGCGGCGAGAAGTCGGACCGAAAACGGAAAGGGAAGGTTCCCAGACTTCCGCAGCAAACTATCACAATAGTCGTGTAATCGTTCATCTCAAATCAACAGTGGAATAAGTATTCCGTACCAAAAACGCCAACACCGTCCAATCCCATTTACTAGTATCAAAGTGGGTATAAAATCCATCACATCTTCTCAACCACCTCAGCCGCGCGTTCCGCACGTTCTGCCTTGCCCACCGTCGTTGCCAGCGCATTTCCATCCGTCCCTGCATCAGCGATGGCATCTGTATCCTCACCCTGAAGCCGGAGTAATGTCCGCAACGCATCATCGTAAACCTCAGCCATCTCCCCATTGCGCCAACGCTCACTCTCCTGCTCCGAACCAAGTGGCACCTCAATCTTCCACTCCGGCCTAACCTGTCGTCGCCGCCGCGTCGTCAACCCAGCACCACCCATCTCAACATCCCCACTATCCTCCTTCTTCGCCACCACCTCCTCCTCCCCAATATCCCCAAACTCCTCCTCATTCTCAAGCCCATCCTCATCATCCCCCTCAAGCACCTTATTCAATTCCTCCGCATACATCCGCGCCGCCCTCCTCGGCGCATCCCGCCTCAACTGTGCCACCGTCGTAGTCAGCGATTCCAACTGCGCGTATAGCGAGGTCACCCGCGCCGCGAGCGCGGTGTCGTAGGGCTCAAATTCGACTGTCTCGGCGGGCGCTTGGAGTGATTGTGAGGCTGTTAGGGGGTTTAGCGAGAGGGAAGTGTGATCGTGGTCGTCGAGGCCGTTGATGTTGATGGAGTTGGAGGCGGTTGTGAAGGTATTTGTTATATACTACATACACCCCTGTTAGTCGACTGCGATTGCAATAATTGGTTGGAAAAGAGAAAGGGTGGAAGGGGAGGTACCTCATCGACTAATTCACGAACACGCTCGCGCATAGGATCTGGGGCATCTTCGGTATCGTTTGTGGCGGAGGGGGGCAGATGGAGGTCTAGTTTTTGGCGGGAGAGGGTGACGGTGTTGGCGTAGAGGTAGGTGATGTCTGCGGGGGCTTGGAGCTCGATTTTGCGATGCATTTTCTTTTTCTTGAATCAGATTGGATTGATTCGTTAATGTTGATGTGGTGGTGGTATGTATGGTTCGCTACTGTTTGGCACGACGCGTGATTTTGTTGATGCCTTAGTTACGGATGTGACTGCCTGATCGCCAAGGCAGACTGATCGACGGGCGATGAAATCATCGAACCAGTGTTTTTTCTCCCCTCGAACTAGAGTTGGTCTGCAGATTTTGAAGGTTGTGGTCTCACGCTGCGACGGCGGCAACTCTAAAAAGGAGGGAATTGTGGAGGAGTTGGAGGTTAGTGTGGTGTTTGATTTGTATTTCTGTTGCCTGGTCTGTGTTTTCTGTCTCTGTTTTTTGATTGCTTGCATTCTTTTTCTCCTAGTTACTATTACTACTACCCTATATTCAGTCTGGTTGAGATCGATCGCTACAGGGATGGCATAGTGATAACAACTCATGATGACATGGTGATAATGCAAACTCTTCTCTTCTGAACACTTACGCTCCTTTTTCTCATCTTTCTTTTCACTCCTTTCCTTTCCCTTTACCAGGTTGTTATTGTACTGCATTTGCCACCCATCTTCAAGGTGAACTGATTGGTTACCATGGAGCAACAAGACATTACCAACATCTCCCTAATCGACAACACCGTTCCCCCAGAACTCCAACAACAGGATCCCGACCTCTTTCGTCGAACGTCCACAACTCTCTCTAGGAGTTCTTCTACCCGACGATGGTCCAGGCCTTCGGTCAGGGGTGAGCTCCAGAAACGGAAATATGCAAAGTGGCAGCCGCATAAGTTGGGGATTACGGATGATGCTCCTGGGGGTAATGGGAATAATGGCAACGGAAATGGGAGTGGAAATGGAAGTGGGCAGGATTCGCGAAGGATGTCTCTGGTGGATGCGCGACGGTGGTCTACGACAGATGGGCTGAGTACAGGGGAGAGCGGGCCATCGTCGCCGTCGATGAATGCGAGTGTCGATGCGACGGATTTTGGGAGTGATGGGATCGACAATATCATCACCAACGGGACGAACGCCAACGGCAATGCCAACAGACAACAACCCAATGGCCCAGACAGCACCAAACCCACCAGCGAACTAGATATTCTCTACGAAAACCAACGCGGCTGGTTCCTCTTCGGCATCCCCCTCTACTCCCACAGCTCACTCCTCAACTTCGACCCAAGCGCTTGGGTCACGCGTAACCTAAAAGACAGCCCCGTCAACATCACGAATGCGCAACTCCCCGATCCAAGCTGGGAATGGGCCTGGCAGACCTGGTACGTCGATATGTCGAGCGATGTCGACGAGCAGGGGTGGCAGTACTCGTTTTCATTCTCCTCGTCTGCATGGCACGGCTCACATCCCTGGTTTCACTCGTTTGTCCGTCGACGACGATGGGTGAGGTTACGGGTGAAGCGCGCTTCGATGGAGAGGTATCGTGGTCGGACGGGGTTTGAGGAAGCGCATATGCTTACGGCGGATTACTTTACTATTCACTCTGGGAGGAGGAAGAGGGTTTCTAGTGTTGCGGATATGTCGCGTGTGCCGTCGACGTATACCTCGGGGCAGGGACCGATGGACGAGGTGCCGCCGTTGGAGGAGATTGGGAATATACCAACTTTGATGTATGCGTTGAAGAGCGCCATTGTGGATCGGGAGAAGATTGATGCATTGAAGCGGTTCATCGATGACGGTGGTGATGAAATCTACTATCTAGATGAAAAGGTACCCCCCTCCCCCGTCCCCCTACGGTCCCTATATATTAACTGGTTAGATCCCCGAAATAATGTCCGTCTTCGTCTTCCAAACCTCCCGCTGGCAATTCCTCACCCACCTCCTAACAACCATAACCGATCTCTCACAACTCATCCCCCAAAAAACCGGCAAACAAGCCATCGAACTCCAACGCAAACAAGAAAACCTCGCCAAAGCCGCCGAAGCCATCCGCAACAACATCACCGGTCCCGAGCTCGTCGCGGACCACCATCATATGCTCGATTTAACCCCGATATCGAAGTCAAAGGAGGGCAGTCTGCTGTCGAAGAGGAGTAGTATTAAGGTGAAGGATTTGGAGAACGTGAGGCCCGTGGGTAATGGGGGTGTTATTAAGGGGATTCCGAAGGAGGCGGAGGTTGGGAGGGAGGGGCATATTTATCAGTATACGTCTTAGTGGGGGTTTAAACTGCATTTTGTATTTTTATGGGGTTTATTTGGTTTACTTTGGTGTTGGAAGGCGTTGGTTCATTGGACTGACTAGCGCTTGATATTATTCGCATATAATGATATACCTTATTTCGACCGTATTTCCTCGCTGTCATCCTTCTCACATTCCCTTTAAATTCAACCCAACCCTATATCCGGGGACATGATAATTCGAGCTTTTATCGAAATCTGTGCCGGCTGTTAACCCCGATGCTCGAACACCCAGGTCTTGATGACACGAGTATGGACATCTAACCCCCCCAGTTGTTTGATTTTGCCCAATGGGCATAAACCCCAATCTTTCCTCCGTAATATACCCGGTCAAGGCCGTTATGTTGTCGTGATAAGCTGACCTCCAACCTGGTACGTCTGCCTTTTATCGGAGTGTCTCCACATTACGGAGCATGTGTCAGGCGTTGTGGTCATTTTCCACGGTTGAGAGATGTGTACTCCCTAACTAAAAGTCTTTGCTTCAGTGGTGAAGGGTGGGTAAATCAGTTCTGGTCTGCAAATAACTGATACTCAATACTCACTGCCCATGGCGGACCCGGTCCTCTCATTCTCTGGGCTTACTGTTTAGTTTTCTGCTGCTATTCTGTATTAGCATTTATACTCGAGATAGTAACTTGGTCAGATACAAATTACCTTGAGCAGTTTTTCACCAGTCTCTGTCTGTATGTTGTGTAAATGAAGGCGCCAAATATTAAACACCCAGGGATATCAGACATTTATAGCCTGCGCGACGCAGAGGCAACTGCGTCCCATTTTGAGCTGCAAGGTCAACAAGGCCTATAGACATGGTTGGTGCATCTTTGGCGATTTTAAAGACATATGGGCACCATATGTTAAGAGGAGTTCGGTCTGCTAGGTTGATACACTTTTTCGTCATTTTTTGACAGGCCACAGTGGTACTGTGTATGCTCTCGCAGTAAAGGTATGCTAGATGATTCATTTTGCAAAGTATTATTCGTCGGAGGGATTCCCCAAGGGAACTCATTTTTAGGTGCCGTTTTGCCTCAAATGCCTGCTTAGTTGTTTCGAAGGATGAGGATTCTGTGTGTCCTCGGAGTCTTTTCAAGGATTTCTGCAAATCCTATTCCAATGGCGATGGCTGGTTATTTTCAAATGGGTTATCCATAATGTTTGATATGGGGTATAGCGGAATAACAATGACTGACAAGAGCGCAGTAGTATATGGCAATAATAGCACCAAATAGTGCTGATGAATCTCCATGCAGAAGATTCTATGGCGGCGATCTCTCTTTGGGTGGTACTGGTTTTAGGGTCGGTGTTTTTTCTGAGGTCGTTATGTCAACGATGCTTGATTTCTCATTAGAAAATGAGGTTGTAGCTCCGTTCTATATGTCTTGCATAGCAATGTTGGAACCAGTATGATTGGAGGATGCATGTTTTTCCTTCCATACAGTGATCCGAGGATGGTAGCAAGGATAAGTCTCACGATGAAGAATTAGATTGCTGGTGACAAGCTGAATCAAGCTCTGGCTTTGGGCGATACTGTAAGTTCTCTGGGATCATTCTGTTATCACACCTTCCAAGTGGATGTAATGCTTTTTCTTCGGGTTCAATGTCGAGAATATCATTCATGGCGGCTCCTGAGCCCTATTTATAAAAGGCCCGAGACAAGGTCGGGTACCAAGAACTTTGACTCCAAATCACCGTGAGGCCATAGATGTTCGGCATAAACCCAAGAATGCGGAGTGTGTCATGTGTCGATTTAACTAGGGCAAGTTTCTCATGGGAACTCTCTTCATTAGTGCTGTCTTGTTGGACATCTTTGTTGTGCTCAATGACTTCACCACCACTTATGATAGCGTTGGCCTTAGTGTGTGGGAATAGCTGTGCAGTTTTGTGAAAATAAACGTTCTGCGTCGTCATACAGTTTGTCGAGCGTTCTAGCTTCAATTGCATTGAGCGAGTACTTTCTGTTGATCTAAGAAAGATCCTCAGTAAAGAAAACTGCTCCTCGTCAGCCCTTTTATCTCCGAAACAGACTCAAAGTTGCTGACTCTGGTCTGTTTTGTTCCTGGACTCAAAAGAATACCTCTTCGATGCTGAGCATTTTTTGATCCAAGACATAAAATGTCCCCAGATACGTTCCGCGCAAAAACTTCGCAAGCGGACAGAGTATCCAGGAAGACCTTCGGAGCTAATCATCGTCTGAAGAACGGTCTCCCCATTATTGCTGCTTTTGGTGTCACCGTGAGGATACTCCCACTCCTCCCAGGCACAGTTAGGTATAGAATGGACTCGAGACCTACGCTGAGAATTCGATTGACAAACGATACAAGAGCAAGGGAAAGTAACTTCCGTAAGTCGTCGAGAGTACCACGCTCGGATTGTCCCAATCCAGATAGCCCGCTATCGCCATTGGCAAGGCTCTCGTCGTTCGGATCGCGGGCCATCGGTTTTCGTTTGTTGCCACGCCGGGGACTGTCTGTCTGATCTTGAAAGTTACTTCTTTTCAACAAGGTTAGCATTGCTTATCATTGACAGATGTGATCCAAGTATCGCCATACAGTGTTTCTTCTGAGTAAGGCGCTCTTCGGCTTGTTCGAAGTATTAGCCTCACGGAATTTTCTCTGTTTAGAGCAACGTCTTGGTCTGAGTGATGGTAAAAGCATGCTTTTTTTTTTTTTTTTTTTTTGGCAGTCTGTTCATATAGCTTATTAGACTAATGTATGGGTCTTCTCTGGTTGCCATATGGAAGATCGGTGTCATATAGAATGAAGTCTGTGGCAGAGTTGGCGAGAAGACGCTGTCGGTAAATGAGAACGATGCAGCCAACAGGTAAATGTTCCGTGAGACAAGTAATTGGCTATCGAAGTCATGATATCTATTATAAGGCTCCCTGGCTGCAATTGATACCGATAGCAAGAGCTAGAGATAAACTGACACAAAAGGCTTACATTCGAAAAAATAAAGATTATATCAAATAAAACTACATGGTGCGAATAATCACTGAAGAACCCTTCCGTTGCTTTCCTCCACCGTCAACTCGAATTCAGGCTGAAATTCGGTATAGAAATTGTGCTGTATCACGTCAGGTTCGACTCCGTATCAACCAACACGAACCGGAGAAAAGACATTACTCACCGGATTCTGAACAGCATTGGCCGTAAACTGGGCAACATCATGTGCAATAATCTTCTTGGGAAATCCATTCGCGGCAGCAGCATCGGCCATGAGCTGGGAGTGACACGCATGGTCTAAACTGGCAAAGAGGAAGGCTGCTTCGTCGACGCTGTGGCCTACTGTCAGCAGACCATGGTTCTGCAGAATACACGCAATGTTATCCTCCCCAAGGGCCTTCGCAATCTGTTGCCCTTCCTCCTGAGCCAGTGCAATACCACCATGGCTGTCATACACGCTCAGCTTTCCATAGAAGTTACACGCATCTACTCCAGTCAGTATCTGCCAGAACATCAGCAGTACAGTAAGACGTTATGCTTACCCTGTGAAAGCATCTCAACCGGTCTACCAAACGCACTCCATGTCTTCCCATAGATCCCGTGGGTATGCGCAGCCGCAACCACATCCGGACGAGCCTTGTGAATCTCGGAATGGATCATGAAACCGGCCTCGTTGATCGGTGCCTGCGCGCCTCCTTCAACTACGTATCCTTCGCTGTCGACAAGGACTAGGTCTGAGGCTTTCATGATGGAGAAGTGCTTTGCGTAGGGGTTCATCCAGAAGTGGTCTTTCAAGACGGGGTCTGGACGGGGCACTTGTCAGCATTGCATTGACATGGAATACTTTCGTAGTAAGTAATATACCTCTCATCGAGATATGACCGGAAATACCCTCTCCATATCCCTGCCTTCCAAAGAACCGAAAAGCAGCCGCCATATGCTCCTTCATCCATTTGCGTTTTTCGTGCATTTCAGTGAAAACTGGAATACCCCGTAGCTTGAGAGTTCCATTGCGATCTCCACGTGCTGTAGCTTGGAACTGCTCATCTTCGGCCGCAGTAGTGATCTTGGTATCATTCTCTGGGGCCACTAGGATGGACTGGTCGGTTTGCTGGTTCGTGGTGACGGTCACGGTTGAGGTTGACATTTTCGTTGCTTCTCAATCAAAACAGAGTATGGATGAGTTAACTACACTCATTTTACTCAGATTAAAAGCCACCGTTTATGTCGTCGTCGACGGCCTTATCTCCACCCCACCGTGGTACATGGGATTATGTATACGGGGTCTGCTATAGGTGCATGTCGCCGAACGGATAAGACTCCGATGTGTTTTGAGAGGGCGTGCATGACATCCATCATGTTATCCTGTTATGATAGTTTTCAGTTTGATCGGTATCTGCTTTACATTATTCTATAGGCTAGTAGACTTCATATCATCATGCAAGATTGGCAATAACGTGCTAGGTTGTTCCCGATGTGGCATGGGATGGTTGTTATGGGGAAAGTGATTAATATATATATATATATCCTACAGCACCATAGCATTTGGCTGATACAAAAGCAGAAGACCGAGGGAATTCAGATAGAAAAGCAACGATCACATTTTCCTAAAACAACAATTCGGTACTTCAAACCAACGATAACCGCCAAATCTGTTATCAGTTACCCCACATTCGTCACGGTTCGCCTCCAACATTGACATTGACCTCGGGCAAATGGATCTGCAAGCATAGTGAATAGCTTCTTTCTTGCTTAATTGACACTTCCTTTACTGCTTCTACAGCTCATTCATATGTAGAAGAAGTTATGCAATCCTTCAATCATGACAACATCCGAAATGCGGGGATCCTCAGTTGTCAATCATCTCCCGTGTGGAGACCCCAAGTTGGGGTCACGGCAATGCCGTCTGCCTTGTATTCCGAATCGTTCCTGACTGGGTCATGGAGGAGATAAGAATATCCGATGATATAAATGGGCTATTTCCCAGCTCTTCCGTCCCAGAGAATCTTACATCACCCTCAATTCTGGCATCACAACGCACATACAACAATGAGTACTACATGGGAACACCTCGCGGCCGAGAAACGGGGCCGCATTGATAAATCCATTCCCTCAGAATGGAAAATCTCCCAGCCTGCCCAGGCTAGTGTCATGAATGTCCCCGCGAACTCGGGGATTCTCTCGGCCGAGGAGCTCAAGATTACCGAATCCACGGCGACGGACTTGGTTAACAAATTGGCGAAGGGGGAGTTGAAAGCGGTGGATGTGACACTGGCATTTTGTAAGCGTGCGGCGTTGGCGCATCAATTGGTGAGTTTTCTGTTATAGGCGTAGCGGATTTTGTACTAACCATGGAATGAAAGGTCAACTGTGCTTTGGAATTCTTTCCTGAAGCTGCCTTGGCGCAGGCCAAGGAATTGGATGAGTATTTCGAGAAGCACAAGAAGCCGGTTGGGCCGCTGCACGGATTGCCGATTTCCTTAAAAGATCAGGCGCGAGTGAAGGTAGCTTAACACATACACCCTAGTCATTGTTGCTTGTACTAACACGAATAGGGAATTGAAACCTCCATGGGATACATCGACTGGATCGGCAAATACGAAACCTCCGACTCCGTCATCGTCACCCTCCTTCGAAAAGCCGGAGCTGTCTTCTACGTGAAAACGAGTATTCCGCAAACACTGATGGTCTGCGAGACCGTTAACAACATAATCGGGAGAACCGTCAACCCCCGGAATAACAACTGGTCATGTGGTGGTAGCTCTGGAGGTGAAGGTGCCATTATTGGGATTCGGGGAGGAGTAATTGGTGTTGGAACAGATATTGGTATGTTGGCTGTTTTCTAAAGATATGCACTCCTGGTCGTCTAATTGGATTCGTACAGGTGGCTCCATCCGTGTCCCGTCTGCGTTCAACTTCCTTTACGGTATTCGTCCCAGTCATGGTCGATTGCCATATGCACGACTTGCGAACAGTATGGAGGGTCAGGAGACAGTCCACAGTGTCGTTGGTCCAATTGCACATTCCGCAGCAGGTAGGACACATCTTGGGAAGACAAAAAATTGTGACGAGAAACGGGAACTAACAAGAAACGAAAATAGACCTGCGACTGTTTTTGACTTCGGTTTTGAGGGAAGAACCTTGGAGCTATGACCCCAAGGTCATTCCCATTCCCTGGAAGTCTCAGGAAGAAGAGGATACCAGGAAGAAGTTCAAGTCTGGTGGTCTGAATCTTGGATTCTTCGACTGTGACGGAAATGTATGTTTCACACAAGATCAACAACTCCTTGAATTCAGTTGTTGACAGATACAGGTCCTTCCTCACCCACCAGTCCTTAGGGCTGTAGACACTGTCGTCAGCACACTGGCAAAGAACGGCCACAACATCATCCCATGGACTCCATATAAGCACGACTTCGCAGTGAACATGATCAACGGTATCTACGCCGCAGACGGAAGCACTGTACGTCCGCCCTCACCCCATCCCTGGGTAAATCACTCATGCTAACCAACAAACAGGACGTCTACCGCGACATCAACGCCTCCGGCGAACCCGCCATTCCCAACATCAAAGACCTCCTCAACCCCAACAACCCCAAAATCGACCTCAACGATCTCTGGGACGTCCACCTCCAAAAATGGGCCTACCAATCCGAATACCTCACCCAATGGCGTCTCGCCGAAGAACAACTCGGCGCCGACAAAACACTCGACGCCATAATCGCCCCTATCACCCCTACCGCAGCTATCCGCCACAACCGCTTTAAGTACTACGGCTACGCGTCGGTAGTTAACTTGCTGGATTTCACGAGCGTGGTTGTTCCCGTTACGTTTGCGGATAAGAAGGTTGATGCGAAGAAGGAGGGGTATGAGCCTTTGAATGAGATGGATAAGGAGGTGCAGGAGGAGTATGATCCGGAGGCGTATCATGGGGCGCCGGTTGCGGTGCAGGTTATTGGGAGGAGGTTGAGTGAGGAGAAGACGTTAGCGATTGCGGAGGAGGTGGGGAGGTTATTGGGGAATGTGGTGACTCCATGATAATTTTATCCTTTTGATTGTTTCGTGTACATTCTACTTTTCCCACACATAAATCCCAACATTAGGTAGCCACCCTATCATAACGACAGTGATTGTTCTAAGACAAAGCATCTATCAACTATTGAAAACAGTACTAGTAAATCATAGATAACTTCAGAAATTTGGATACTGGCGCAGAGTCTAAAATCACCCAAGCCAATATAATGGTCCTCTCAGGTTGCAATACAGCGCTCATATAAAGGACCTCTACGGAGCCACTACCAAAGATTCACAACACCAAAAAGGAAAAGAGCTTCACAGACTTTCGGCGACAGAAATCAGCAATACTAATCCGAAGATGGTGGACCGGAATTTGCAAAAGAACCGATAAGGAAGGCGGGACTTACGGTGGTATTCCAAAGTGGTGCCGTGTGTCAAAAGACTTTCCAGGTCCAAGCTGGATATAATTATAGGCTTTATGTTAGATGTGGATGAATACTGTTCGTCTAGTAATTCATCTCGAAGCTATGGTTTTATCAATCAATGCCAATGCTCTGCTTCATATTGAGCATGATAAAGCGGCTATGCTCGAGTTTGGTAATCACATCATGTTCGTGTTAGCGACACTTACAAAGCAGCCATCGGCTAACCGCCGATCAGTCAATTGAGTGTCAGTCAGCCCATCTAGAGAATAGCGTTGGAAGTCGTTCAGCGCCTGAAAACCCCAGCCAGGCCGGCGAAACGCTGGAGACAATTCAAGTCACGCCTCTCTAAGAGATTTTATATCGATAATAGAGTGCGTCCGGCTTCAAGCCACGAAGTTTTTCTTGTTCCAAGGGATGTTTTGGACTGGGACAGAGGTAAATGCCGATTTATGGGGTCGGGCGACTTTCTAAGATGCCTTGCGAGATTAGGTTCTATTCCATATAGATAACGAAATAAGAGACTTTTTTTCTCGGGAGTTTTTATCCGTCTCAGTTGCAGATTGCAGTTTTCTAAGTACTGTCACATGCAAAAGAGCCCCAGTCAAAAATAGTATAAATTTACCAAGTTATAATTGAGAAAAACAGAACCTAACGCAAGAACTCCATATATGCTCCCAACCAATGCTCCTCTTTAAGAAAAAGAAGAAAAACAGACAAATACCAGAACCAAATCCCATTCTAAGGGTTCACTTTGCCGCATGGTCAGTTCGAGTCGCTAGGGCCAACAAGGCTTCATCCGTGTCGGCATATTCTTCGCGCTCGCCTTATGAAATCATTGGATCGTTGTGCTCTTGGCTGCTGGTTACCAATGGTGAATTCAAACACCATTCAGTAAAGTCTAGAAAGGGGTCAAAACCGCTAGGAGGACAACCCCATTCAACAGCTTCCATCTCCACGAAATAACTGCAAAAAGGTTCGGCGTGTTAGTATAGATAACCATAGGGAGGGGAAAGTACTAATCATCGTTCGTTTTCTTCATCATAGATAATGTTTTGCCGAGCCCTATCCCGTTGGTGCATCCCAAATTGGTAAAATTCGCTGTGTACGATATCAGTGGCATTCAAAAGCAACGGTGATCGGAGGAATCTTACCGTACTGCCTTGGAAAAAGCTATTCTCACCCGATTGCGCTTCTCCAAGGGAAATTCCCCAAAATCCCGAAGGTTGCATCCGGGAACTTTCTCCATCAGAAGAACAAGAACATAACCACCAGGCACGAAATGGTCTTCCATTTGACTGGTCAAATTAAAGTCAATGAGATGAGGAGTACAGCTGCAGTTCCCCTCTGTCAGTATTTGCATGACTTTGACCTCATTGACCATTTCGTCGGTTATGGTCGGACAATCCTCATAGTGGGTAGTGCCTTCTGGCCATTCGGAAATCCTAATCACTTGTTAGCCGGAGTATCTCAAGCAAATGGGTGAGCGGCGATGCAGAGAGTTTTGACTGGATTTTGATCTTCATGACGGCTTTAGTGCCCGAGGATGGGCCCCGGACTTGAGTAGCGACACAGAGAGCCGATGCTTCAGTGATTTCTTCAACATGTCGATCTCTTTCTTGTTTAATAGGGCCCATTTCCCAATCTGTATCAGATTGAGGCATGTGAATGATTTCGCCCAATTTGAATATCCTGTAGTCGTCTGAATTCGTTATGATTTTTGGTGGGTCAAAAAGCTCATCTTCAGCAGATGTGCCCATGCTGGAAAAGGATGAATTCATGGTGGACAAGCGCCCATCCCCAGCAGATGAGTCCGTGGCGGATGAGGCCATGGCGGATTGATACGAGAGTATCTGTATGTCTTTCTGTATGCAACCAGAGCGTGTGTAATTCGAAAATATTGGTTATCAGGGCTTGCGCACTACGCGCTGGACTTTTGAGGGGAATATCCTCATCAGGTTATACCTGGAAGGTAGTCGAAGGCATAAATACTCGACCGACCCCTGAGATGCCCATCATTTCTCGTATCAATCGTTCTTCTACATATCACTCACAGCTTTTAAGAGCTCTCTCTTGTGTGTATTTACAATGCCAATAAACTCTGATCATGAGTGCCACGGAGCATGGACTCTCTCTAGCTGTATTGCATGTTTGCTTACTTTGGCCTGTTTGGGGCAGGGCATTCACTGAGCATGAACGCTCGCTAGCTGTGTAGAATGTTTGATTGCTTTGTCCTGTTTGGAGTAGGGCAACCCCTCGCACACACACTAGATAGTCTGTCGCCAGCAGGCCCTGCCTGTTTCCTTTCTCTCCTCATGTTAGAATTTCGTCAGATAGTCTACCAATAGATTTATATTGCTCGAGACCGTCACATAATTCTAACATCACTCTTATTTTTTTTTAAACCTTTTTTCCCTAGCGCATACAGCTGGGACCCTACCAGAGAGATCCGTACGCTTGCCATAGAGAGCCCCCAAACGACCAACAACGAACGATCGAACCTGCCAAGATGGCTCGAGGCGTCACTGAACGAACCCAGAGTCGACGCGTGACTCTGGACATGAAGGAACAGGGCCGAAAGATTATAACACACAAAGAATTTCTGGCACAGTGCCGCGATCACCCCAATGAACTATTCGATTATGTTGCCGACACCTTCAACCATATGATCGACCCTGAAAACGAATACCGCGAGCAAATGGATGGAGTGCTCATCCAGACCCTTCACAATGAGCTTCAGAGACATAAAGCCCAACTGGAGGAAAAAGAGAACCAGATTGATGACCTGATGGCGGAACGTGATGAGTACAAGACGGCCTATGCAGAGGCGCAGTTGCGTTCTCGTGGCTCCACAGTTGAGAGCACCAAGTCATCAGGCAAGTCTGAGAAGGTGCCTGATCCTCCACTCCTCACTGATGGCAAGGAACCCAAGTTCGAGGACTGGATGATTGAGATGAAAGGAAAGTTCGTGGCCAACACAGACCGTTTTGATAATGACCAAAACAAACGAGTTTACCTTGTCTCCCGAATTGGCGGTCTGGTGCGACAGCAGCTGAGCGTCAGATTGCGTGAAGATGCCACTGAGCCATACACCAGCGCTGAACAGATGTTCAAGACACTCACCACTGCTTTCTGGAACCCCCATCGTCGCATGGAAGCTGACTCAGAACTCCAGACACTGTACATGCATCCTGGTGACAAGTTCCCTGAGTTCTTGGCCAAGTTCCTATTGCTGGCGAGCGAGGCCGGAATCCCTAATGATCGATACAAGACTGAGCTCAACCGACGTCTCACTGACAAGGTCAAGGAGCTGGCACTTCCCTACATTGGTGACGATAAGACTTTCAATGATTTCACAGCTTATGTGGGCACAGTAGTCCAGTCCTTGAATGCCAACGCTCAGGAGACCAAGCGCCGTAACCTGAATCAGAACTCCCGCAATGACTCCAACACAAACCCCTCCAAGACTACCAACAGTTCAGGCGGTGCTCAACTTGATGTCAACACGCGACAGGAGTTGATGAGCCACGGTAAATGTTTCCACTGCAAAGAGACAGGTCATGTGTTCCGAGACTGCCCCCGACGGAAGAAGAAGAGCAACACCACCCAGCTCCGCAAGATGGAAATAGCCCCTGAGGCGCTGAACAACAACTCGGGAAATGGGGATGCCTAGGCGAAGTCTCCTGCTTAGGACGGTCACACTGTCAGTCTTTATGGCATTGATTTGCAACAGTTACTCAGACAGGAACGAGATAGCCTCACTTTAGGCGTACAGGTAGCTGTAAATGGAGTATCAATTGCAACTAATGCTTTGATTGACACTGAAGCGAACGGATATGTGTTTTTGAGCACATCACTGGCGATTAAACTAGCCCAATTCTTTGGCGTAGGCACCCTCCCACTGAGCCAAGACTGTCCAGTCAGAGGATATGGCGGTAGGATGGGAGAGCCGATAACCCATGCCATAGTACTGGACTTGCAGGTTGATGGGAGGAAACTAGCAGAGACCCCTATGCTGATTGCGGGTCTGGGCAAGCATGACGGGTGGAGGCCTTCGGTCTTGCGTGGATTACCGGAAGCTGAATTCAATTACCCGCAAGGACCGATACGCCCTACCTCTAATTGACGAAGTCCTGGAACGGATCTCCCATGCAAATGTGTTCACCAAGCTGGATATCAGACAGGGCTTCCATCGCATTCGAATGCCCCCAGACTCAAATCCTTGAGGAGCTTGCTCAAACACAGGCACAGAGCAAGCCATCAGGTGGAGAAGGAGATGAGACACCAGGTGCAGAACTGAAGATGATGGATTCTCAACTCCACCTCATCGACCGCATCTGCCAAGCAAACCGCAGATGGGACCAAGGGCAACAGCAGGAAAGAGGAGAACTGGAACTGCCATGGACAAAGGAGGGAGAACTGCTTCTCCATCAGGACCGTTTATATGTGCCCAACCAGGATGACCTACGAGTCAGACTGTTGGATGAGATTCACCAACAGCCCTCAACCACACACTCAGGAAAAACAAAGACCAAGCAGCTCCTGAAGGAACGCTACATGGATAACTGCATGATATGCAAGAGGACCAACATTCAATGTGATAGGCCCCCAGGACCCCTTAAGTCACTGCCAGCTCCGGATCGACCCTGGCAGCACCTGTCAATGGACTTCTGCTCCCTCCCAAAGGATAAGAAGGGATACAACAGCATCTTTGTGATCGTGGACCGCTTCAGTAAGCGGTACATCTCACTGCCCTGTTACAAAACCACTAGAGCGGAGGACATGGCGAAGCTGTTTATCGAGCACATCTATCGATGGAAGGGCCCCCCGGACACTATAGTCTCTGACCAAGGAGGCCAATTCATCTCTGAGTTTTGGGAAGCAATGTGCAACGTGCTGCGTGTGAAGCTGAAGCTCTCAACCGCTGACCACCCGCAGACAGATGGACAGACAGAGAACGCGAACCAAATCATTAAACAGCGCCTACATCCATTCATGAATCATTACCAGGATGACTGGTCAGAAAAGCTCCCTATGATGGACTTCGCCGGCGCACTATTGGTTGGTGAGTCCGCTGAGACTTCTCCTTTTCTCATTGACAGTGGTTACAACCCCAGGACATCTTTTGACTAGACGTCAAACCTTAATTGAACAGTTACCGAGGCAAATGCTCAGCAACGACTACAACGATTACAAGAGACATGGGACTGGGTGCAAGAACGAATCCGTGCTGCCCAGGCACGCCAACAGCGGAATGCAAATCGCTCAAGGCAGAAAGTGGATTTCAACGTGGACGACATGATAATGATATCAACAAAGAAATGGAACACGGGCCGTCCGAGCAATAAACCTGACTATCAGTGGGCAGGCCCCTTCCGGATCCTTGCAAAGGAAGGAAACGCGTTCCGCATCAACCTGCCAGCCTCTGTCAAGGTCCACCCAGTTATCAACCCAGAGCACCTCCGCAGGGTCTCCACATCTGAACCCCTTCCCGGCCAGCATGCAGATGCACCACCACCGATTACTATCAATGACCAGGATCAATGGGAAGTGGAGGAAATCCCTGCCTCCCGCCTGAGATACCGGAAACTGCAGTATCGAGAAAGTGGATCGGCTATGATGAAGATCTCAACTGGTACCGAGCCTGAGATTTTAAGAACAGTCCTGTGAAAGCCCAAATCTTCCATGCTACGAATCCAGAGGCACCAGGACCTCCCCTACGGTTACTTGAGTGGCTTCGCGCCGCAGAAGATGAATAGTTTACCGATGACCATCCGGAGGATGATTACCCGATCACCAACGGCTGAGGGCAGATGCTTGTCAGGAGGGAGGGGTAATGTCACGGAGCATGGACGCTCGCTAGCTGTATAGCATGTTTGCTTAATTTGGCCTGTTTGGGGTAGGGCATTCACTGAGCATGAACGCTCGCTAGCTGCGTAGAATGTTTGATTGCTTTGTCCTGTTTGGAGTAGGGCAACCCCTCGCACACACACTAGATAGTCTGTCGCCAGCAGGCCCTGCCTGTTTCCTTTCTCTCCTCATGTTAGGATTTCGTCAGATAGTCTACCAATAGATTCATATTGCTCGAGATCGTCACAATGAGCATAGATTCTCTCAAAACCTTCCACCAGTCTTTTTTTTAGACTACGGGAATTATGATCTAAGTTTTCTCCACCATTCTATATAAGCAAAGAAAAAGATATTATTGAATGACAAAGACCCATTGCAGATATTTGATTTCCTTATTCCTTGAATGCCTTCTCCCTTCTCCAATGGGGTACCGAAATCTGCGATTTCTCTCGCCACAGATAGATTCACAATCCTGGAGAGAACGGTCCAGCGCAACTGTCATCGTGTAACCGACCAATAACTGTACACTCATATTGTGAGGCCTAAATAACGGGATACAATACCAACGGTCGTCCTCCTTTTGTCCTTTCAGGCCACGGAAACAAAGGAAATTCCTTGGCATTGTGGCTCCATTGTTCTGGTTTTGACGAGGTACCATCTCGTTTTGCTGCAGGTGCTTCGCTTTTAGAGCGAAGACGCGAAAGACCAACGATTCTTGCATTTGGCAGGAGATGCGTGATTGCTCTGTGTGGTCCAGTGCAAGGTAATACAACAAGCCTCGGAAACCAATGGTGAGATCAGGGTTTGGGGGGATATACGATAGTTACTTCTCCCAGGGCAAGGCAGTGGCACCCTGCCAGTCCATATTGTATTGGAGATTGTACTCCGTTTATGGTAAGACAACAGTCACCGCATAAAAGGCTAGACTGATGTGGTAGGATGTCGGCCACCGGCGCCATTGTGGTATATAGAATACCATAACCATGCTCCCGTTCGGGTTCTCTTCTCGACTTTTTGGCACTTCTTGACTAGTAGACTCTTTAGGCTTTATAGCCTCGATCTCCATGCGCAAATTAGCGGACGATTTACATTCCGTATGGTCCAGTAGGTTAGCACAAGTCTCTGCATCCGACGGTCAGGTCCGGGTTTGGATGTGGGAGTCGGTGCTTGCTCCTGTGCATCCAATATCTATCGGCTCGGTCTCTGTTCTGACCAATTATCAAATTGCGCAATGAACTAGGGATATCCCAGGTATTTCTGATATCCCAGGTATTTCTGATATCCGAGCATATATTGTTCAAAAACTTTTTGTCAATGGGAAATTAACATCTTGGTAGGTTCTTTTCTTTGTCCCTGCTACTCGGCTAGAAATCTCAGGAGATCGACATTATCAAGAAGACGTCGTCGCATGGATAGTTTGTGGATGCCGAAGGCGACATCCCTACAGCCTTCTAGAAACTCCCGCAGATTCTGCCCAAACCCTCTCCGTCTTTCATCGGGACCTGTCTGAATTTCTATCCGCCCACTCGTGCTATGGATATGAGTATGTTCTGCCAGTTCTGATACCCAATAAATTGATAGGTTGTCGGAAAGGGAATAGTAGTATGTGCGAGTTACTTGTCCATTTACCAATGGAATACCCCGTACCCATTTTCTATATGCTCGTACCAAGACCATCAGAAACAAGACGACCGAGGAACCAGTTATAATCATACAACCTGCTCCCCAACCCCTTTCATTTTCCCCATTTCAAACTCATTCCCACGGTTTCTCCTCCCCCCTGACCCAGAAGCAAAGTCCTCACCATCCTGTTCTGAGGGATCAGACGTTTGCTGCTGACTTGAAGAAGACGAACTCCCTCCAATTCCAAAAGTAATCGGCTGAAGCTCACGGTATCGGCAAGCCCACATCCCCAAGAATACCATAAGGCTTGCGCTAGCGAATTGAAGACCCCACCAAAGCCAGTTGGTGGGGATTGTATGTGTGTAGAGGGATGTTGCGATGAGGTGGACGAAGTGGATGGTTAGGGCGAAGTCGGGGATGAGTTTGGAGCGCGAGACGAGAAGAAGGAGAAGGATGACACTGCGCATCACATAAAATCAGCATATACGTTGACTATATGGACAAGAAAACAAGGCAACAGAGGCAAGGCGTACCCAAGGAGACTATTCAACATCCATACCAACCCCAATATCCACCCGATGGTGGTATCGCCTCTGACCGCATCCCAGTTCAGAAGGAGGTCAAACGAGAACGGCCTGCCGTATACTAGCGTTGTGAATAGGATAAGCGCCGTCGCGGTCAGATAGTATCCTAGCTGGAGCAAGAGGATCTTGCGAACGATTCCGAGCGGCGGGAGGTCGGTTCGGGCTCCCGCCGGAGGAGGGCGGCGGCGGGGCATGAACTAGTGTGCATGTATGTATCGGAGTTTTCGAGAGGAGTAGGAATATAGACGTTTATTCAAAAAAAAAATATATAAAAAAAAAAAAAGAAAAAAGAAAGAAGAAAAAAACAATAGATAGCGGGACAAAGAGTGGTGGTTTCGTAAATAATGCGCGGAGGTTTACTTGTAGTTAAGGGGGCTTCGCGGCTGACAAGGATTGGATCCACTTGAGCCGCAGCCGCAACCGCCTTTACACTGGACTTTGTCTGGACCTCAACGAAGTCATTTACCTACACTGGCGCAACACTCTACCAAGCCAACGAATACTCAAGAACGATTACGAATTACCGATTACCGATTTCCTCCGACAAATTCCTATAAACAACAGAACACACAACATGGGCTGGTTCTCGTCATCCTCCGACTCCTCCAAAGCCTCCGACGGCGGCCGCATTGCCCCCGACAGATCCTCGCGCGAACGATGCTGGGAAGGCCGTGACCGCTTCTTCGCCTGCTTGGACCAGAACAATATCCTGGATGCTGTTAAGGATGACAAGGAGGCTCGGGGGAAATGCGGGAAAGAGGTTGAGGAGTTTGAGGGGGCTTGTGCGAAGGCTTGGGTATGTTGCACTTGAAGGGCTACGGCTCCTTGTTCGAGGCTTTGTGGCTGATTTAGTCTATAGGTGAAATATTTTAAGGAGAAGCGAGTGATGGAGTATAACCGGGACATGACAATTGAGCGGATCAAGAAGGAAGATGCGGAACGAGTAGCAGATTTGAAATCTCAAGGGCGCGCGACATAGTGAAGATTCTCGACCGGGGGATTTACGAAGGCCCATGACGTGACATGTGAAGTGGATGGAATATCAAAAAATGAATGTACTATAGCTCACTTGTATTATGACTTGACTGAGGTTGTATTTGTAGTAATATCCGATCAAATCCCATTTATTATCAATAGCAAAGCTCTTGCCAGAGCAAATCGTTGAACTCAGGTATTAGATGTGTACAGAGTACCATATATGCAATCCCATCTATAGCAAATTCCATCGCAAAGTCACAATCCCAGGGGAAAGACAAACAGTCACATGCAGAAATGAAGAAACCAATGAGGGAATAAAGCACAACAGTAAATATACAGGACGCTTTATCATCCCTGTCGACTGGCACCATCCGCTGCCATTGAATGAAACAAAACCAAAACGCCGGTATTGTTGCAATTGCAACAGATGAGAAGGGTAAAGTGAGAATAAAGAAAACTGAACAAAATCAAGCCGCTTAAAAGCCATGGATCACAAAACCAGCGACTAACATTCCCATATTTACGAATTCAAATAACGCCTGGTTCCCGAGACGGCTCGTCGACAACGAAAATGATAGGGCAAAAGCAAAGGATATTGTCAAAAAAAGAAAACATAAATAGAGAGGAAGAGATTCATAATTCATTGTTTCCACTTTGTCAGTTGGTTGATGATGTTCTGGACCTGAGGGCCCATAGGACCCTGATGGGCCTGGGGCTGTTGTCCCCCAAGGCCCTTGCTCAATAGCGACAAAAGGTTCGGATCCGGAACCATTTGGGGATTGGGCGCTTGGACAGGGAAAGGCTGCGGCGGCATAGGTGGTGGCGGAGCAGCAGTAACAGATGGCCGAGTCGCATTATTCAAAATGCTGGCCAGATCTGCAGGTGCTTGAGGAGTATTCGGCGGTGGAAACGTCGGTGGCTGTATAGCTGGGACGGCAGGTCGCTGCTGAAGCGCAGACAAAATTGATTGCAACGCGGAACCGTCTAGGGAGGGCATCATGTTGGCAACATTTGGCTGGTTCGACAACGGAGGCAACGGTGGCTGCGGCATCTGAACAGGAGGGGGAAGCGGTGGGATCCCGAATGGGGTAGCGGATGTGAAAGGTACCGGGGGGCCACCGCGCTGGGGCTGCGCATGGAAAACGATTTCAGCGGCCATGTTGGGCTCCAATTCGGGATAGTCTAGACGCCGTGATGTTAGTATATGACGCTCGGAGTTTGCAACGTAAAAGAGCTCCGGCTTACCATTGAAGCGGAGATTGTCTGGTCCACCGCTGCGGTCGAAAACTTGTAACGGAATCTTCCTTGAGAATTGATTTGGCCGCGCAAGTCGAACAACCGCAAGCACGCCCTCAACGATTTGGCGTTGAACAGCAGCATTCAAGGGAATCCGCGGGCCTAAGACCAGGACATCAACCCGCAAGCCACGATTGCGGAAGGAGTTTTCGACATGGAAGATGAAGTTTCTGGAGATGAGAGGTTAGCTTGTGTTTACATAAATTATGTATTGCACGAAAATGCTGTACTCACCTATCCACCTCCTCGAGAACCAAGATTTGTACATCCGGGATGTCCCTCGGTACTCGTCTGGGCACGGGTAAATCTGCGTCACCATCATATGAACGACCCCGTGGGCTGAGTGTTCGATATCTTCGATCCCTGCCATATGGTGGCGACCGAGAGCGCCTGCGATCACGCCGATCGTATCGCTCCGGTGTTCTGTCCCGAGAACGGTACCCATCTCTTCCACGGAATCCACGAGGGGAGGGTGATCGGGGCGGTGGCCGGTAATCATCTCGTCTCCGATGGGTCAATTCGTCCCGGAAATCACTGAATGGCAAGCGGCCAGCGGGCTCGTAATTCCGATCGTAGCGATCTCCGGGTGCTCGCAAACCGCGACCGTTCGACGGGCCACCTCTAAATTCGGGAGGGGACCTGGAGCGTCTGGGAGGAGGAGCTCGTGGCGGTTCAGGGGGAGCTGGGCCGGGTCTCGTGTTTCTTTGTGGTTTCGAGATTTCGAGGTCTAGTGGACATAGCGTTGTCAGCGAGCCGACACTTCATTTTTTTTATCCTCCGAGAAGACCGTCTCTTTCCATCACAGTTGCAAGTCACTTACGGATCTTTCTTCCTCTCACCACTGCCCCTTGTTCCGCATCCAAAGCTTTCTTGCAGGACGAAGTTTCAAGGAACTGGATAAAACCATACGCCTGTTTGATCGACACTTGCGCCAATTTGCCGTATTTGTGGAAAATATGGAATAGATCACGCTTTGTAACTCGTTCGGTGGGAAGATTGCCTGTACAGAGAGAAAAACCAGGTTAGAAGCCAGAAAATAAAAAGGTTGCCCTTGGCTTTTTCGAGTGACCGGCAAAACTAACCAACAAACAATCTGGACCCCGGAGGGAAACGATCCCAAAGACCTTCTGTTACATAGATTCTTTCGTTATGCAAGAAGTCGTCATACTTCCGCTGTACCTCGGGGCCCCAGGGTGCATCCTCGTCATTGTTCTTGGATGAGCGGGCAATGGATTTCTCTGTGCGACCATTTTTAAGAGGAGACGAGTCCTGGGTTTCAGCACTAGGAGACTCCGTTTTCTCAAGACTGAGACCTGGCGGAGGAGGCAAAGAGCTGGCGCCCGAAGAGGTGCCGGGAGCACCAGCAGCTGCTAGTGCCGGAGCCCCGAGGTTTGACTGATGATTATTATTACTCTGTGGCTGGGAGGAGGGATAAGGGTTGGAGGATTGAGAAGGAAGCTGATGATAGGCACTAACATCATCGCTAGGGGGGTAGTTTGGATGTGTAGGGTCCTCCTGGGTTGGGGGACGAGGAGGGAGACCCATGGGGTTCTGGAGGGCTTCATCAGATGCGCCATCTGCGTTATTTGTTGCTTGAGGGATAGCAGAGGCATAATTTTGCATCGACGAGGGAGCCGTCTCCGAGACCGCAGGGGCAGATGGAACGGTTGAAGAGGAAGAGGGGAGATTATCAAGGAGGTTTTGGAAATCCACACCACCCTCACCAGAGCTAGGTGCATTATCATGAGACGAGGCTCGGGTGGTATCTAGGCGAGCCTCGGGCGCAGCGGGCGCGGTCCAGTCCGTCATAGGGTGGTCTACCTCGTTCGCGGCGGGGAAACCCTGAGGAGCATAGGACGAGGAGGGAGGAGGGGGGCGATTAAGGAAGGCTTGGTGGGGCAGGGAATTAACAGAAGGATCTGAAAGAGGAAGAGCTGTTAGAGAATCGTTTCTTTCTGCCTCATTCCGGGACCCGGATGTAGTGGCAGTAACAGTAGAAGTAGTAGCGTTGGTGGTGGTAGGTGCAGATAGGTTTGGAGGAAATGCAGCAGCAGAGGAACTCGTTTCATTCTTGCTCATCATTTCATTCCCCGAAAGAGAACCAGTGTGGTAACTACCTGGATGTTGATATTTTTGTTGTTGCTGCTGCTGTTGACCCAAATCCTGCATCTGACCTGCGCTGCCCCTCACGCCAGCCGAATGCGACCCTGCAGCGACATGTTGTTGTTGTTGTTCTAAGGGTGGTTGGCCATTCGGCTGTTGCTGCGGTTGGGACCTGGGAGCGGCGTGGGGGACATGCTGACCACCTCCGAGCGCAAACTCTGGCTTCTCGTATGTCGACGTATCGTTGAAAACGGGGTCCATTTGATTCTGCAGCACCGGGATATTGGCCGGTTCCGCGACGTGTAGCGGCCGAGGGCTCTCAGGAGTCAAAGTCTTGCCACGGAAGTGAAGAGCCTCATCTGGGGACCTGGGCGTCATGTAGACAAGAGAGGGCAGATGGACTCATCTACAAAAGAGCGAATCCGCGCGCTTTGGGGACAAGGAGAAGAGAGGGAAAAGAGGGAAGAGAGGGGGAGAAAGAGGGAAAGGAAGAGAAGGAAGAGAGAAAAGGAAGAAGAGGAGAAGCGGAAGAAAAACAGAAAGCTTAGTTGGCGCGAGTGGAAATTTAATTGCAGAGAGAAAAAAAGAGAGCTGAGAGTGGGGCCAGATTGGGAAAAAGAACCGGGCCGTTGGAGAGATGGTCAGTATGTAGTGATTTGAGTCGGGGACAGGGAATAGTAGATGGGGGGGGGGATGGTGAAGACTAGAAAATGATGGAGATGGAGCTGAATATCTTAGAATGGATGGCTCGATAGAGTAGTGATAGAGAGGAAAAGTACTGTGTTGTTGGCAGTGGTGGCCACTCTATTTCTGGTTCTCCGATCAGTGCCGCTTTAACGCGAGTCAGGTGACCATCACCTGACAGCATTCCACTCTTGTTCTTCCTTATACAGACACAGCAAACATTCATTTGAATCGGTACATATTGAGCTATTTGTAGAAACGAGACGGCTAGAATATTAGCAGCAGGGGGAGGCGGGGTATTGACATATCTCCTCATATTTGCCAAGTGGAGGATCGTGGGGATCCAGAGGATTCCAAGCATACTGTACGGAGTACTCCATACCACCACTATCACCACGGACTGCTAATAGCAATGACAAGGAATATAATCATAATGGTCATACTAATACATGGGTTCATTGCCTGAGGGGTTGTATGCCAATTCGATCCTTCTGCATCTCCGGCTGTCCTCCGAGCACTCAATCCGGTACTTCGTACATGTCACTGGCGAGATCGTCTATGGACTTGTTTTTGTGACCGTATTTCTTGGTGAAGATTCCCCTACCATGGCAGCAGACTACTAAATTCTCACCTTATTAGGTAACATCCCAGCAGTCCCGGTCAGCAGACATGAGAGATGCCGATGAACCAATACCTGCACAGGGCACTCTTCTCTGGCATTCTCTACATGCTGACAGACGTCAACAAACTCTAGAACACCTGCAACTGCTTATTATAGTCCTTCAAAATGCAATATCCCGATGCCGTCACGAGACATCAAATACATACAATTCTCGATCCTTAAAGCGGCCAGATCGATAGTGGGTCAACCGAGTGCACTCCAGAGAAGGTGCAGATTTCTTCTCCGACCTCCACAACGAGATTTCGTGATTCAAACGTGGCAGGGATTAGATAACTAGTTATTACTCCATGCTCTTAGTCACTGGGACCACCTGATAGAAAAAGGAGACCGCCAGAACATTCCCTCGTGGAGCGTCCTCATTTCTGAGCCCATGAGAACAAAAATCCCAGTCAAGGCGCCATGCAACGAAGTCACACCTGCGCTGCCCCGGGACTGTGACTGGTTCATATCCCTGTCCGATATTGCCGAGAGCGCGAGGCTTCAATGCTTATTGGCGAATGGGGATGCTATTGTGGTTTTGTCTTGTTGCATAGCAGTAGCCAGTGTCCTTAATAATACTCTGTCTTGATCTATGTATGCAGTTTGCTTTTTCCTCGGAGCAGAGCCAAAAATGCCGCTTGCTGCTATGGACATGTGCTGGTACTCCGTACTAGTACAGAGCACTTGTCTGGAGTATTTCAACTCATACAGCACGGCTTGTAAGCATGCCAGCTGTTAAACTTCATATAAACCTTGTTACCACACTTGCCGAGTCTAGACCCTCAGACTTACATAGGATGATTCCATGATCCTCAAAGCTCCCGCAGACTATCTGGCGGTGCCTGAGCCCCGGGCGCCGCTTCTCTCTCGTGTAACTGTATTGGGCGAATTTGCCGAGTTTTGAAGAAAGCTGATTGGTCAATTCTTAAATCCTTAGTCTCAACTCAAACTAATTGCCTATTTGGTTGCATTTTGCCGTCTATCAGCCGACCTCTGTTCCAACTTTAACTCTTCGTCCGTATTCCGTTTTTGTATGGCATCATCGTTGAAGACCATGCGCGTTCATAGTATGGTGCTGCTTCGTCCTCGTCTCCTGCCTAATCATGTGAACAATATATTCCCTCTTTCCCGTACCCTCTTCCCCACAAGATCATTCGCGTCCAGACGCGCCGCCTCCTCCGCAGACGACCCGGATGAAGACCTAGCAGCCGCTCGAACCTGGCTGGCAAGTCTCAATCCCCGGACTATTCCGCGACATCTCTGCGAAGTCTCCTTCAGTCGCTCAGGTGGGCCGGGAGGGCAGCATGTGAACAAGTACGTTTCTTCGTTAAATTGCGATTCGACAGCGTTCAAGAGTGAACTATTGACTGACTATCGACAGGGTCAACTCAAAAGCAACGCTCAAAGTCTCCCTTGATAGTCTGCTCCCTCTCATACCTCGTGCTATTCATTCGCAGCTACAATCGTCTCGCTACGTTGCTCAACGCACGAATACACTGGTTATCCAGTCAGAAGAGTCGCGAAAGCAAGCCGCAAACGTGGAGACATGTTTCGATAAACTGCATCAGCTACTTCGGAGTTCTGCCAATGAAGCTATTCCAGGCGAGACGTCGCAGAATCAGAGACAGAAAGTGCAAAAGTTGTATGTGTTCATTATGTATCGTTCACAAAATTTACATGTCTAACCGCTGACTGTTCGCTATAGGAAAAAAGCAGAAAATGAAGCTCGGATCAAATATAAGAAACTGCATAGCAGTAGAAAAAGTAGTCGTCGGGGTGGTGACGATTAAAGCAGGAAACTTTTTTCTTCGATGCCCGCCCAATGAACGCCTCCCATTACGGTAAACAAAAAGAACGGAATCACGGGGCAATGTAAAACCAATCACTCCTGGAGCGTCCATTCGGCACCGCGGATAGTGACCGCAAGGACCTTCCGCAGCGCAGGATCCAGGTCCTCTGTCTTCTCCAACGGCTGCAACCAATTGATAACCTCCTGTGCAAAATTGCTGTCCGGTTGGTGCTCTCTCAGGCGCGAAAGAGATACACCCAGTGCCGGTGGGAACTCTGGTGAGGTCACCGGAATGCCAGCAACAGGAACCTTCGTGTAGCAAATGTGTGTACGGTAACTCTGGGGTTTGGACTGCCGCATCGCCTCGACAATGTGCTCCAAGATCTTACGCAGACACGGCAAATCTCCAAACTCATTGACCATGTTGTAGTATTCTTGTCCGAACTGGTCGTTATCGTTGAAATGCTTCATGGCGGTGTCAAAAATGGCTATCGGGATAGCACCGCTCAATGCTGGGGTCGATGCAAGATTTTGCAGGGCCTCGTTGTCGACTCCCTTCTTGTCACCTTCGCTTGGGTTGACATCCTCCCCGGTAAGCTTGGGCAATGCAATCATGTCGGCGTCAGGGTCATCAAGTCCAGCTTCCTCCTGTTGTGTGCTAGACTCAACTCTTCCGTCAAGTCCCAAAATTCGTCGTCGCGCAACAAGCTTGGCGACATAGATCAATTCCAACTTTCCGTAATGCACCCACAACTGCTTAGAGCTCTTGCAAAATCTCAAACCCCGCTGCATATGGCTCCGCGCTTCCGTCATATCCGCATGGTCGTCCAGGGCATACTGGGCAGCGTAGATCCACAAGTCCGCATTTGTCGGGTGAAGTCGTAGGGCATCGGTGAAGATAGACGAAAGCTTCTTGAATGCTTTTTGTTGTCTCGCATATTCGATATACTGAATCCAAAGCCCAATATCTCCGTGGAACTTGCGCGTGGCCCGATCCAGAATGAAGAAAATCCGTCGTTGGCCGCTAAATCCGCCGCCCTTAACACCCAGTCGCTTCACCCTCTTGCGCCGCAAGACGTCGAGATTCATTTCGTACTGCGCATATCGCACAAAATCGATTGGGCGTGCACCTCGAGCATTAAGTTTGTGTTCGAAGTCTGATCGTTTCTTGACGATTGCGGTGATTTCATCCTATGCAGAGGAAGAAGAAAAAAATTAGTTCCTCTTCACTGACACCTAACAAAGCAAGCGCCTGAAATACCTTGCCAAAAATCTTCTTCTTCTCATAGTCCTTTAGTTCTGGAACCGACTGTTCCAAGAAGAACCGAGCCTTATCAGCAGCAGCAGCCATGGTGATGGTTGTTGTCTCTCAAGATCTCCATCACAAGAAAAAAAAAAAAAAAAAAAAAAATACTTCCCCGACTTTGCCTAGGCCGATGTGCGCAGACCGCCTTCCTTATCTGGACTAGCGGCATTGGCGCCCGCGTGCTCCGAGCCTCCATCCGAATCTCAATTCGGCTTGTTGTACATCTTGTGCCTGGCTTCAGGGGTTTCTCTGGAGATCTCTGCTTTGCGGTCTCGGTGGTCGTTCTTTATTTGCTTTCATATTCTCCGTTTTTTCATTCTGGACATTCTTTTATCCCCTTCTTCTGTTTTGTCTATATATCTCAATTGATCTGAGGTGTGGATATTGACACCTACGCCGCCATGGCTCCCAGGCTCAAGGACGGCGATGCCGTTGTCACTGTGAGTGATACAGACGCATGAACAATTAGCGACATCTATTGATGATTTACTGCGTTAGTTTAACGGCAAATGGGTTTCCTGGGCTCATACGTTTTTCGCGTATGCCGCGTTCTTCAGCGCCCTGATCGTGGGAATGGCTCTGCATTTTAGGAAAATTGTCCAAAACGAACACTACGGTTACCCCGACGAATGGTTCCCTTCCGTATCTGCGACCATTGGCGATCGATACCCCGAACGTTCCTTCTTCCAAGTCTTCATCGCCATTACTTCCGGTCCCCGATTCGCTTTGGTGTTCCTCTGGTATATCCTCACCGCGCGGCCTAACTCATCTCTTCCGAAGATTGTCGCTGGTGTTGGAATATTCCGGACGTTCACCTGTGGTGGTTGGACATACGTTACGTCGACGGATGACCATGACTGGCACGACATTTTCATGATTTCGTATCTGGTTGCTACTCTGCCGTGGACGTTGGGTTGTCTGGCTCTCAGCCCTAACAACCGCCGCGCTGTGAAGTACCGGAAGATCATGGCCAGTTTGTTCTTCGGTACTCTGGTGCCGTTGATTTATTACTTTATCCAGCACAAAGTGCACAAGGTCCCTGGTGGTAAGTGATACCATGATGGTCAACCAGGTGGTCAGACATGTCTTTGCTAACTCTCTTCCCCACCCAGCTTACACCAAATATGCCTTCTTCGAGTGGTCCCTGATTTTGTTCGACGTTGGTTTCGATGCGGTCACCGCACTCGACTTTGATGCGTTCGAACTTGTTGTGAGGGATGTCAAAGGGGTCAGTAGAGGGTATGTACAGTGGCTTCCAAAGTAAAACGAAGAATGTACTGTTGCCGAATTGGTGTTGGGGTTTAAGAGAAAGACATGGTCTAAATTTGATATCCATCAGGCAGTTAAAGACGACCGCCGATTCCGTTCTTGAGAAAGAGTGTGTACATCCTCGTTACCAGAATCATTGATCTCAGAAGTTAACCTCGTAGATAGGAAGGGAAAGCCTGTGGGAAACACCTTTGGCCAGGGCTTCTTCTGGACTGAGATTATCGATGCGGCTGCTGATACCTACATTGGGGTATTGTTTCATCCAACCCCGTCAATGTTCTCTCGTCTTACTGATCAAACATGTAGTTCGTGCATTGGTCACAAGTGACTGGGCTTGGTGTCCTCGTTTGGTGTATGTGTTGTTTTACTCTGGGAGATTCGAACATTTTGCTAACAAGCGGCAGATTTCCCTCTGTGGCACATGGGCATTTCCGGATATGAGTTGGCCATTGTGGGCTACTGCTCGCCTCTGCTCCTTGCCATTCCGTCTCTGAGAGTTTTAGCCACCAAGAACCCTCGTCTCTTCCAGTTCCTTTCTCTGACGGGGCTGCTGGCATTTAATGTTCAAACCCCTGCCAATCGACTCTTCATGGTTATCTTTGCCGTTGTTTGCAGCTGCATCGCAGTCACTGCTACTATGTTTGCGGAGAGAGGGCAAAGTATCCGACTGGAATCACGGATCTTTGGCTGGGGAATGGGGTTAATCATGTCCTCTATTGCCAAATTCACATTCAAGACCAACAATCCTATTTGGCCCATCATGCATGCAGGAAATGGCGGCTGGAACAAACTGGGATTCTTTTTGGCCGTCCTCGCCATTCTCCGGGCTAGCAGGAGAGCGCCAACCTCTGGAGGAGACTATTTCCCGACAAGCGGCAAGAAGGGCTCATCCGTACTGGCAGGCTTGGGTCTCGGTGGTCTTACATTCGCTATGCACTCGTTGTTGTCCGATTCTAGCACCATGATTTCTTGGGTCTGGGAAGGATATCCGGTGAGAGGCCCTATTTCTGTGCCGCACGGTGCTCTCACGATTTTCGCGATGGGTGCTGGACTGGTGTACGGCCTGTATTACCCCGGAATCGCTGGTAGCTGGACTGCATACGGAATCGCTTCGGTCGGTGCTGTGTTGGTCACATACTTCAGCCATTGGACTGGATTCTACGGTGGTCTTGTTCTCGCATTCTACCTTCTGGCTGCCGCCCCGGTTCTAATTTCGTCTGCTGTCCGACACTCTCCTGCTTCCACTTTCGGTATTGGCTCCCTGTTCTATATTTTCTTGATCCTCTTCCATGTCTGGGTCGTTGCGTACGCTTTCGTTCCCGGAGGACCTCTTGTCCGGGAGCACAACGATTGGGTTATGATCACGACAATGCTCGCCATCGGTGCTGGAGTGTTCTCTGCCGCGGTTTCGAACTCCTCGACCCCCAAGAACAAGCTCATTAGCCCGAATGGCAGGAGACAGCGATCCTACTACATTTACGTTCTTGCCGCCTTGCAACTTCTTTCTATTGCAGTGGCCTACTTGCGTTTCCCGACCAACGATTACGTCCCTTACCACAAGGATGACAAGGTTGTGACTGCCGGGATCTGGACCGTCCACTTCGGTCTCGACAACGACATGTGGTCATCGGAGAAGCGCATGCAACATGTGATCGAGGAACTCGAGGTCGACGTCATTGGTTTCCTCGAATCCGACAACCAGCGCATCATCATGGGCAACCGTGATATCACCCAGAACCTCGCAGAGAATATGGGCATGTACGCTGATTTCGGACCTGGTCCCAACAAGCACACCTGGGGCTCCGCGCTGCTCTCCAAGTTCCCCATTGTCAACTCGACCCACCACCTCCTCCCTTCGCCTGTCGGTGAACTGGCCCCCGCTATCCACGCCACTCTCGACATGTACGGTGAACTGGTTGACGTTGTTGTCTTCCATTCCGGTCAGGAGGAAGATCCGGAGGACCGTCGTCTCCAGACTGAGTACCTCTCGAATTTGATGGGCGAGTCTCCGCGTCCGCTCATCCTGTTGAGTTACCTGGTCACCAAGCCTTTGGAGGGTAACTACAACACGTATGTCAGTGAGCTGAGCGGCATGAAGGACATTGATCCTACCGATTGGGACCGTTGGTGCGAGTACATTCTGTACAAGAAGTTGAAGCGTACAGGATATGCCCGTGTTAGCCGGGATAGTATCACGGATACGGAGATTCAGGTATGCTTTTTCCCTTTTTGCCTTTTTAATATTAATGGATTCAACTGACAACCCAATAGGTCGGCAAATTTGTGATTGGCGAGCCAGAACCCGAAAACGAAATGATGATTCCGGAGGAGATGGTTCCCCAGGGCCGTCGGTTCCCAGAGCTGTTCCGTGGCCAAGGTGTCCGCGGTCACCGGTATCATGTCTTCAACGAGCCCAAGTACTGGCAATGAGAGATCGGTCGTAGTCGACTGGATTTTCACGGCGATCGTTCGTCCACTTACTCGGACTTGTTTTTAAAAGGGTGGAGAATTTTTTCTGGCTGATAGTTATGGATTATTTTACTATGTATACTGGGTTTCTTATTGAAAATATTATTACAATTGCTTTGCTCACTATCAATTACAATTATCCTAATATCTCAATTTATTCATCAGGTGATTTGGGTCTCAAAACCCGAGCTGATTAAATATGACATAAAACTTCCCTCAGGCAGTATGAAATCACATATCCCGAGGCAATCTAATGAAGGAAATGGAGGGACTTGAAGCTTCTCTGTAGCAGTAAGTTGCTAATAATGCACCAGCTAAACAAAAGACTCACTACGTTGGAATACCACCCACACGAACACAACCAGCACTCTTATATTTTTTCTACTTTTGGATTAAAACTATTGTATCAACGTATTCATCTACCCATTTTATTGCTCGGTTCATTCATCTGATCTGAGCTGTCAATGAATCTTCCGATGAATGGCTTCTTTGTTGCACGGTTCTTTTAGGGCAACAAAGACCGCGTTTCAAAAAGTGCGACAAAAACAAAGTACTGGAAGGACCAGAAAAAAGCACTAAAATAATATGTGATTGATATGATGAACGAATGATAATTTGGCTGGTATATTTCTGAAGATAATTGGGGATTGGGAAAATTGTGCTGCTCTTCTCTTCGCGCTCCGGCTCTGGCTATTTCGTTTGCTTTCCGGGTCGCCCCAATTAGATGCCCCCAAATGCTGTTAATAGATAGCTGGAACTAGAATGGCGGTTATTAAGCGGGTGATGCTCGCCATTTTTGCGTGATTTGCTATATGGTGTTGTTGTTACAAGCCAATCCTCTCTCTTTCTTTTTCTGTCTTTCTTTCCAGTTAGTCTGCTATTCCTGGTGACAATGCTAATTATTTGCTTTCAAACATTCAACATGAAGACATTGACTCCTTGTCTTCTTGATATCACTCGCAGTTGACAGATGAAAGCGAAACGTGCCATTGACAAAGACCGCACGGTTCCCTATTTTGGGTGTTGACATCTTTGTTTTGTCTGATAATGCGATCTTGAGTTGATAAAGAAGACGATGTACCTGAAAGCAAAGAAACCCAGAGACGGTTTCTGTTCAATATAATAGAAAAATCACCGACCCCCTCGATTGCGATCCTTCTCTTCTGATCTTGCAGTTTACTCTACTTCCACTGGACTACAAGGTAATACCAGGAATTTTCTACATCTTCTCTTTACACAAATTAACGATATCCCAAACAGCGTGACCACAGCAATGGAACGACCTGTGAAACGCCTCAAATCCGCCGCAGAGCATGAGGAAGAAGTGCGTTCTGGGGATACGGCACCCACGCCTGCACCAGCTCCCGCAGAATCCTCTACATCGTATGAGCAAGGACAACAGTCAATTGCCGTTAGCATTCGGGCTATGTGCGCAAATCTTCACCGGCAAAACAGAATGCGGTTGAATGCACCAGCAGGTGCACCGACGAATGCTCCTGCGATTGATCCAGCATTGAACAGAGCCTTTTACGGCTCGCAAGGATCTCAAACTTCCTTCGCAGAAGGCGCAAGCTCCGGAGGAGATACAGAAGCACTTTCACCACCAGAGGCAAACAATAGCCGTGCTAATCTAGTCAACCGGATAGGTCCCGAGATCCAGTTTGGAGAGTGTGGGAGAAAACCGCGCTGGGTGGTTGTGCCTACTCCTTATGACGTGGTAAACACGTTTGATTGGATGCTTGAGGCCGGAACGCCCAATCTATGGAACGGTCTTACACATGAGCAGCTGGTTGAGTACGCTTACATGTACCTCGAGCACGCACTCGAGGACACGGTATTTAGGGATCGCTTCCGGTGGGAGGTTAAATCTGGTTCGTTTTCCCATCTTTTGGTGAATCTTGAGGATGCGCTGCCTCCTCTTCCGGACGCTCCTATTACTGATTGGTTTGGGGAGGCGGACGAGAGGTACTTCTACTATAGACATCAGAGTCCGTTTGTGGCATTGAGGCCAGGTATGTGTACCCGACCTTTTGAGGTTCCCTTTTCCTTTTTGAACTATTGAGCTGACTGATGCATCAAAGGAATTCGGGGGTATCAGGTTAATGGCAATAGTCCCATTATTGGAGGAAGGCGGTCGGTTGAGAGCCCCAATGGGCAACTAGCTGAGAATGAACAGGCTCCGAGCCGTAAGTATATCCCTTCCCACCCCGCCACTTGTCCGTGTTTGGAAATACATCTATGTCTATACTTGTATCAAGAGCTAACGGCTATGATTGCATGACAGAAATCGTCGAAACTGCCCGGCCTTCTGTGTATCATAACGGTGTTCAAGAGCAGCCACCACAGTTTACACGCGCCCAGAACCATACAAATGGACATCCAAACGGACGCCCTTTCCACAAATATATATATATGGGTCCTAACGCTCTTACGCCAAGGCATATGGTGGATGAACCTTTAAGTAACCCTCCAAACGGACTACCTAGGGTTGACTTTTCAGATGTCATGCCACGAGCAAGAAGTAAGTTGAACCTCCTTCATCCATGGTAAGACTGATTCTGAACTACGCTAACCAACCTCACAACACAGCAAAGCAAACTTCCAAAAAGGCAGCACAAACCTTGTACAGACAGCCGAATGCCGATAAACCGGTAGCAGAAGAAACGGAATTTATGGGATTGGAAAGGGAAGCCTTGGATAGCCTGAAAGACGAGAAAACATGTGCAAAAACATTCCCCAGGCGTACTTTCCGGCGCTTCAGGCCATGGGCTGGCTACAAGGATGCGACTAGGTATATAAATAAGGAGGACCTGGCGCGGCTGCCCCGGTTTCCAATGGCCCAGAGAGCCTTTAATCCACTGGTTGGTGTGAGGGCAGCTCCCACGTCAAAAACGTCGCGCACATCAAAAATTGCGAAGATTGCAAGGACTGCGAATACCGCAAAAACGGCTACGACGGCTACCACAGAAAACACAGCAAGAACTCCTGAAACATCGAAAGATGGAAGTCCACGCAGGAACCCGCCACGGAACCGTCGCAAACCAAAACGCTACTTAAATTAGTCTACTGCATCCAAGACTGTTGTTCGTGGGTTAGAAGCCCCTCTGTGTTTGCTTCTTACACATGTTGTGGATATATACAAGACTCCGGCAGCGAAGCTGTACATTATGGCTGGCTGGATCAGCCAACAGAGTATAGATGGTAAGTATACCAAAATTTCCTGACTATAGATCTAGGTTATAAACGATTCAAGGATTAGGGACCATGTAGATTCATGTTTGATGTTTCTGACTTTCTTTTGACTGTGTGAATATGTTAGGGCTTTGGCTCTTGTTGACTTGATACCTCGTTGAGTACGGAACTTTTCTTGTATATTCTGTTTTTCTTTTTCTCTTGTTTTTCAAAGCTGCGTGGCATATTAATGCTATTGTCTATAGAATAGAACACTTTGACTGTTAACCTAGTATGTCTCTTTGAATATATGTAGTCCCGTATAATACTCTGTACACCAGAGTAGTTTTGAGATTAACCAAGTAATTCCATTATAGGAATCATATACAGGAGTAGTATCGAGCATAAGTTTTATCGGTTATTTTATTTTATTTTTATTCTTATTTTATTTTGCCATTGTATTTGTAGACGCAGTGCTGGCAGGATGCAAACAGAGCAAACACCGATAGAGCCGTGTTGATCTCAGAAGCGCTTCAATGACAACTTCAATGCTCTGTTCTCGACAACCTCCAACCTTCTCCTCCTGGGAAATCCACTCGATTTACTTTTAAAGCAATGCGGTAATTGCGACCATCGCTAGGGTTAATCTATTGCCCGTGTTAATGACAGTCTCGCCGAGTCCCGCGACAGATCTCAACCCCCGTCAAGCTGACAATCACCTACAATCACGTCCCAATTGAGTTAGCGACGTCGAACGACCGCGAAGATGTTCACGTTTACTCCGCTGCTGGGGGCACAGTCCTCGTCCTCGAAAGCTTCGCAGTCGATTTTGGAGCTGGATGGTGGAATCAAGATTCTTGTGGACGTTGGTTGGGACGATACATTTGATACGCTCGATTTGGTGGAATTGGAGAAGTGAGCTCCTGGCCTTGGCTTGGCCTCTTATATCACAATGGAGAAGGTTATTCTAATGATATATTGTCTCTAGACACGTCCCGACCCTCTCCCTCATCCTCTTAACTCACGCGACGCCTGCGCATCTCGGTGCATTTGCGCACTGCTGCAAAACTTTCCCTCTCTTCACGCAAATCCCCGTATATGCCACAAGCCCTGTTATCTCCCTCGGTCGTACGCTTCTACAAGATCTCTACGCTTGCTCTCCGTTAGCTGCGACATTCCTACCGAAAGCTTCCATCTCCGAACCGGGCGCATCAACATCCGCAGCATCCGCAGCGGCCTCCGTGACCGAAGGAGAAGCAAATCCAGAACCCACCAGCGCCGGACGTATCCTTCTTCAACCTCCCTCCGCAGAAGAAATCGCGAAATACTTTTCCTTGATTAACCCGCTTAAATACTCGCAACCACACCAGCCTGCCGCCTCTCCGTTCTCTCCGCCGCTGAACGGGCTTACGCTTACCGCCTACAGTGCCGGACATACAGTTGGTGGTACGATATGGCACGTTCAACATGGAATGGAATCGATCGTTTATGCCGTCGATTGGAACCAAGCGCGTGAGAGTGTGGTCGCGGGTGCAGCGTGGTTTGGTGGCTCCGGTGCCAGTGGAACAGAGGTTATCGAACAACTGCGAAAGCCCACAGCGTTGATCTGCAGTAGCAAAGGTGGCGACAAATTTGCTCTCCCCGGAGGTCGCAAGAAGCGCGATGATGTGTTGCTGGATATGATCCGGAGCAGTTTGGCCAAGGGTGGTACTGTTTTGATCCCGACCGACACCAGCGCACGAGTCTTGGAGTTGGCGTATGCCCTAGAGCATTCCTGGCGCGATGCCAGTGGGAATAACGAAAGTGAAGATGTGTTGAAGAGTGCTGGGTTATATATGGCGGGCAGGAAGGCGAACACTACAATGCGGTTGGCAAGGAGTATGATCGAGTGGATGGACGAGAATATCGTTCGTGAATTCGAAGCGGCCGAAGGAGTGGACGTCACGACCGGTCAATCCCAGAACAAAACCGGCAACCAGAGACAAGGACAGGACAACGGAGGGACTAAAGGAGCAGCTCCTTTCACGTTCAAGCATCTCAAGCTCGTGGAGCGGAAAAAGAAGATGGAGAAAATCTTGTCGGATCAAACACCCAAGGTCATCCTGGCTTCGGATTCTTCGCTGGACTGGGGATTCGCAAAGGACTCTCTTCGTCTGGTGGCCGAGGGTCCGAATAACCTGCTTTTGCTTACAGAGCCTTTGCGTAAGGAGAAGTCCTCAGAGAGCCCAGAGTCCCGGAAGATGAGCCTTGGCAGTATGATTTGGCAATGGTACGAGGAGCGACAGGATGGTGTTGCTTTGGAGAAAGCTTCGGATGGTGAATTACTGGAACAAGTCCATAGCGGCGGTAGAGAACTGTCGTGGACCAATGTGCAGCGAGCACCTCTTGATCCGGGCGAACAGTTACTCTACCAACAGTATCTCGCCACCAAGATACAACTCCAGGATACTTCCCAGGGCCGAGGCCAGGAGAACCTCGATAACACCGCAGATGCGCTCGATGACCGATCCAGCTCTACAACGTCTGAAGACTCGGAAACAGAGCAGCAAGGTCGAGTGTTAAATTTCTCCACATCTCTTGCCCATGCCAACCGTAATAAACTCGGTCTCAGCGACGAAGATCTTGGCATCAACGTTCTTCTACGACGGAAGAATGTCTACGACTACGATGTCCGGGGTAAAAGAGGCCGTGAACGCATGTTCCCTTACGTTGCGCCGAAAAAGAAAGGTGACGAATTTGGAGAATTTATCCGACCGGAAGAATACCTGCGTGCAGAAGAACGTGAGGAAGTCGACATGCAACAACGGCGGTCTGATTCCCAGATGAAGCTCGGTCAGAAACGGCGGTGGGATGAGACTGGGCCGAACGGACGACGGCTTTCCGGCAGTGGCAAGCGGCAGCAAGGGCTTAGAGATGATCACAAGAGAGATACAGCAGATGATCTCAGCCTCGCTGACGAAGGCGAAGGGGCTGATGGTGCTGTATCTTCAGAAGACGAAACCGACGAGCAAGTGTTTGAGGGACCGGCAAAGGCTGTCTACGAAAAGGCGGCGATTACCATCAACGCCCGTCTGGCGTTTGTGGATTTCACGGGTATACATGACAAACGAAGCTTGGAGATGCTGATCCCCCTCATCCAACCGCGCAAATTGATTCTCGTCGGTGGAACAAAGGGCGAAACGACCGCACTGGCCACCGAATGCGGGAAACTCCTGGCCGCTAAAGCCGGCGTGGATGTCTCTGCGGCAGATGCTTCTGTCATTTTCACCCCCGCCAACGGTGAAATCATCGATGCTAGCGTCGACACAAATGCCTGGGTGGTCAAGCTGGGCAACAACCTCGTCCGCCGTCTAAACTGGCAACACGTCCGCAGTCTAGGCGTCGTCGCTCTAACCGCCCAACTCCGAGGCCCCGAACTCCCGCCCCCAGAAGAAGACTCAGAAGAATCCGCCACCAAGAAACAAAAACTCCTCAAAGAAGAGTCCATCTCCGACGCCGTCTCCACCTTGGACGGCACAAAACCCTCCGCCGAAAAATCCGACATCTTCCCCATGCTCGACGTTCTCCCCGCCAACATGGCCGCGGGCACGAGGTCCATGGCCCGACCCCTGCACGTCGGCGACCTCCGTCTCGCAGACCTGCGCAAAATCATGCAGAGCGCGGGCCACAAGGCCGAGTTCCGCGGAGAAGGTACGCTGCTTATTGACGGGTTAGTTGCGGTGAGGAAGTCTGGGACGGGGAGGATTGAGATCGAGGCGGGGGCGCAGGCTGCTGCGGCGACGAATGGGACGATTGGGGCGAGGGCTGGGAAGGGGAGCTTTTTGGCTGTTAAGAGGAAGATTTATGAGGGGCTTGCTGTTGTTTCGGGGAGCTGATCTTGTGTGTGGTTGTGTTTGAATATCACAGGCGTGGGTTTTCGGTCTATTATTGCAATAAGGGAATTGTATGAGGATGTATTATATGAATATAAATCTATGGCCTGAGCATGTCTTCTTCAAGTTAGAAGTATTCAGACAGTGGCGAATGAAATGTAGTATGGGGATGTACATTTTTATAGCTTGATAATACTTAATTCAAATCATATTATCAACAATGGACACTATGGCCGAGTGGTCTAAGGCGGTAGATTAGAAATCTACTCTCTTCGGAGGCGTCGGTTCGAGTCCGACTGGTGTCGTTTTTTTGTTCTTTTTTTTTTTTGCTCTTTTCTACTCTCCATATTATGTATTTTTTTTCTCTATCTTTCTAAATGATAACGAATTCAACAACAAATCTCGACACTTCAAGATAACACAACTATTACCAACAGCGCGGTTGATAACAAGCACCGTAAGATAGATCTCACGGATTACCGTTCCCGGATTAGTTCGATTTCCTCGAGAGGGTTAGTTTATGCGAACCGGCTAGAATATCTTTGTATAACATGTATATCTCTCAGGACTTTCGTCTTATCTGCTCACTGCTTGCCCCTGTTCCGAAACATGACGACACATTGTGCGGAACGGGGCTGCTCTTGATCAATAGCGATGAGTATGGGGTAATGACCGGTTGTTCACGGGATCACTAGGGTATTGCATCGCCTCAGGAGTTGTGTATTGTATTGACGTTATCATTGTTCATTGTTAATCTTGGAGTTGTTTAGGGAGAAAACTATTGAAAATGACAGACGGAGTGCTTAATGCGGACGGGGGATTTATTTTTCTAGAAGAATCACGATATAGTTGATATGAGCCCTAATCTTCATTTATCTTGCTAGGTATATTACATCTAACAAGCATTATCGAGGAAAAAGCCGCAAGCAACCCCTTTGTCAACGATAATATATCAATCCTTCACCCGTATCTACACTAATACGTAAATAGCTTCCCCCGCATTTGCTTTCCTTAACTCTCGAAACCTAAGATTGTCTTACCGTTGCCTACTGCGGGGACAACAGCCAATATAAACGCCGCATAGTGAAAAAAGCGACGCTTGATAGAAAAAGCCGAGCACACGCTTTCTACCAATCAATCCAGTTTCTTTCTGACATCGGGGCGTAAACAACATCATAGTACTTCGGTTCTTGATTTCTCCCCGCAGCATGCTACCCCAAAAGATACGCAGCATGCGAGGGGGTTGGGATCCGGTATATAGAAAGCGGCGGAGTCCCGGGTGGATAGACGCCCCGAGATATTTGTTTGACAGATTTTTATTTTTTTGTGAATATGAGTGTGAATATGAATCGAGATATGTCGGAGCCAACTAAGATAGAAAAAGGCGATGAACACGACCCCGAGGGACTAGGTTTACATTCCCATCTGTCACAGATCGGTGAAGTCCAGGATACCGAAACTCCAACCTACGATGCGGTATTCGGAGAGATCACGGAAGGCGGACCAAATTATCGCAATGTATGTCTGCCATATGTCTATAATCAATTCGACGGGTACTAACGTCTCAGGTCGGTTTCCTAGGTACCGTCGCCCTCATGATGAAAACCCAGATCGGTCTGGGTGTCCTGTCAATTCCCGCCGCTTTCGACGCACTAGGTTTAGTCCCCGGTGTCATATGTCTCTGTGCTATTGCTGTTATAACGACCTGGTCGGATTATGTCGTTGGGACGTTCAAGCTTCGGCATAGGGAGGTATATGGAATTGACGATGCGGGTGGGTTGATGTTCGGACGTCTTGGGAAGGAAGTTTTTGGGGCTGTTTTCTGCCTTTGTAAGTATACCTTCCCAGATCAGATTAGGATGCGTTTGTTCTGATAATGTAGATTGGGTCTTTGTCTCTGGGTCCGGAATGCTCAGTCTCTCGATTGCCTTGAACGCAGTCTCGACACACGGTACATGTACTGCTGTCTTTCTCGCTATCGCTTTTGTTGTAGGGTTTTCACTCGCTAGTATCCGGACACTGGGGCGGATTACCTGGATTGCATGGGTTGGGTTAGTATGCATCCTCACCTCAAGTAAGTCACCTCAACTCAGCTATCCAGGCCACACTAACAAAGCAGTCTTCATCGTCACCATCGCCGTCGGCATCCAAGACCGTCCTGCTGCTGCGCCCTCGTCAGAGGAAACACCCGTCTGGGTCTCGGATTACAAAATCGTCAACAATCCGTCCTTCACGTCTGCCATCAAGGCGGTTTCGACGCTCGCGTTCGCCTACGCGGGTACACCGGCTTTCTTCGCGGTTGTGTCTGAGATGCGCGAGCCGCAGTACTATACTCAGGCGATGCTTATCTGTCAGACTGGCGTTACGACTATTTATGTTACTATTGGCATCGTCGTGTACTATTACTGCGGGTCGTATGTTGCGTCGCCGGTTTTAGGGTCTGCTGGCATAATAGTCAAGAAGGTTAGCTATGGCTTTGCGCTGCCGGGATTAATCGCCACTACTACTCTTGTCACCCACGTACGTCCCTACCTTACCTACCCCAGCCCTATCCATATACTAATGTACTCCGTATACAGATCCCAGCAAAACACATCTTCCTCCGCCTCCTCCGCAACACCCACCACCTAACCGCCAACACGCTAACCCACAAACTCGTCTGGTTCGCCAGCACTTTCACCGTCGCCATAGTCGCCTACATAATCGCCAGCGCAATCCCCGTCTTCGACAGCCTGATCTCGCTCATCGGCGCACTGCTCGGCACATTCATGATGTTCCAGCCGATGGGGTGCATGTGGCTGTACGATAACTGGGCTCGCAAGACGACGGAGCAGGGGTGGGCGTGGTGGCGGTGGGCGGGAATGGTGTGTTGGAGTGTGTTTGTGGTGTTGGCGGGGTTTTTTTTGATGGTTGGGGGGACTTATGGGAGTGTTGTTGGGATCATTGAGGATTATGAGGCGGCGGAGGGGGGGAGTGCGGCGTGGTCTTGTGCAGATAATTCGAATTCTGTATAGTTTCTTTTTTTCTCTCCGAATATTAGTATTTGAATTGCGTGCGTGTTCGATATAGGTTTGAATATAGTTGGATATCTGGACTTTAATGTAACTTTGTGTTGGTCTAGATCTATGTTCTGCTACGCTCAACACATATACTTCACAACTCAAAAGACAACCCAAAGTCAACCAGCTACCTTTAACTAAAGCAATGAATCACCATAGATCTAGGTCAATCCTACCTCCCAGACTCAAACTCAACTCAACGCAAATATAAACCCAACTAATCCATACACCCGTACACTTTAACCTAAACCCTACACACTCCCACTCCCACAACCCTACAACTCACAAACCAATGCACACACGCCCATATCACAATGTCATCACACAACATTTAACAACCACGCATTAATAATCACCACCTAAAATGCCGCATCGCACACGCTTAGAGTACGGAGTACGGAGTACACGAACACCCACACACCCACACACCCACCGCGGACCACAACGCCAAACCCGATCCGCCCGGAACAACACGGAAACCCACTGTCCTCCAAGAAAACGAGAAAAAGAAAAGTCTCGACCGCCCTGTCAGCTAGCCAGCCAGCTCCACCACCGTACAAGGACAAGCCCTGCTGAGTGCTATGTATGTAGTCCCGGTGGGTACATACTTCGTTCTGTACCGAGGAGTTATACCATTTCGAGTAACCAGTACGTACGTAGCTAGCTAAGATGGAGACCGCATTATGGGGCGTGTTTGCTTCTGGAATAAATCATCGTGACGCATGCCCATTTCTTTTACCGAGACCGAGACGGTGAACGGTGACGTATCCGTGGCAGTTTGACGTCCTATCCTGTCTAAAGTACTATGCAGAGCTCGTATACGGGATATGTAGGGACCATGTAGGTACTATGTAGGTACGGCGGTAGGAACGTGTGTTATTGGAGTGTGGCTGTGAGAATTCGTATACGGAGTACCGGTGATTGACTGGTAGTGACCGGTAGGATTACTGTAGAGTGAGCATTGGGCAGGATTACCATTCATTGCCATTACCGTTGCCAACGCCATTGCTAATGCTAGAATCCAGACCGATCGATGAATTAAGAAATCTGGATACAACCGGCGACTAAAAAGTCCCACACATCCACACATCCACAGCTGAATTCAATTTTGTGTGTGTGTGTGTGTGTGTGTGTGTGTGTGTGTGTGTGTATGTGTGCGTGTGTGTGCTACTGCAAAAAAGAGAAAAATGTGCAGTGGAGTACAAGCACCAATCACAAAACAATACCGATAAACTTTTCCCGAAACCACCCAATTGGAACGCGATCTTAGATTGTGCCACCGGGTTCCACCAATAAGGGTCCGGCGGTGGAGAGGAGGGGCAGATGGATGCCCAAAATGAGGAAAATGCGAGAAAAGAGTTTTTGGCGGGTTGTTCCTGCAGTAGTTTGCGGGCTTAGAGAGTGAGTAGAATAGAAGGAATGTAGAGAAGGATGTGAGAGGCGAGAGAGATGACTTGCGGTGTGATTGTAGAACGAGTCGAGTCAACGGTGTACATGTGTCAGTTGACAGCTCAGCTATACGAGTTATACATCAGTTGGGATCGGAATGCTTGTAAGACAGTCACATATTCAATGAATCAAATGAATTCACTAGATACAACCAATTGTATAACCATTGTAAACCAATTAACAATTCTATAAACAAGAAATCCAACAACTCCATCTATCGATCCATCCATCCTCGCATATCAATCATTAAATCATAAACATTTTTTCGATGTCAAATCGAACCACTCATCCAGCGAGTTCAAAATCATATCCTCCGTCCAGACAGAGCAGTCCGCCTAGCAGACTGGTATCCTGCCCAGCAGAACATCGTAAAGCGGGGAAATAAACGAGCGAAAAGACGCTTTAGTTGCCAATGTTCACAGTGAACTGAGTGTTGATAGGGCAGCCGTGAGTCGCGTGGTCGTCCTTGGGCTGCAGATAAGCCTCGGCGCACTGCGAGTCGCCAGCCTTGCAGTCGACAGAGGGGCAGTTGTCGCTGGTCTCGGAGGGCTCGACGGTGAACCCGTACTTGACGAACTTGGAGTCGGTGCCCAGGTTGATGCAGGACATGTCCCAGAAGATGGTGTCGCCGGACTGGGTGTACTCGAACTGCAGGACGTCGTCCTGGCTGGTCTCGGTGGACAGCTTGATGGAGACGCCGCCGCCGTTGCTGTTTTCGCGCCATGATTCCTCGTAGGAGCCGCCGCCCGCAGAAAGGGTCTTCATGTCACCAGCGCTACTGGAGACAGACCACGCGTAGACGGAGCCTTCGAGGTTGTTGTGGATGGACACGCCGCCACTACCACCGCTGCCGCTGTCGGTGTCGGTGGTGTTGCGGGCCTTGATGGCGTGGGGGAGGGCTGCGGAGAGGGCAGCGAAGGAGGTCATGGTGAGAGCGATCTTGGAGAACATCATTTTGATGGTTGTTTGTGAAGAGAATGTGAGACTGTAAAAGTCAAGTGAAAGAATTGTGTAAGACTTGTAAAAAGTGAAAGACTGATACTCGAAAAGAGAGTATATAAAGAGTGTGTCTTGTAAAGAGAAAGACTTTGTTATAGACAAGAGAATGTTTTGCTTGTTGATGAGAATGGATGTATACCGGGATGGCCAGGGGTTTATATACATTTTGGACCACCACCTGTTCGGTCCCTCATCGGCCTGAAGGAGACAGAAAACGAACAGTATCCATACGACAAAAAAGAAAAGAAAAAAAGGCCGATCCAACGAATCACATTGAGCCCCGAGTAGGACTTGTTCCTGAAGGGCCGCCGTGGGACGCCACGAACCAAACCTGGTCTGCCGGTGTCTGGAGTCCAGACATGGATCGGTAAGATTCTAGCAAAATCCAACAAGCAGGGCACCAATCATTGTACAATTTTTTTTTCTTCCAAAACATGGATACAGTCAGGGGGCCTTCCTACTGGGAGACCGTGGCAATAACCCCAAACGGAACCAGTTGACAGGTATCCACGGTCTAGCTCAGGCAAACAGCAAGAAAGAAAGAGAATAGAAGCGTAAAAGAATGGGGCAAGTGTCAATTCCGTGGTTCTGGTATATGGGCATATGGCC